TGATGAACATGGGGGCCATGAAACATGTCGTCACGGTCCAATTTTGAAAAACTTAGGCTAGCCCCACATTTCGGTCCTGCATTATTGTGTCTGGTTTTTATTGCCCTCGGGGCCCAGTTCACTTGAAATCGCACAGAAAGAGTATCACATCAGGTCCAGTTTTAGTGGCTCGTTTGAAATTCTTGGGAGAAATTACAATTTCAAATCGAGCTGCGATGACTTGTTTGGGGTGGTCGAGGACACACTTGCTATCACTATCATGAAAATTTGATGTATGTTGATTTTTTGGCAGAGTAAAGTATGAACCGGACCATTGGACCCTGGGACTGCTCGACTATTTTTTGGACCTCTCTATTGACTATCAGTGGGGGCGGGAGGGGGGGTAGGAAATAGTTTTAGTACCACTGATTAATGGAGTTCTTACTGGATCACATATCACACAAGCAGTTTAGTAGACTGCCTTTTTTATGTCAAGGGTTTTGCGTTGAGTTGTTACGTTTCTTTAATTTTTGTCATGCGAATGCGAGACTGGCAATATGCCAATTTCCTTTTTTGATTCTCCTCTGTTGAGTTACCCATGTGCCTTTCAAGTCAACTTGTTCCAGTGCTAAATGATATTCACTGGTTACCACGGATCACTAACCAGTTGCTTCACGTTTTCCTTTATGTATACTTTTATATAAAGTATATCATTACGAATTTTATCTGTCTTTTTTTTTTCATTGATCCTATCAGTGGGTTGGGTAGACAAGAGGGATCACGGAATTTCTGGAACTTAGCACATAACTTAGGGGCATAGTATTCACAATTTTTCACAATTTTAACCTTTACACTTTTAATATGAAAACATTGTTTCCAAAACAGGATGATTCGTGACATCTCCTTCCTGTCGGCTTTTTGACAAAGGGATGTTACGTAAGATGGTCCGACAAAAGCTTACTCAAAAAATGAGCTTTCGGTTCAATTTCAAATAATATCGACTAGTAGGACTCCGAGAAATTTCATCCTAAGTGGGTCCCCTCGGCATGCAAATGAATACTTTATCAAGTCCGGGAAAACTCAGATGAACAGAAAGTTATTTCTAACTCAAACGATCTTTGTTTGTTTAACAAATAGAGAAGCCTTGACTGTACTCTGTTCTGTTGTAAAGCACTTAGGAAGCGGCTAGAGCACTCGACTACGTCTCGTGTTTCCCCCTACACTTCTTTCGTGCTCTAACCGCTTCCTAAGTGCTTTACAACAGAACAGAGCACAGTCAAGGCTTCTCTATTTGTTTTATAATAAAGAATAAGTTAAATTCCCCAAGAATTACTCACAACTTTCAAAACAAATGTTATTTCCAAAGCAAACAACAGTGTCGACAGCATGCTCCATACTCTTATAAAGCGTGCTACAATAAGCTTATCAGAATGCCTGTTAGAATGCTTTAAATAATCTGATTGGCTGTTCAAGACTAAAGCTGTCAAAAATGTCAAATCATCAAAGTTCGAAAACCATCAAAGTTCATATTCTACAATAGTTTACATACTAAAATAGATTATGTCAAATTTTACACCTTTGCCTGAAGTTTTTTAGTTTCTAATACAGAATCTGAAAGTGAAATGTTCAGTGAAATTCGGCCCAATCGTAGCTCACAAAAATACGGAAGTTATTTCACCTGACAAGTAAAAAATAAACTGTTCAAGGTGAGTGTATTATGTATGAACAACAGCCGAATTCACCAGGACATGAAGATCGCTCGGAATGACAGTACCGTAAAACTCGGCTGCAGTGACTGATGTAGGCTTCCCCTCGACGCATCGGAAAGGTAATCAGAGCAAGCTCTTATTTATCCACTCGAAGGGTAGTCGATTTAGTTCCTGAGGCTTGCTCCATTGCGATGACCGAAGATGACCACGATGAGCTAGCGGCGATAGACCTCAGCATGATCGAAGTCGCTCTGACACCGTCATGATTAGTATGAATTTTTAACAGTTATGCCCGGTTATATTTTTCATCATTCCTGTTTTGTCCTTGAAAACGGAACTTTATATACTATACAAGTGTCAGCTGTGTTTGATTTTTATTGCCTTACGTAAACTTGCAATCTAACTGAGCGTGAAAACCGTTAGAACTCGGACTGTCTATTTGTTTTATCTTTGAGGATTTTTGTCTCTGCTCACGCTACAGTAACCTAAATTACTGTGCCTGGCATTTTTGCAAACCTTTGCTCGCTTGTTCCGAAATTTCACTTTAAATTAACGAAAGAAAAGTTAGAAAGAAGTCCCGGAAAAGGTCCGACATGCATAGTACAATTTGGCAGATGGCGTGACAGCTTCAGCTTAGCTTTATGCTCTATACTCTCATAGAGCACGCTCATTCAACCAATGACAGTACGTGTTATATCCGAACTTTATTATAAAGACAAATAATCGTAAACAAGACTGCTCTTGTGCGAAGAAAGAGGGGGCATTTTGAAATGAGCAAACAAACAAAACCACCTCAAAGAATGCGAAAAAAAAATGTCTATGATCATTACAATCACAAGACAGGCTGAAAAGTTAAATATGACGCTTGACTAAGCAAAATTAGGCAATAAATTGCGTAGTAACCAATATTAGTCACAATTCTTTGCTATGCAGCTCTAAAATTTCTTCCCTTTCTTGCGGCAACTCTCGTTTACCAATCGTCTTAATGGGCTGAAGGCTTCACGACTAAGCTTAAATTTCTTAAATATCGAGACGGAGACGAATTGTTTATTAATTCATGTATTGTGTCGGTTAGTTTTGTATGTGCTGAAATGAAGGGAACTAGTTGCCAAAGGTCAACTTTTTTATTCTGCCTGGCCGATAAACATCTTAAAAATTAGTCTTGTTGGATCCAAAAGTGAAAATGGTTGGTCAAAATTCATCGTTAGTGTATCTGCAAATAGATTAGTTGGGTGTAGTTTACAAATATGTTGTAGCGGAGTAATTTTCGTGTGAGAGTTCGTTTTAATGTTGCCTAATTGACTGAAAGGAGCAACTCGTTTATCAGTCGGTCGTTCAGAGTTTGATCTTTTAGAGAATACCTTAGCTATTTTTTGTTTTCATACATTTTTTTTACTGTTTGCACCCTATGTTCGCCAACGTCAGAAACTATCCGTTTGGACGGTGGAGGACAAATATATATATCTCTATTGAGAAGTCCTGCGTGATGTATACCCTTTCCAATGCAATATTTCTGGCTTTCACCGTATTGACAGTTGTTTTATAATTTGCCTAAGCTAGGAAACTTCGTTCTAAGTCCTCCTAAAGGCAAAACAAGAGGGATATCTTGGGAAAAAAAGCCACATAGAAACTTGTCTTCCATCTTACTCTTCTCGAGGAAGATCACCACTCACGGCAGATAAAAAGCTGCTAAACCGTTTTCATTTTCAACCATTTTCATTCTCTTTCTGTATTGCCTCAGGAACTATTTATGGAGATGACGAATGTTCTGTGGTGGATAAAGTTGGCGTCAGTGTTTCTGATGAAGAGTTCACAATCAGATGGAGGTAAATTTTACTTCATGATAGTGCCAGCTAAAAATTAGATCCTTTTTATTGACACGCCAGCTTGTTTGTTCTTTTGTGTTGTGTGCATTAACCATGAATATATCCCATGTATGTTTGAATAATATAATATACAATAACAAACGTAGACGATAACGTGGAGGGGAGGGGGAGGGGGTGAGCATTATTATTATAGTTATATAGGATTAATTGGGTTTGTTTTGCATGTAAGCAAACAACTATAGACAAATGGGAATACAAATGCCCTTTTCGCTCTTTACGGTCTCAAAAAGCGGTCCCAAATATATTTTTTCCGTAGACACGTGTAGCGAACTTTTGGTTTCAAATTCATATCTCATCCTTTTATGTAGACCGTTTGTTCTTTTACTATTTAATGATGAAAAATACTTGTTTGAGCGCGCTTTGACTTTCCAGGCATCATGAATACTTGGAAACACTTTTTCGTAGATATCTGTCAGTTAGTTATCTGCGCTAATTCGAACAATTGTCACTCGGTCACTCAGCTTAGGTGTGTTGCCAGCGTGATACACGCCATACTCGGAAACATCCCTTGATCAGTCAGTTGTGGATAAGATATTCCTTGTTCGATTGATTTAAAATGTAACTCTTTTTTGTTCATTTATTCGGTTATTTGAAACCTTTTTGATACTGCATTATCGCGTTAAATTTGTCTACCACAACTAATTAAGCATCCCACGCTTCTGGGTGGAATATAATTTATACGAAGTTTTTACCAATTTGAAACCGCAGGTCGGTTATGAATTGACGGCATCTGTGTTATAAAAATTGTTTAGTTTATTTACATCTAAATTTTACTTCACGCATCGGTTATTTTATAAAACCACAGGAATAATTGAGAATTGTGCATGTAATTTCTCAATTCAGGAATTTTAGGGTTTCTTTTGATTACATTTAGGATTATTACATTCTAATAGGAAAAGAAACAGAATCTTCACGGTTAAAACGTGCAATTTCATTAGACTTATCCCACTGAGTGAAAGCTGCTGTTTAAGCTGCTACAGCCTTTGGCACCAAATGGAGGTTTCGCGGTTACTCAATGGAATTTATCATAAATTGAGCTTTTGATATCGCTTGTATGAGTATTAACATATGGCACTTAATGATCGTATTAACAGAGGTATGGGTCCAAAAATTTCCTTTTAATTAATTCTGTTGACCAAAGAGCCGACTCTGTATGTAGGAGTGTCGCTTATGGTTCTTTGCTTTTTGCGTCTCCACCGCCAAAAATTTCCTAAATTACGAACTTTGTAAGTCCGCTCCATGCTGCTCCACACAATATTCATCTTGGACGGGATGAAAGGGGGCAATCCTAAGCGGGAAAGATGGGCCCAATCAGATCACATAGAGTCCAATCAGAGCACATGATTCGTTTGATATTGCTGGCCCACGGGCGTTGCCAGCGATAAAATAATCGGTTATCTGGTTTGGTGCAATACACTGTCTCCACTTTTACTGCTTCGAATTTTTTCTATTCCTAGCAATAATTTGCACTCCACCATGTCTGTTGGTATCAAATACAACTGATATAGTAGCAGTGGACCATGGAAAAGCAAAGGTAAACTCAGTGATTCTAGGCCTTACAAGAGCTGTTGCTATAGATGTCCATTTCAGCCTGGGCTTCATATTTTGGAGTGACGTGACGGAACTGAACATCAAACGACTTCGGATCGGTGAGGAAAACACGACTACAGTTATAACTAATATTGGTGTCTGCGATGGATTAGCCGTTCAATGGAGGACATCTCAGTTGTATTGGACTGATACAACGTATAATAGGATATCGGTATCAGACCTGGATGGAAACAACCAACTTACTTTAATCTCCTCGGCATTGGAAGAACCCAGAGCCATAGCCCTTGATCCGGACAACGAGTAAGTGTAATATTTGTGCGATTTATAAGTACATTATGATTAGCCGCTCGGATTAATACAGTGTGCACTGATCGAACTTCCAATACATTAATTAGTGAGATTCGGAGAGCGCAACCGATTTCTCAATAGTTTCTTTGCAACCCTCATAAGGTTTTTATAATGTTTCTACTAATTCAAATCTCATTAAAAACGGCGACAATAATTTGTTTTTCAAAATCAACGTATATATTTTTCAAGCAGGATGATGATCTTAGCTGTTTTAGTCGTCGACCTAATTTACCTCCCAGAATAAGACTCATTCCAAATATTCCAGAATGGTTTAAATAGTATTCCTTTTATGAAATAATCGATCTTTGCTAATGGTCTGAGGCCTTCCTTTTGAAATGTAAAGTGAATGTCATAAATTCATTGACTGAACAATGTAAAAGCTGACCGACTGATTCATTGATCGATGTGCCGATTTGGCTGAGCGACAGACTGACTGACTGACCCTCTAAATGATTAGCGAACTGGCTGGTAAGCAAACCCATTGAATGACCGACCGGTAGGCTTGCTAACTGGCTAGTTATAAGACTGGATAAATCATTGATTAATTGTCTCACCTCAAAATTCTTCTTAAGTTTAACCTATTGATACCGTCACTTAAACAGTGCAATGATTTGGACTGACTGGGGAAGCGCTCCCAAAATTGAAAAAGCTTCCCTGAGCGGACAGCAAAGAGTCGCCATCGTTACAAAAGAAGTCTACAGGCCGAATGGAATTGACCTCGACAGAGGAGGCAAAAGAGTCTATTGGGTAGATGCCGGTTACGACAGAGTGGAATCGGTCGACTACAATGGTGACAACAGGAAACTGCTTTTTGAGAGGCATAGCCTACATCCATTCGGAATGACGTTGATCCCTCCTTTCCTGTTCTTTACTGACTGGGTGACATACAGGGAGTTGCACATGCTGGACGCTACTACCGGAGAGGTACTCAAAAGTTTCAGTATTAATGGTGGGCGACCTATGGGAATTGTTGCATACGACAGTGGGCGACAACCAGCAGGTAATCTTAAGGAGGCTATTGGCTACTCATGAATTAGGTTCCCCTCATCAAACATTGTTGGTAATCACCTGTGGAAGTCAAGAGGTATTGACGACGTCCTGGACATTATTGTAGCGTTGAGTCTCGGTGCATTTCATAAAGAGGATATCAAATGGAGGCTAGCAACGTTATCATTATTGTGTCTGCCATGAGTGAGGGCACTAAAAAATATTTTCCGTTCGTGAAGAGCTGATGTACATTTCAAAAACATTTTCCCACTTTCGACCCAAAAGAAAAGCTTGCAAACTGGAAGGTATATGGTAAACAAAGCTATCAGTCGTACTAGTACGTTCTTTTCCGTTCACACTTTTCATGATCAATCGCCTAAATTTGCATTCCTTTTCAGAATTTGGATTAAAGTATATGAGGAAGTGGAGGTTAAAATAGTCAGTGGTGTTGGTGTGCAGCTTATGAAATAGCTGTATGGTCGACAGTATAAACTGCACGATTTTACGCTAAAAATTTTTCTTTCTTAAGCTTCAGGTCCTTGCTCTGTAAACAATGGAGGATGCAGTCATTTCTGTGTTCCTAAGGCGTCCAACCATGAATGCGTGTGTCCTACGGGCCTAGCAGTAAAGCAAGATGGAAAGACGTGTGAAGAAAGTAAGAAAACTGTTAATTGATTTCTGGAGATAATGCATAGATACTAACAAAGTTATGTCAGCCCTTTCAAGTAAAATACAATAGTACTTGTCTGCTTGTAATTCTGCAATTCTAATAACGGTCAAATTTCGAGATGAGAATACCACATGTGAATATTTAAACAGGTACATTTTTCCTCCGCCCAACCGGCGAACATGCATGCCACCTCTAAAGCCAGCCTTGTGATTCCGAAAAAACAACGAGTAATGCATGGTCGTTATGCGCATTCTTTGTTCGAGAAATCAATAACACATTGAGGGTTATGACAACCTGCTGCATGGAGATGACTCAAACATCCTCCCTACAAAGAATCTCTCAATGGCAACAAACGCTGTTTTGATTATAATTGCAGAAGTAAAGAGGTTCATTCTTTTTGCTGACGCAGACGACAAATCAACAAATATCATTTCACTGGATGTAAGCTACTTCGTCGCTCAAACACTATTCAACCATGTAGGAAATCAGCGTCCTATCGCTTTGGACTATGACCCTGTCGAAGATCGCGTGTACTGGTCGGATGTTGCTCAAGGTCTAATCGTCAGCGCTTTTGCCAATGTAACCTCATTGAAAACCCTTTTTCGTTGTAATATCCTAAGCCCCGAGGGTTTAGTAATTGACCATGTAGCACGGAACATTTACTGGACCGATACTGGAACTAATAGAATTGAAGTAGGGCGTCTTGACGGATCAGGTAGGAAAAAATTGATCAATACTGGACGTGATGAACCAAGAGCCATTCTGCTGGATGAAAGAAATGGGTAAGTAACGAGTTTTTTAAGACTGAAATATTTTTGCATCCGCTGGTGAACGCGTTGTTGCGGAAACAGCAAAGAAGTATCATAAGTAGTAAACGTAGCCTTTTAGTTGTCCACGGCTTTGACACAAGCTAACTACTACAAATGCTCTTACCCAGTTGAATGGACTTCAAAAACAGGAAGAATCTGACGATGATCTGAAGAAATGTCGACGTATCCTTATGATATATAAAATGCAATCATCCATCTATTTTGCAATAACTGTTAGTTAAGATATACTTTCAAAGGCTATTGGGCTGTGTTAGCCGCTAAACCTTAGTGAACTTTGTCAAAAAAATTCTTAATAATGTTTGGAATAAATAATTTCTTTTAGTATGATGTATTGGACGGACTGGGGCGCCAATCCAAAGGTAGAGAAGGCAGAAATGGATGGCTCGGGTAGAAGGTCCATTGTTACGGGAAATCTAGCCCGGCCAAACGGACTTACCTTAGACCAGACTACAAACCGTTTGTTCTGGGCAGACGCGAAACTAGACACTATAGAGATGTCTGATCTGGATGGAGGAAACCGACAGACTGTTTTACCATCTACAGCTGGAATTCATCCTTATGGATTAGCAATTTATCAGGACATTATTTACTGGACAGATTGGAATAGCCAGAGTGTTATAAGTTATAATGCAACTAGTGGTCAGATGAACGTGGTGATTCCTGATCTACAGAAGCCGATGGACATTCACGTGTTTGATCCTTCCTTGATATTCTCAGGTAAAAGTACTGCCTCTTTCTTATCTTCTCTGAGTTAGCAAATATTCATAAAGGCAATCACTTACGGCCGGACATGTATGAAAAAAAGTCTTATAAAAGTCAGCTACATCATTGGACCGTTACATTTTGTCTCAAGTGTGTAATTTGAAGTAATCGTGATATTTGTAGTTTTACCGATAGTCCTTCCTGATACTGTTCAAAAAGATAAACTTTGTGGTGAAAGGTTTAGTAATTCTTTAGCTGATGGTGTTTCTTATCAAAGATGGTAATAAATGATTCGAGTTGCTCAAGAGGCTTGGAAATGACTCTCAGAAGTAACCACTGATCTAAATTTTGATGATGTTTTATTACTTTTTATTATCATTTACTTTCTGTTTAAAGGGCCACATTCCTGCTCGCAAAACAATGGCATGTGCAGTGATTTGTGTCTTTTAAAGCCAAGAGGATACCAGTGCGCATGTCCGACGGGAATCGTTCTTAAAGAGGACGGAAAAAATTGCGACTATGGTGAGGCTACTTATTCGATGTTTCAAGCATTACGAAGGCGGGGGGGGTTTATCATTGATCGTGCACATCAAGAAATCTTCTTACACTTCCGTGGAGAAGAAGAGATCAGCTTTACTAATTTCGAAAAGTAGAAATAAGAGCAACAAGTTGTAGTTTATGGTCAGTGTGTACACCGTACTTTGGATTTCCCACATATCGTTTCTGGGTTTCATAAGTAAACTTTATTCACAAAAATAAGGTCTAAAGCGAGGTCAATCATTAGAAACATCTCTTTGGGTTTTATTTATTTATCTATTTTGTTGTTTATTTTTTGCCTTAAAGATTTGTTCCAAAAGACAAGCGATGAACTTTTTTTGCTCTTCGCCGAAGCGAATCATGGTGAAATTTACAAGGTTCCTTTAGCAGTGGCGAACACACCTTGCTATCTGCTTCAAATCAACATAAATATCTCCAGGCCCGTGGCTGTTGACTACGACCCAGTTGAGGGTAAAATCTATTGGACAGATGTGACCCTGAAACTGTTGGCAAGAGCATTTCCAAACGGATCGTCAGTTGAGGTCATAGCGCACACTGACGTAGTAACACCGGGTGGCCTTGCAGTAGATTACATTGGAAGAATTCTCTACTGGACTGATACTGGAACTAGCAAACTTGAGGTAGCACGACTAGACGGATCATTTCGGAAAAGCCTTATCACAACAGGGATTGAAAATCCAAGAGCTATAATTCTAGATATACCTGAGAGGTAATCAAAGCTTTTGTTCTTTTGATTCAATTTGCAGTACACTTGTCTTGATATTTCTCAAATTAAAGATACACAGAAGAAAAACAGTTCTCAAGAACCGGAAAGTTTCTAGCTATCAGAAAAGGGAGGGTTGTCGCATTTAAAATTTTCGTTGATCTAGAGAAAGCCTTTACGTCATCGTAATTGTGCTTTTCTATACACACCAATATTAGTACTATAGCCTCCAACTGGCACGATATTCGTCCTTGGACGTTGTTTGTATTTAGAAACAGAAAGTCTTCCAGGGCGAATCTTGAAGAAAGCTGTTTCCTTCGAAGAACAGATAACAATTAAGGATAAGTATACCTCTATTACAAGCAATACTGAAGCTATGAAAGTTATCAAGTTAAATTCATTCATCGTGAATTAGCTTTTTATCGATAAATGGTAAATGGTGATAAAAGCACTGTGAAACATTTATTTTAGACAAATGTACTGGAGTGATTGGGGATCATCGCCAAAGATTGAGAAAGCTAACATGGATGGCATGGGTCTGCCAGGACAGTTATTGTAAGCTCTGGACTTGTCTGGGTTAATGCGCTTGCTCTAGATTCGCAGAATAAGCTGCTGTATTGGTGCGATGCACAACTCGATAAGATAGAAAGGGCAAACCTTCAAGGGAATAACCGAGAGTTAGTTCTAGATTTGTCTTCTTACAACCATCATCCCTTTGGACTTTCCCTTTCTGGTGACACTCTCTACTGGTCTGACTGGAACGATCAGAGTATTCATAAGTACAATTTGACATCTTCTCAAAGTGACGTGTTGGTCTACGGAATGGGAAGGCCGATGGAAGTGCATATTTATGATCAGACAAAAACAATCACAGGTGGGTCCACACCTGTTGGCTCGGCGTTGTCATGACCTTTTGCCATGAAAATGATTCTCGTGTCAATTTAATTACTAAGGGCTATTCAAACGGTATTGAAATATTTGACTGCGCATACATAACATTCATATACTTGAGCAGATAAGGTTTGGAGATGGAATCGAATTCCCTTTTTTCTTCGAACACGGCATAACCATCTGCTAGTTAAAGTGACATTGACTACACAAAACTTTGATCACAGTTAAAGCTTTATGCATTTTGCTAGGATCAACAAGCTGCTCTCAACTCAATGGAGGCTGTAGTCATCTTTGTCTTCCAAATCCGAGTGGACATCAATGTTTTTGTCCAGAGGGAGTTCAGCTGAAGCCTGGTAATGCCTTCATTTGCGAAGGAGGTAAGGAGCTAGAGACATCGACTGTTCGTTAATTTTTATTGCATGGTTTTAAATGTTTTGAAATCGTTAGAGGAAGTTATTTGTTGATTACATCCATTCAGTCGATTAATTTTAGGGAGCACACTGAATGGTGGTAGAGGTAATTTTTTAGATATTATCATACAACATTTGAATCGATACAAATGTAAAAAGTTGTGTTAAATGTCTGATTCATGCACTGATTAGGCCTTCATCTTTTAATGAAGCACTTGCTACGTTCTAGGAACACTGACGACAGTAGGAGGTGTTCTTTTCTTCGGTTTTTCGGTTCTTGCGCATTTTTTGAGCTCTCCCGATATTCTGTGTATTTCCAATCTCGACGAAGGCGCGTTCAAGAATGAACCAGTTGCCAGTTTAGAAAAGAAGAATAATTATTTTTTTACTTTTTTTGTTCACAGAGAGGCATTGTCAACAGCTGTATGCCCCGCCACATGGAAGTCTAGAGCCCTGCTCTAATTTGCCGGGACAAACCTGTGAGTTTTCCTGTAACAAAGGGTACATTTTGACGGGATCAACAACAAGAACATGTAACAGTAATGGAACTTGGACAGGAACTCCAACTCATTGTAACGGTAACTGATCTCAATTACTATTTCCTTCTTCCATAATGATTTTAGGGGAGGGGTTATGGGGATGGGTGCTTTGTGGTGGGTGCATCTTGAAAGAAACCAGACATGTCTCTCCTTGTCACCAGCTGCAATTTCTCTATTTTAAGTGTAGTATTCTTATTGCGTCAAAAAAATCCATGTCTACGTTTCGTTTCTTAGTTATCCCATCACTCATTCTCTAACTAGTTATGAGTGCAACGAAAAAAGATCTTCCGAAACACTCGCATTCATTCTACATTGCTTCTTTCGCAGTTCTAGAGTTAATATTTCATCATTATACTACTTTGAGGAAGTAAAACTCATACTTTTGTCTTGCGAGTAAAGTTCTTCTGTATATGACAGTTGTTTTGTTTCCTTGACATTAGCGTATTCCTGTTCCTCATATTCATTCATTATTCAAAGCCCTACTGAGGATTACAAAAATAAATACAAAGATTATCCATCTTTTGCAAAATGACCATTTGTGTTATTTTGAAAGTGACATCTATTTGTTTTAAGTTTCGTCTTATTTAAACAGTCATAAAATGTCTAACTTTGATCATCCCACGGAAAGAGGCACTACTGACCTCTTCATGCGGTAACACGTATGGTTCAAATTGTGTATTTGGCTGTGAAAGTGGTTATGGGAGTCCCGACAAAATAATTTCTGTTTGTCGACTGTAAAGATATCGTCTCGTCTTTCCATTCATAAAATCGAAAAATAAGCACGACTGATAAACATGTAAATAAAAACGAAGGATGAAACAAGGGGAAAACAGTCCGAGCTAATTTGCGGTATCTTATTCCAAACTAAAAAGTCATTTTCGATACCAATACATATATATGTATTCAAATTAAACAATTTTTTCTTTTTGCAGACACAACTCCTCCTTCTTTCAATAATACTTGTCCAGAGAACATGATGGTCTATACTCCTGAATGCTCATCCAGTGCTTTTGTTGGATGGAATGAACCAGCTGCTGATGATAATTCTGGTCACGTGATTGTTAACTACCCTTCCATTCGACCGTTAGCTCAGTTGAGCATTGGAGTCTATTTTATAATATATTCAGCTTCAGACGCCGACGGAAACAGAGCTAACTGCACCTTCGTGGTGAAAGTTGCGAGTATGTCATCGAAATATGTGACATTGACTTTGCCTTTGAAAAACGTTGCTTGTTTTCTATCGCTTTTGATAAGTGTTTGTATATTGCTCCGGCGTATACTCTTCTATAAATGTCTATGTATGTTTCGTTATACTTATCTTCTAAGCTATCGCAAGCAAAATTGTTTCCAGGTAGATCCATAGTTTCTCTCTTGAAAATACAATAATAGTGAATACAAGTGTATTATAACACTTGAAATTGCGTCAATTCAACATAATAAGGCTTTATTTTCACAGGGAAATCCTGCGTTACACTTCAGCCACCATCACATGGAAGTTTGGGCCTTTCCTGTGGCTTTTCATTTGGTTCCCAAGCTAATTTTACTTGTGACAGGGGATATCAGTTGATCGGGTCTCGAGAGCGTTTTTGCAAAGAGGACGGCTCCTGGTCAGGAAGCACCTCTACATGTAATAGTAAGTATATGTTACTTTGCGAGTCAGCTTGCGTTTAGTCTCCAGTCTTTTGTCTTAAGTTTTTTTTTCCAGTGCAGGAATTGGTTACACAACTCAAACAGTCTTAGCCATTTCACAGTTAAGAGACAACCCATGACTAACAAACATTATCTTTTCAAGCATCCTGAAAATATTTAGATTTGTAAAGGTAAATAGGAGAGGTTTCAAAGACATGATTTAAATTGAGGATTCCTGATAGCTGCTTAAAAATCAGGAACTTAATCACATGATTTCTTTTACCTTAAGTTGTGAGGTGCTCTAAGCCATTGAGCCTCCATCTCATGGAACTGTTTTTCCAAATTCGTGCAGATCAGTTTTTGGTGTTTATTATAAAACCCAGTGCTTTTTATCGTGCAACGATACCCCTGGTTACCGACTGGTAGGCGAAAGTAGCGTATCCTGCCTCGAAAGTGGATCGTGGAGTGCGGATTCAACAAAGACGATTTGCAAGGGTACCAAACAGAAGAACATATATCTTTATAATTGGTCAATCGTACGCAATAGTGACGTGGGAGGTACCAGTCCCTTCCGACAACTTTAACATGTCACTAAGTCTGAAAAGTTTGCGCGCTCTTTCATTTCACCAGAAGCTCCGTAGTCTGATTCTATGCGATCTTCATTTTTTTCCTCTAGAAATTCCGAGTATATCCAGTGATGAAGAACAAGGCGGCTTAAAGCCAGTAACTCTTTATTCAAGTATTGCAGCAGGATCTGTACTGTTTATTATTTCCCTGATTATTATCGCCATCTTCTACGTAAAGAAACATCGTCGGTAAGTTTGTTTTTGTTATGTCCGAATAGTTACAGTCTGGTTACCTTGACAAGCATTAGGTATCAGACAAATATTCTCCAATACGAGACCTTGGTGGGTTATCTTCTTAAAGGGGGATTTATTTAGCCCATAGCGCACAGAAAGCCCTAAACAAGTTATGAAGTTAGCCTTTCTTATCCTGATACAGTGTAACAAAAATGAATTATCAAAAGAAAATAACATTTAATAAAATTAGAGGAAGAAGATTAAGAGGTAGAAAGGAATATAGATATATTTCGCAATCACACATCAAATGGTTTCTTTAACAAATTAACCCCCCTTACTTATTGTTACATATAAAACCACAAAGCTCTTCTGAGTGGAGTTCACCGCACAGTTTTTAATATCAAACCTTCACTATATTGTTTTCTGAAAGTAGAGATAGCGATCTCGCCTTATAACTTTCAGATAAATGTTGCTCACAAAAGGGCTATTGGCGATGACGATATTTAGGTAGACTCGATTTCCGCCGTTTGCTTGAGTCTTTTCTTCGCCTGGTTCGTGTCCTGGTAACCTCGGTAACCTTGGCTTCTTCTTTTTGTTGCGGGTTCGATCCGCAAATGTTTAACAGGTGGGGTCCGTACTCCACTTCAGATGACATACCTTTTTCGCTACTAGCTACTTCTCAACCAACCCCCTTCTCCCCCTCCCCCTCCACTGAAATAACCAAACCGCTGAAGGGGCCGCTGCTTTAACTGGGGAGGGTTGGGTGGGGCGGGTCTGTACCCATCTGACTCTCCCTCGGAGTCCGCCGTTGCTATTAAGTGAGTCGACACTAAGCTTTCCTTCCTCTATCCTATCTTTAAATCGTAAAATAAAAGTAATTACAGCGATCGCAATAGAAATTGAACAACATCCATTGAAAAAAAATATTTGATATGATTAGTTACTTACTGTTGGTACCCGAAGACAACTTTTAACCATGTTTATTTTGTTTTGTCTCACAGTGCCGTGCGCAGGACAGCCTCTGACCGGAGTATAGATATGGGGTATGGCAATCCCGTATTCGAATTTGCCAGAGATGACCCCCAAGTCGATGATCCTGTCTATAAGGAGATCGATGTTTCTAGACTACGTACCGGCAATGATTTGCCGTTAGAGAACAATACGGACTACTTTGCTTTAAGTGACGTACATCAAAACGATTACGAAAGACCTGAATTCACTTACTCCGAGGCATGAAAGATCCGGAAAAGAATAGTGTTCTAGAACATATCGCCTTGATAAGAAGAGATGTTATCCTTAGAGACACTAATTGGTGTCATTTGAGAATATGCATACCTATTCCTTAGTGAAGTATTTTGGAGACACTCAAAGTAACATGTGATTTTAAGACACGTTAGTTTTCTCAGTATGTAGCGATAGAAAATTTAAGCGGAAGCTAACATTTCTTTAAAAAACTTTGGTCGCTTTTTCCTACCACTTTTGTTCCAAAAAAAGAAAAGAATGCAATATTCTAAAGCTGAAAATAAAAGAACTGTACGATACACCGATAGTAGTGAAACTCCAGCCATTTTTAGAAACATATTTTATCAAGATTGCAAAACATCAGTTGTAAGGCGAAGCGTAACAGAATGGCGAGGGGTTAAACATGGTAGTCAATTTACTCGGTGCAACTCAAGCAGGCTAAAGCCCCAATTAATGAGTTGGTCTATATATTTCTAGTTTAGGTGCAACTAGACATAGTTATAACCTGCGTCTGACACTTGCTCCTTAAATCAATGGAGCATATCAGAATTAGCTGCAAATAAGGAAAGATGCAAAGGGAAAATAAGAGATCGGACGTTTTGTGCAGGTGTCTTTTGTTTATTATTGTCTTTTTTTTTTCATTAAATATGATTTGAAAACCTTTTTCCAAAATAAAACAATTTTAAGAGGCAGATTTTCTTCAATCTACGCAATAATTTGTTTACGACCTTACCACTGATGTCAATAACTTGTTATACCTTGATATCAAGTGTGAGTAAGATATGATAAATTTCTCCGGGTTTTTCTCCCTAAGGTGTCCATTTCACGATTAAGCAGGAATCTGAAGCTATACGGTGTATTTAGCAGTAAGGATATGAGTTTGAACGTATTCTTCATTTTAAAATAATAAAATTTCAGTCCTTTCAAAACTTTTTGCGTTACTACTATATTGTATGATTCGTGATGGGGCCTTGGGCCTTAGTTAACGGAAGTTAAAGCTCTGTTTTACTATCGCCCTCAGCTAATCATAAAGCGCGTTATATCGGCCGCAAACCTAGGCCTTATGAAACAGTGCACTAATTATTTATCTAACAATACTATCAATGAGACTAAAAATTTTTGAAATTACAAACATGTAAGAAATATACACATATAGATCATCGTCAGCATGACCGGTCATGGGATAAGTTATGATCATAAAAGTTATAACGATGATGGTGATAGTAATGATGATGATAATGATGACAATCCTTTTAGATTGTCATAATTATAAAGACAAGAAGTAGCTAAGGATCAGCCAACGGATCTTCAGCGAGCAAAGCTCTCCCTTTTTATCGAATGTTGGTAAAATCCAATTTTCTCGATAAAATAAGCCTTCTGCTCTGAAGCGGACTTCAATATGACTTCTGTGACCAGGAAATTCCGGCCAATGCAAAGATCTCTGCAGCAATACTAACTTTGGGAGCAGAAAAACTCTTTGACCATATCTTTCACTACCTGTCTTACGTCTCTAATTTTCCAGCAGTACAGCAATGGATTCAGGGATGAATTCAACTGAACAAGAGTTACTGCTAATTCAAAAAATAAGGCAACAATTGGCGCATAAGTTATGTACTCTATGAATATCATTATAACAAATGGTAGATAACAACCTAACAACACCAGTGATATCCAAAGTGCACTGGAAACTGTCTTTCTGTATCGTGCAATATTGATCGGTACTTCCCTCCTATTTGGCCGCGAGAGGTAAACACGTTCTTGGACTTGAAACTGGTGATGGCGAAGTATACGATATATTTTCAGGTGGCAGAACGAGGACGTTGATATGCACAGCAACATTATTGCACTGGCAGTAAATAAAAGAATGCGATATCCATATAGGTAAACTACTGCGTTACTACTGCTTCCAAGCCAAGAAAAAATTACAAAGGCCCAGACCCGTTTCCTTGTGATGGTTTGTCTATACCTTAACCCAAGCACCAGCGCGAACAATCTATCCACACTTATTGCAGTTGACGTGAGCAAAGATACGCCGCATAGAGATAAGGCCACAACTGGAGAAACATATTCCAGATAGTAACAGAGACTAGAGTGGTACGGAGACAACAAATAGGCAATATACAAAGGTTGCAATATGATTCCGACGCAAAGATCCGTCAATGCTAAGCAGCTGAATAAAAGTTTCGATGGCGGATGAATCGACGTAATTTTTTGAAGGGCAACAATTATCAAGAGGTTAACTGGAAAGGATGTGATTGCTATAAGCACATTTAAGGATGAAATGATCTGGTTGTGAAATCCATTCAAACCATTGGCGCAGTAGTAAAAGTGTGCTGCTCTCGACGAGCGGTTTCCGACTCCACTAATGTTCGACATCGTGTGGATGGAATATTGTCACACTCTAGCTTTGTGACAAGATATCCAAACTGCGTCGCTTTTTAGCTGTTCCGTCACTTTGTACAATGTTTCACTCCTTTATTACAGCTTCCTTTAAAGTGATCAGAGTGAGACCAAATTAGGAGTGTAAATTTTTTTAAAAGGAAAATAGGAAGAGGTGTTTGTTTTAATCAATGAATTTTAATGGCCAAATGATTTGCTCGTTCATTTAAGCAATAACCTATACTTCTTATCGGTTTTGCGGCATAACAGTCCCTTGAAACAGACAGTTTTTAACGCGACTTAATAATGTATTCTATTTCAACAATCTCTGATATCAGTAGGTAGGACCGGTTAAAAAAGAGTGAAAACCAATTTAAACAATTTAAATTAAACTAAATACGCTAAAACTAAATACACTTAGGAAAATTACAACGAAAATAACAGTGAAGCCTACAAAATACCAAAACTCACATTTGTTGCGATGCTGAAGAAAAAGTGGTAAAATTTCCGCACAGCCCCATGCTATTGTAAAACAAATCTGTTTTCCCAATGGCAATGTATTGTTTTTGTCATTGTTTTCGCTATCCAATAACTGAATGCATAATGTAGTATGGAGCTGTGCGGAAATTTTACCTTAAGAGTGCCGAATTACTGCCGAGCGGCGAAGAGGCTGCACGTAGTGCGATATGATGAGATATGATTGCAAGAAATATAATATGAAATATGATCACAAGCAGACGTATTGAGTAAAACTAACAACTTCGATAAAAAACACGTTAAATACTTGCAACGTTACGTAACGTTATATTGCACAGCGCGTGCAGAAAAATCTTACAGTTATCAGTGTCGTTTGTATAAAAACAATATACAAAAGAAAGAAGACGTTTGTGATCTACATATTTAGAACAAGAGAAAAGTTTATAAACGCGGTTAACCGATAAAAAGTGCGATATATTGCTTTTATGAAATATACCATTGGTTTAACGAGAGCGAATTATAAGTTTGATCAATCAGGTCGTTCGTCGTGTCTCAGTTTATAAAATAAGTTGTTGTTGTTTTTAAGTAGAGTAAGTGACAGATGAAAGGCCATCTTAATAATGCTTTAAATTTGAATCTTCACCCGATGAGGATTCCTGAAATCTCATGAAGGTGACACTTAATAGTGGCGGATGATCTTGAATCATCAATACATGTTGCTGGGTTTGATTGTCATTTAAATTTCAAAATTTTACTGCATTATCAGTGAGAAAATTAATGTGCATATTCCACTGATCAATACAGATGAAATTTTGTAAAATTAATTTGAGCGAGAAAAGCTTTCAAGCTATTTTACAGTGTTCAGAAGAAAATGAAAATTTTAGTTTTATTAAAGAGGTAGTTTAAAAATAAAAACATTCGCCTTTTTACTATTTTCATTAACCATAGCCCTGTGAGTGAAATTCAAAATCGAGGATCGCAGTCCAATTTTATCTTTTGAGTTAGAGTTCCGATCCCTTTTTTATCCACTCCTTATTCTTTTTGTAGGCCGCTCAAAAGTTTCTACTTGCAATTATAAAACATCATATCTAGGTATTAATTTTACGATTTACAAAAATCTGCGCAACAGATCACGTTGGATGGCAGTCTTGGTTTCGAGGCCTTTTGCTTTATGAGCACTTCGGACAAATTTGCAAACATTTTACTCTTCGTTTGATTTACAACAATGGCGTACCCAATAAGAACCTGACTGTTATGAAAACAATTTTAATCCATACGCTTTGACAGCCAGATTGACAAGAAATATCATACAAGAGAGCTTGAAGAAATTTTATATTGGGAGATGATCTTTGCGACCGTCAGTTGACTGATTTGATTCTCAAAATTTTACTGTAATCTTCAGAGAGAAAATTAATGCTCACCCTCCGCGGATCAATGCAGATAAAATTTTGTAGAATTTTGTAGCGGGGAAGGTTCTCAAAAAAAATGCATTCGCCAGGCTTCTACTTTCAATAAACATTACGGGGCGAAATTAAAATCAAGATTCCCTGTCCAATTTTATTCTTTGAGTTAAATTTTTTTTCCTTTTTTTTGTTTGATAAAGCCGCTCAAAAGTTTCTATATTATAACCTTCGCGATAGAATGTCTTGGAATACTTTTTTTAAAACAGCCGTATAAGCTGATAATGGCTCGTGTTGCCATAATCTGGCACTAATCTGCTCTAGGCCCACATATAGAAATTGAGGGTCGTGTTACAAATGATTATAATGAACTCTAAGAAAGATGACATGGATAACTCCCTAAAAAACCAGTGAACGATGGAGTAAATGTCATTCGGAAATCCTCAACTGATGAAATTGCAAATTAAAGTTAGAGGTTGAAAATTGTAAAGTAAAAATTTCAGTATATTGTCATACCATCCTCAAAGCCAAATAAATTACCTTTTATGTTCGCGAACAGAGTATTTGCCGTGCTGACAGGAGTTCTGACAGAGAAGTCTCGCGTTCAGATACACTTTTTTATGTCTTTAGCTGTTCGCTTCAATAATTGTCAAGTCATGTTGTTGCTCACGTCGCCATGCAAATAAAATTCATTTTTAAATGAGGATTTTTTTTATCATTTGATGGATGTTATTCTCTCTGCCAGATGTGCTTTTCGCCCCTGAGGCGAACAATGTTCTCACCTAATTAGATGAACACTACCTGAAATGCATATTCACGTACGGTAATGGCCTAACGGAGCTACACTCGCAGTTTTTGTCGCTTTAAATTACAATCGCACGTGACAACAATGTAACAGAGGCCAATGGGTATCGTGTTTCTATAGTAATTTGCGAAAATTAAGCCATGCGATTGAAAAAGGCCTTTAGAATCATACCAAAGAAAAGGAGAAAAAAAGAAGGAAACAAAACAAAGAAACTAAGCAAACGTTCCTCTCCGTAATATCGTAAAAGCTTTGGACAAGATCGCGTGTACACGAAACAAAGAGTATCACGAGAATCGCTTGCTACAGCTTTTATGAACGTATTTCACATTCATTAATAGGAAAAATTTTCACAAGGGTGAATTCAGCTGAATTGGAATGGAAAAGTGAGGAAGAATATTCTAGATGCCTATTTCTGCATGGCGGAAAGTTCCTTAAAGCAACTCGTAACCGTTGGAAACCAACACAAGGAAACTCTAAATCGCATTTGGATCCACAGAAAACTTTAATCAAATAGCTTGAGGTATTCTAAAAAGCCTTTGTTCATTGCAAAAAAAAAAGAGAAAGTCGGATGAATTTAATGTCACTAAATGTTGCACTGTGCATATTTTAATCTTATATAGAGTGCGGAAACATTGCAAGGATCACCGGTGATTTTCACATGGATGCAATAAAAAGGTTAAAGTTTGGTGTTTCAAGGAGAAATATCTCTCCACAAAAAGGTTTTAACTGTTAATGCAAGTGTATTCAACATGATTTATTCAACCATAAACAACTTTGCCAGAGGAAATGAATCAATGAATCGATTAATCAATTAATCAGAGTTTGAGCGGAGATTTCCTTTATTTCATCATTCTCTATTCCTCTTTACATCAGCAAGTTATCTTGACAAATACGGCTAAAGTGTGCCACGAGTTAAGAGTAGTTATAAAGAAAAAAAAATAGGGGAGAGGGGGAAGTCATCTACAAGCGTCTTGAATAGAACTACAGTGCACATGGTAGTTACATGAGTTAAGCCTCCAGCAGTCCTAACTTATGGATTTTTGACGGACTATTACCTCGGGCGTTTTTGTCGTGAAGCTGATACATCTCTCTGCTGTTATTCTTCTCTCCGACAGAATTTATTAGCTCTGGAGGTGGAAGACGAAGGTTCGAACTGCTATCGCTCACCCTGTTCTTTTTAAAACGGTTTGATTTACATGTACAGAATCTGCAATTCAAGAGTAGCGCAAATTTACACTCAGGCAAACGAACATATCTATCGACAGGTGGTTTTATTCTTCCTTTTTTTTTTAAACGACAAGGCTGATGACTCGACAATTTAAAATATAAAATTGCTTCGTTTGATACTTACTTTGGTAAAAGTAGGAACGCATAGCTTGTAAAAGATAAATCCAAAAATCTAAAACTTTAAAATCCTTTGGCTAAAAAAGTCTTTTTGAAGTAATATAGATGGAAAATTATCATGTATGTTTTTCTCCATCATGATAATGGCAATCATGAAACTACCGCTACTATTACTACTACTACTATTACTACTACTACTACTACTACTACTACTACTACTACTACTACTACTACTACTACTACTAATAATAATAATAATAATGATAACGACAATGATAAAAAAATCAACATAACACTTCCCAAAGTAATGGTCTTTATGGCATAACACGGCAATTTTTTTCGGGAACCATGCTTGAGAAATCATTAAACGGCATCCCAGACCCCCTCTCAGATCTCCCCTAATCTGAAGAGCAACGTACCTTTTGTATGCAATGATGACGCCAAGAATTATCACACCAGTTACACAAGCGGTTACTGTTGCTATGACATGGATATTGACACTATCTTCATCTGGTTTTTCAGGAATAAGAACAGTAAAATAGTCAAGATCGCTGCATAATGTATGGAAGAACAAAGTTCTGGCTTGAACATCACAGTACTCTCGCAAAATCTCACTTGCATAATTGGAAATTATTAGATAGCTCTCCACAACTCAGATTTGTCAGTGTAAATTAAAAATTTACGCTTAACACAAGTCGGGTTATTTCTGCTCCAAAAATACAGCACTTTGTACATAGGATAACTGAAATTTTTCATTGCAAATCCGAGCTTCAATACAAACGAAGTTTATAAATAGGATTTTTTCTTCATATATATAGAGACCCCAGATGGAATTTCACACATTACACAATACTAACTTTACTGCACACATTTAGTCAGTGGTTTTGATATTGTTTTGGAGTAACCTCATCGGCGAGACGCAATGGATGTCAGCTAACCAGCTTCTTGGAGTAAATTATGTTTCACAGCGCAGAAAAAACGAATTTGGCAGACTACTTCAACAAGATCTTTGAGCTTGCACAATCTAATATTCTTTACATTACCATAAGAACAATCGTTGCTCGAAGTTGCCCCAGTGATTGACGTTGATTTTCCTTCTCCACATACTGTACATACAGACTGTCCTTCCTTGTCCTGGTAGCTACCTTGAGCACACGGTCTACATCTGGAACTGCCTTGATCGTGGAAGGTACCCACGAGACAGGCCACTGTTGCATGGAATATAGTTGTTTAGATTCGTTATTTACACAAATATAGAAAAAAAAAACAAACAAACAAATAAAAAACAGAACGAAAGCAATGAGGATTCTGTGAAGATAGTCTATAAAATACGCTTATTTCTACATTTCTGATATAAAACAAAGGATGCACCAGAGAGCAGGCGTCACAACAAAACAAACGACAACCAGATTTCAGTTTTCCGTTGGCTTTATCCGAGATGCAGTGCATGGATGAGTCGAACGCTCTCATTGAAGTGACCCGCATACCTCCTCTGTAATTTACTACTTTGTCATTAACTGTGATTTCTAGGAACAGTCACAGAGAAAAATGGCATCAACCTATTAAACAGACGATGAAAGCAATAGAATAACATTCCAAGAATACTATACTTTAAGTTTGATTAATACCTATTGCAAGAGTCGGCCGAGAAGCAATCAAATTCATGGTACTAAATTAAAACCGCTTACCACATCCTTTCCCATCTCTACTCATGAGGAAACCTGCTCTACAAGTTACACTGGAACGAAGAACTTGAAACGATGATCTATCTGCACTAATGTTTATTCCATTTAAGTTAATCACGAACTGTCCCGTGGCCACTGCACTCGTCATTTGGAACAAGACCGCTTCGTTTTTCTCTTCCACGTCATTTTCATATGCATCCGTGGCTTTGGAGACAATCAGTGAGAAGATGACTTCCATGGCTTGTTCTACCGCTTTCCTCTTTCTATTCGCTGATATTTCACACTCAGGGACTTTGACCTCTTGCAATTGGCATGATTGGCAACCTTGGACTGTGAGGAGTGTGTCCCTTATTTCACTTTCGATGGCAGTGCGCAATTCTTTATGGTTCTGGCTGCTGCTGCACTGCATTCCAGGGAATTTTATCGAGAAATCGTGCTTTATTTCCATTGGTGGTGCTTTTCCTATAACAAGAATCACATAAGAAAAGGCTATGAAGCTAAAGGAGACATGTTGTCCTATTACTTCCAGCTGACTCAATTACAACTTCTTTCTTGATGACCAGTACGACATACAATGTCGTTAGAGAATTGAGGAATAATTTTGATTTAGATGGATTTAGAAGAGGCAAGAGGATACTAACAGTTGATATTCTCTTGGTACTGTTTCTTTCTGTTGAGGACGAAGGAAATCTAATAAAATAAAAATTAAAAAAAGGAGAAAGGTTGGTTTACGTACTTAAGCACGTTGGGACTTGCACTTCCTCCATGCCGTTCCACCTCCACTCGGATTCAGGCCCGCAAGAATATTGAGTAATTGCTTCTGCACTGAAAGAGAACCCCTCATCGCACGAGAGGATGCACAGCATTTGTCCAGAAACCTTATGGCAAGAGACTTTGCCATTCTTTGGTTGTTTAAAATCTGGACATTCTGTAAAGAAAAGATCGAAAGTTTCCTTTCCCATTGAACCCAATCTTATCAATGCATATAAAATTACTATGAATTTTTACAGTTGCACATTGTCAAGTAAGGAAGATCAGAAGATCATTACAACTTCAAACATCTAAGGCCCCATGGAAAGGGAAGTGTAAAAGTCTCACTTTCCCTGTTTTGTACTACATCTGGGACTTGGGAGTAAGTAGGCCAGTTTTAAGGCCTCTTTATCATTATTTTTGCAAAGTCTCACCTCCTTCACTTACGATCTTCTTTTCGCAGTTTTTTCCATAATAGCCCTCGTTGCAGAAGCATTCAAAACGGTTTACTCCATCGACACACTTCCCATTCAGACAAGAATTTGGGCTGCAGTCGTTGATGTTTATATTGCAATGAGCTCCAGTGAATCCAGCTTGGCAGCTACAGTAGTAAAATCCATCGCGAGACTCGCAGTGTAGGAAGTGTGAGCAGTTAGTTGTGCACATTTTCAAAGCTGTGGGCAAAGGAGCATAGCACAATTTCACTCTCCTTATTCATTTGAAAGAGAAGAGTTTACTAAAAGTAATTTGTCGTTATATTATCTAGTCTAAATCAGTAAGATCTTAAATAGAAGAGGGGACCTGAGGTTGACAGGATTCATGTGTACACCTTGTTAAAGTCGTGGTTAACCCTTTAAACCGTAAGAGTGGCTAGCATCGAATTTCTCCCTACAATATCATCCTTGAATCACACGTTAAGCTCATGATAAGAAAGGAAATGATCACGAATGAAAGAAGCTTTTGATGGGACCTTAGGAAATGTACAAAGAGCAGAATGAAGAATACGCATACTGATTTTAGGGCGTGGAGGGTTAAAGCTACGCGATCAGTCATGGAGCGGAACTGATTGTATTCCTAAATTACCCAGACCTTTGACGTCTCAGCGACGTCACAGTGGATTTGGGAGAGAGGGAGGCACAAGACAGAAATCGAGCATAGTGAAGCGATTCTCTACCAAGATGTTATCCTGTGTTGCACTTGTATATTGTCGCGTTTTCTTCTGCCTTTTTCTTTAAATGCACTGAGCATTCATCATCTCTAAGTTCTTGGAAAGGTATACCATCTATATAAATCTGTAAAAAAATACTTTTCTGATTTGAATTTGAAAGATACTTAATACCTTTACACTGCGTCATAAATCTCTTTTCTACTTGTCCTTTGATGCCTGGAAGAAAACTACTCCATGCCCTTAGGCTTCCTGCAATGGGCCAGCTGCAGTCGTGGGCGGCGTTCCACATGTGGTCACGCGTCGCTGCAACATTCCAAATGCTCACTTGATGTAGTCTTCCTACAAATGCTGACGAAAGAGCTGTGATCTTTTGTTCTGCAAGATACCGTTGACCGAGTGCAATCCATCCGCCTCCTCTGATAATGTTCTCGGCTTGTAAATTGCTTACTTCCGCAATTTCCATTCCATCGATATATACAGACGCACTTCCAAGACCTCCATCCCAGATGACTCCAACAAAATGCCAGTTGTCATCTGCTAACCTAAAATCAGCCCTTACTTCTTCGTTCTTAATTGCCAATTTAATTTGAGACTCTGTAAAGGAAAGGATTATTATGTCTTCTGGATTCTCAGGAACGCTATAGCTGAACAATGTTCCGGATTTGTACTTTGAGTCTGCTTGCACGAACTGGGCGATCGTGAATCCTGTCATGCTTGGGATATTTTGGCCATCTGGTAAAAGAACCATGTCCTTTGATGACTGTCGTTTGAATATGAGGTCGAAGTTACTGCCAAGAACTAAAAATAAAAAAGAATAGTAGTAAAACATGAGAAAGGTTCTTATAACCATCATTTTTAGTTTTGTTTCAATCATTTGATTCTTGTTTTCATGTTTTCGTTTGTTTGCCTGTCAAAGCATAAAGCTTATTAGCCATAAGTGCATCCCTCAGTTTTCTCCGAGCGAGAGAAGGGAAATTGTTTTTGACATTGGATAATCTGAATGTTTATCACGGTGGAATTCGTCATCATCCTCCATAACATAGATTTGTGTGTTCACAAGTCACAAAATTAATTTTATCCTTCAAACGAAAACAAATCGTAATCCTTACAGATGTCACAGCGATCTCCTAAGTACGAAGGAAAACATTCGCATCTAAAGTCATTGACTAGATCGATGCAAAAAGCGTTCGCGGGGCAACGATCTGGGGCACAGTCATCAATGTCCACTTCGCATGCAAATCCGGTAAAACCGCTTAAACAAGAACAAGTGTAGTTTCCTGTTGAATTGTCAGCATTGCATGTCCCTCCGTGTTGACATGGGGCTGATTGACATATATCGATTAGATTTTCACAGTTTTCTCCATAAAATTGATCAGTACACTTGCAGTTGTACCCTGGGGTCAAATCGGTGCAAGTGCCATCGTTAGAACATGGATTCGATTCGCATTCATTGATCTCAGTTTGACAGTAGGTCCCATTGTAACCAGCTGGGCAGACACAGTAATATCCAGGGGTTTCGTCAATGCAAGTCGCATTGTTTAGACAAGTGTTCTCTACACAGTCATTGATGTCAACTTCGCAATACTTTCCTGTGAACCCATCTAAACAGGAACAAGAGAAATTGCTGTTGGCATCATGACAGGTTGCATTGTTAAAGCACGGTCTCGTCAAGCACTCGTCAGTTTCAAACTCGCAGTATTTTCCATAATAACCAGCACTACAGTTGCAATAATATCCTGTGCGAGAGTTGACACAATATCCATTTGCGGTGCAATTAGCTTCTCTGCAATAATCAACGACCTTCTCGCAGTGTGAACCACTGAAGCCATCTGGACACAAACAAGAGTAGTTGGCTATTAGATCTAAGCAGATACCATCATTTACACAGGCATGTGATTCACAGTCGTCGATATTGACTTCGCATCGACTACCTTTAAACCCAGAGGGACAAACGCAAGTGAAACCATTGACCTGCGGAGGAAAATAAACACAGATAAGCCGGTTTAATTTGTTTATATTGCCTTATATAATATTTCCCTATAGGTTTCGTCACAATTGTAAGTAGTATAGGTAGTCTGACTAAGTGCCATGAAAGCGAGGCTCTAAGAAATGTTTTGGGTATGTCACGAAAAATGTCACACATGAAGAAAAAAAGGTCCTTTGTACGAATGGAAGTATTTTTAGGCGGGAACTTTATGGTTTCTTCCAAGACGTTTCAATGCAGTCATTTTCGTTACACCATTGAATCTGTCTTGTCAATGATGTGGTGTCCAAAATGTAAACATGCAGCTGTATCTGTTTACATTTTGGACACCATATCATTGACAAGACAGATTCATTGGTGTAACGACAATGTCAGTTCCCGCCTAAAAATACTTACTACGTGCACACAGGACTTTTTTTTTCTTCATGTGTGATATTTTGCGTGACGTACCCAAAACATTTCTTAGAGCCGCGCTTTCATGGCACTTAGTCAGACTACCTATACTACAATTGTATCTTGTCCTAATACGGGATGTGAGTAAACCAATTTTAGTTCTGAATGCACATCAAATTTTGGGCTGACACTTGGATCTTTAAATTTATCATTTTATTTGACTTGAAGTCATTTCGGAAACACGATTGAAGTCATAGTTGAGTGTAAGCAGCTTTTTTAGTTTACCTGATCATAACATTTTCCGCCATAATAGCAAGGGAAAGATGAGCATTCATTAATGTCAACATCACAAGAGTCGCCAGTGAATCCAGGCTCACAATGGCAAGTGTAGCTGTTTAATCCATCATTGCATGTTGACCTGTTACTGCACGGATTCATAAGGCAATCATCAATGTCCAATTCACAGTGCCGTCCGCTAAATCCATTCAGACAGATACACGTGTAATTGTCCACTTTGTCGACGCAAGTAGCATTATTGTAACATGGGGAATTCGAACATTCATCGATGTTGATGCTGCAGTTCTTCCCGGTATATCCTCTCTCACAGTTGCATCTGTAGTCATCTGTCATGTCAGTACATATTCCGTCATTCAAGCACGGATTCTGCTCACAATCATCAATGTTTATTTCACAGTTGGCACCGGCAAACCCTTCGGCGCATGCACATCTGAATTCAGCGATGCCATCTATGCAGGTGCTATTATTCATGCAGGTGGCATTTATGCAATTGTCCATATTAGTCTGACACTGCTCTCCATCGAAACCGTCAGCACATTCACAGGTGAAGGATGTGATGCCATCGAAACACGAGCCGTTGTTGAGGCATGGCATTGAGGCACAGAAGTCGATGTCCATGTTACAAATTTTACCACTGAAACCTGGCGGACATGCGCACGAAAAACCGTTCACGCCATCCTTGCAAGATCCGTTGTTTGAGCAGGGAAAAGTGGCGCAATCATCGATATTGTTCTCGCAGTGTAAGCCATCAAAACCATCGGGGCACCTACAGTTATAGCCATTGACCTCGTCCAAACATGTAGCCTGGTTCTTACAGGGGTTGGAGAAACACTCATCGATGTTAATCTCACAGCTAACACCGGAGAAACCTTTGTTGCAGATACAAAAGAAACCATTGACCTCGTCAATACATGTCGCGTTGTTTTGGCAGTCTGCACCCACACATTCGTCAATATTGTACTCACAACCCGTCCCATTGAAACCTGCAGGACAAACACAATCATAACTATCCATTCCGTCTCGACATATGCCTCCGTTTTGACAAGAATTGTTTGCACAATCGTTGATATTTTCTTCGCAATCATTCCCTTGGAAACCTGAAGCACAGAGGCATTCGTAATAGTTAATTTGGTCTGTACACGTGGCTCCATTCTGACACGGAGATGTCAGACATTCATCAATGTCCTTATCACAAAGACTGCCAGTGAAACCAGGCTCACATTGGCATTTGTATCTCCCTGGGAGATTCTCACAGGTGGCATTCTCGGGGCAAGATGACGAGGTACACTCATCGATGTCTTCGTTGCAGTAGAATCCTTGGAACCCTTGTGCGCAGGAGCAAGTGTGGTTGTTAACGAGGTCATGACACGTGCCATTGTTGAAACAAGGTTGGTCTTTACACTCATCAATGTTGGTGTCACATTCTTTTCCAGTGTAACCCGGTTGACACGTGCACAAGAAGTCACCAATAAGGTCCGTACAGGTGGAATTATTTTTGCAAGGGCTAGAATCACACTCATTGATTTCTAAAACAACCAATGAAAATGAAAACAAAAACGAAAAAAATAAAATAAAAACAAAACAAGAAAAGAATAAATTTATAACCAAAAATAACTTCAATGGTAATTTGTTCACCTCAGCAAAAGAACTAAGCCACGATCGACGGCCATTATCCTTACAATCTATGGCAGGGAATGTCTTACTAGGATAAATATATAACATGCACTATGATTTAATTACTTCCAGAGGTAATTACTGATTACGGCCGAAATCTTGTTTGAAATATCTGGATTTCAATTCAGTTTAACATGTCTGTGTCTCGTTGTGCTTGTATGGAGCGAGCTGTACAGTTCTAGTCGAATCTCTCTTTGCTATAGATAATGGCGACCGCGATTGAAATACTCAGATAGTTGCTTTTTTCCTTATACCCAGCTTAGGCTATTTCGAATGATAAAGGAATACATTTCTTCAAGCTGGACATTACGAGAAGAGTAAAGTTGAGCATTCGTGTTTTCAAGCGACATTTTAAAAGCATTCTGAATCGGCAAAAGGAAAATTGTGCTCCTATTTTAAGTGATGAATTTCAACAAACCTATACAATCTTGGCCATTTCTTGAACCAGGATTTACGGTTGCAGTTGTCCCAGGGCATGAGAAACACGTGCGGCTTTCACTCAGTGGTTGGAATGAACGCCGGTCACAAGAGGTGCAAGGAGCTAATCCAGTTGGAGAAAATGACCCAGGGGAGCACGGAACTATGGATGCAATGATGGAAATGAGAATAAAAACACTACAAAACGATATTAACGAGCATATTTAATCATCATAAATTTCACACAGACAAACAGAAATATTTACTGATTGACAGAGATACCGACAGATCGACATACAGACCAACAGAAAACGGACCGACAGAGAGACTGACAGAGAGACCGACAGGCTGACAGACTGACAGCCCAATAAACATACCGACAGACAGCTGCAGAATGAAGGACAGACTGATCTAGTATTATCACTGTAAAGAAAGACAGACAGACAGACGAATAGACTGACCAACGGAGAGACAGAGTGAATGTTCCAAATAATTTATTGTCAGAAGAAAGGTTTTACTTTTTTTCCGCATTGTACTCCTGAAATTTTAATTAGTAAAATATTGTAGAGCATTAAACTTCATACAAGTTAAACATTAGTAAGACGGCCAACACGTCAATCAACACGGCATTCAGCTATTCGTTAGTTTTTAGACGTCAGTATTCGGCAATAAATCTAGTTGTATGGTTGAATATCTTTCTTTACAGAGACTTGATAAGTTCTTTATTAAGTAGGTACAAGTACATCATTTCCACTGAAATAACTTGATCTGTCACTCGGAGAATGAAAATTTATCTTTGATGGGGCACTAATGAGTAAACCAACCCAAGGAGTGTCTTTGTCTATTTTAAAGTCACATACTAAGTCAATTAACGAAACTCTTCTCTACATTAAAAACAGAATTGATTTTTTAATACCTCCACATTGCGTAGAGTTTTTGGATCCTTCGGCAGGGGTTGTTTCGTTGACACTGCATTTTAAGCATTGCCGCTGTCCTACCATTTCCTGATAAAGTCCTTTGTCACAGGTTATACAAGGTTCTAATCCGGTTGGCGAAAAGGAACCAGCTTTGCAAAGAGCTTTCAAACAAAGTGAAAAGAACAAGGCTTTAAATCAAGTGAGCTTCAAAACAAATAGATAAACATATCAAGCTCAAATGGAACAAATTTGATGGTATAATTTTTTGCAGGAGATGGTTGAATAAGAGAGTAAAAATAGTGGACTGAGGTAGCGTAACCGTATTGCCTACAATTCCGCATAACGCGTGAAAATAGCCTTCGTGGGACCTTTAACTCTTCCGTCGGTTTCCTACCACAAATGATGCTTGACCACGTTTTCTGTTTTTTCAAACATTTAGGTTATATTTTTTTTGACTTGAGTTAGTTTTTTTTATTCTTTTTAGTATGTTTCATTTGTTTTTGCATGTTTTTTAAGCTTTTTTTGGAGGGGTTACCGAAGTATTATGACTAGCTACCTAGGCAGTTGGAGCGGTTTCCTGTTCTGGATTCTGCTGTGGAAGTTTTAGGTGGACACGCGAAACACTGTTCTTGTCCCTCATGCTCTTGATATGTTCCAATGGGACAGTCTTCACACTTTTCAGTCGTTTTATTCAAGTATGTTCCAACCGAGCAGTTCACTATTAAATAAAAATTTATGTAGTTAGCTAGGACATATTGGAGTAGGCTGAGCATACTATCGTGATTTGTCAATGGCCAGAGCTTCAACTTCTACCCGAACCCAGGAACAGAGAAATGACTGTTCCGCCAGACACACGCTAATAACAATATTTTTCAAGAAACGAGTTCAATCATTGTTTAATCATTCGATTACCTAGGTTTATCTCAAACACTTTCAGGGGCAGTAGTCCTCAATTTGTGGGTAGCGATTTGCAGGGTAGGAAGCTGGCTCCAGGTCAAACAAAGTGGACGAAAAATGCATCGAATGAGGAAAAGAAAGTGCTTCAGAAAGGGAAGAGGAAAAAATAACACAAACTTGTATTGCGATATCTTTTGGTTAGCTCACAGTTTCTGGATAAAAGGAGGTTTACTGTATGAGACATTCCCAATCAGGTGATGATGTGTAAAAACGATCTGTCTCTTAAAAGCTGTCTCTCAAAGCCCGCCTGGCGAGTGGTTGGTACGATCACTGGAAAATAAGTTTACCAAAGGAAGTTTTCATTCACATGAGCGACGAATACACTTTCGACTGAAATTGGGGAACGTGTTCGTAAAATATGACACCACACCAAGTGAACTAACAGAGCGAAACTGGTATAATTCCTTGAAGTCGGCTTTCGCGTTAAACTGAGGTTTTTTGCCGATTTGATCTTAAACATTATCTTAATATTTTGCTTTATTATTAATTTAATACAATTTTAATGGAAAGGAGTGACTCTGACTTACAACAGTATCCATCTTTATACACTTGTCCTCTGCTGCAAACGCATTTAGGCTCTGAGATGTTTAGCGACTGTTTATCAGGTTTGATATCAGTGCCATTGATGCTGAGAACTAGGCTGTCGTTATTGACTGCACTTTTGAGCACACTGCTCATATTCTTGGCGATTTTCATGCCCTCCTCTCCCACCATAATCTGGCCTTCTTTGGTGCTGTTTGCTTGAATGCCATCAAGGTTTACTATAAGTTAATAGTTGAAGTAGTTAGTTAAAAAAGAACAAACTTACAAAAGCAAAACAGAGGTAAATAAAAAACACTTAACGCCTGGTCCCTCGAGAAATACTTCAAAAGGAGGCAAAAGTTTTATTTTCCTAAAAAATGGCCAAGAGTCAAAATCTCCTCCTATAACAAAAACATAAAAGGGAACCAAAATCTGCTAAAAAAAAATTCAAATACGCAGTTTCCGAGATACGCAAACTGAAACCTTTGGTTTAAACTAGTGTGCATGTCAAGCCTTACGCGTGAAAAAGATAGAATAAATGAATAAATAAAGTACATATATAGGTTTTGGATCTTGTATGTAATCATATACAGGTTTTGGACCTCAGATTTATATAATTCGAATTACATATGTTAAAACCTACCAACAAGATCAGAAGTAATTGTTGCGCGCGAAACGGATCGTCGCTCTCTGTGATGAGCCCCATTAACTACAAAGATAAAACATACATGCAAGAAAAGACGTTAAGAAAGAGGCAAAAAGCTTACCACCCTTATAAAGTAATGCACAGTACTCTGCTGTATTTGCACAAAGTATGGATTCTTTCATTGGTCATTTGAACATGATGACTTGCTTGTAATTATTTGTGGTCTAAAAATCTACACAGGCTAGCTGTATTGTTTATGCTGCTAGTATCATAGATGACCCTCATATTTTCAAATTTTTACTTCTTGAGATAGAAATGTATTTCTTTTAACGTTTAAGTCCCAAAAGGTGACTTCACATCTTCAAGAAAAAAGGCCATAACAGCAGACGAGGTGTGATATTTCCGTTTGCAAAAAAAAAAAAACCTAGCTAATACGTTTATTCCAAACGGTAATTTCATTGGCTGTAAGTAGCTGGCACATAATGCAATGTCATAACAATCCCATTATAAAAATATGAAGTCGTAAATAAACCAGACCTGTCCCTAACACAGCATACATAAATAGGTCTCGTTTTCTTCGAAAGATGGAAAATTCGACTTCAGCACACGTGACTTTAACATTTTCTGCTCTGCATTTATCTTTGAGTGACGGGTCTTGGCAGACGTTTTTGAAAACAGATGTGTTAAGCAACTGGATGAAGTTGAGTGCTATTTCGGCTCGAGCCTCTGGCGAATTACAATCACCAGTGAAGTAATGTAGATGCATTTCCATTCGAGCAGAACCAGCTCGATAAACTTCTGCAAAAGTCAAATATCAAATGGAGATTAGAGTCTCGTATACCAAGCGGATCATGGTAACTAATCATGACCAGTGTTTTCTTGGCTGCTTACTAGGCTTTTTGGACCTTGCTACTGCCTTCAGCTTAGCACCCCCAGTTTCTACCTCGGCAAATTCATCTTGTTTTCTAACCTGAACAATCCGGCCAGGGGTCTAAGGGAAACCATACACCTGAGGCCCCGCATGCCCATACACTAGCCGTAAGCTTTTGAGCAAAGTCCCATCGGTCGTTGCAAAAAGGCGAACACATTCTTCCGAACATCCAGTCATCACAAGCCTTGGCCCCGTTCTTGGGTGGACTCAGATCCGGACAATCTTTCGCTGTTTAAAATAAAACGGCGTAAGGTAGAGTCTCAAAACGGTTAATTTTCCAACAAATATAAGTTTCATTCGTTAAATTTTAGAGGACGTTATTAGTATCATCAACAAGATGAAAACTGCAGTTTTTCCACGTAGTCGAAGGCGATCTCATTCGATCGAGTTAGGCACGTTTTTACTACTACTGCTGCTCCTACCACCACCACCACCACCATCACCACTACTACTAGTACTAGTACTACTACTACTACTACTACTACTACTACTACTACTACTACTACTACTACTACTACTACTACTACTACTACTACTACTACTACTACTACTACTACCACTACTACTACGGCTGCTGCTGCTGCTGCTGCTGCTGCTGCTACCACTACCACTACCACTACTATCAACACTGCAACTTCTTTTATTGCCTATATCACTACTACAACTGCTACTACTACTTCTATCACACAAGCGAACATCTATTTACTTTGACTAGCTTTTCGTGAATTTACAATAAGCTGGAAATGTAAGGCGTAATATTTTGAATTCCTTAACTAATGGAAATCCATATTCTTTTGACAACTCATCATTAAAATCATTTTCACCAAAGGTTCGTCGCAATATCGAGAACTGCACCTTACGTTTTATAGTTAACGTAAACTGACAGAGAGCTGGTTCGTTATTCGGGTTGTTGTCTTGCGCCGTACAGTGTACATTCCAGGTTCCCCAATAAAACTCGGTACCGCTTCGGTGACTGCATTTGATGGTCAGTGGATCATTGCTGTTGTCTCGAAACTGTGGCTCGTCCCATGTCACCATTGTTTTCGTCGCTGTGGCGGTGATACTTTGATCCGCAGGACAATAAACAACTTCAGGACTTAATTCATCTGTCACGAGGAGACAAATATAGTTTAACTCAAGATTATGAATATGGACGAAGTATAAAATATAATTATTCAAAACAAAAGCAATTGAAAGTACAGCAGATAAATTTGTACGATTCATGACATAGCTCCAAACGAGCTTTGACTTAGAGAAGAGGCAGTTGACAATATACTAATGCTTAAGTAAGCAAGAAAAAATTCAAAACGAAGCAAAAATGCTTAAAATTGGCTTTTGAAAAATCATAAACTCTTGATCATTTCCCAGACCTGTTTGTTTATGGCCTCAATTTCTTCTTAAAACGCAAAAAAAATTTCCCTTCACCGAGACCTCAAGGATGGTAACTAGTGCATTCATCAGTTTGACAGTTACCTTCTAATATGACTTTGAAAGAGCATTGTTGCTTGTTCCCACTTCCATCCATTGCAGTGTAGACAACAAGAGTGGTTTCATTAAATCTGTAAGGTGGGCGAAGTCCTGATGGGTCAACTGTTATATTTGGCAGCAGATTGCTATTGTCCCGTGCAACCGGCTCGGTCCAATTTACCAATACAGTAGAGTTAACACTCAGACTCACACGGATGTCCGAAGGACAGCTCAGAAATATGGGCGAAGTAACATCTGTGGATATATATCAGTGTAAAAGTGACTACCCAAATAAGTCAATGAGTGTTTAGATCCGAACGAATATCCACAAATACAGCTTGAGCTGACATGTTAGGCCCACAATATGGCAATGCTGAATCGAACGATTGAATATTGAACACTTGATAGATTAATGGATTGATCGATTAATTGATAGATCAATCGTCTGATGGTATCTGTCTTAAACAACGATATAAACTTATCTATTAAGTCTGGTTTCTTTTATTCTTTGCTCTTTCTTTCAATATAAACCGACTTTAGATGAACAGGGGTTTAGCTCGAAAACCTCAAGGCCCTCCAGTCTCAAGGCCCTAATAGCTATGCTTCTTTCAATTTTACATGTCAAGCAGAAAAAAGTTTTCTTGCTTGATTGTTTTGCCATTTCTGTGAGCAATTTAAACTTATTGCTGTCATTGTATTACCAATGGATTAACTATGTGTTATTTTAACTCGCAGCAGACATAGTGTTACTTTTGGTCGAGTAAGTATTTTGACATTTCTAATGAAATACTTGAAACGAGGTTGTTGTAAGTTTATTCTTTACTACAGTATGATGTGTGACTTTTTAAAACTCTCAGAAATAACATGCAGTTGACAGTAGATTGACTCACCAAGACATTTTAAGAGAAAGGATTGGGTGCCATTCCATTTCCCATCTAGTCCGCATTGTATCCAATTGACCCCTCCGTTGCTTTGGTAACCATGCTTGCACTCAAAAAAGCACGTGGTTCCGCTGACAGGAAATGACTTGCACATATGAGGATATAAAAACCCATGTTGCGGTGCACTTAGGGAGGAACAAGATCGTGCTAGAAAAATATAACAAAATAATTTAGTTAGCCTGTCTCAGCAGTCTATATCTACTACACATCGTCTTTATCAAAAGGAGGTGAGCAAGAATGTTGACGCACTTTCAGCATGTTTCATTAATTGGCAATGAAAGTCAACATAAAATCCGATAAGGATAACAAGAACATAGAATTCTTAAAAAAATGACAACAATCAAAAAAAATATATTTACAAACCATTCATTGTAATTTTACGCATAAGTATATAATTTTTATTTGCATCACTTTTAAAAGGAAAATTGAAAGTTAATGGAACTATTCTTTTGTTCCATTATTTATTAGTCCTTCACACACTTGCCTCTACAAATTCCTGAAGGTTTGTCCCAGTACCCAATGATGTGTCCAGGTTTGTTCAGGCACGTGACATTCTCTGATCCAATTAAGTGGTATCCATCATTGCAGTTGATTCTGCATGTGGATCCATAAGTGCTAACGCAGTCTCCCACGAAAAAGCCGTGTAATGGAGGAAGCAAAGTTTGGCATCGTAAAACTGGGAAGAAATTGTCAAGTCATTAATAATGTAGTAAACTGATGTAAAGAGTCCATGGAAGCAATCGTTTTACTGATTCATTCACGTTTCTGGTTTCTCCTCCTGTATTTGATTACTGTATTTGTATGGTTTTTCACCAAATGATCTTTAGGATTATATACATCCAGGGGGATCGGGATTTGATGTCACATCGCCCAAAATATGAATTAGGTAGATTAATATCTTAACCTATGAACCTTATTCCAGATTTGCCGTTTATAATGTTCTGAAAAGGCCTTAAAATAAATGTGAGAAGAAATAGCTTTACAGATAAATTCATGTATATGTAAATGAATAAGAGCTGTAAGCTCCACACGTTAATTTTTTTAAATTTCATGTAATGTATTTTATCTTTAGGAGCTAAGAAATCCCCTAAGATAAAGTTGCCACCGTCGTCTACGTTAAGATAACTAGCCATTTTCTCACCCTCGACAGTTATATAAAATGTGCAGATCTTGTAATTTCCTGCTTGATCAGTGGCGTTGTAAAAAACCTGATGCTTCCCTATGTAATATATACTGGCCACTCCGATGGATGTTACATTTGGTTCTTCACCGGAGTTGTCACTGGCGATAACAGGAGGCCAGGTTATGGTGGTATAATTTCTTCCCCAGTCCGCGTACTTCCTGATATCTCTGGGGCAGGTCAAACCAAAGGAAGGGCTATCAACATCTGGAAGGATAAGAGAAACCCAAAATAATAAATTAAAAAGGTTATTCCTCTATAGAGCTGAAAAGTTGTCATCCTTCCTTTTGATACTATTTAGACACGTGTGGCCTAAGAGCCAAACTCACCTTCACCCCATAAACGGATCTCCCCACGACTTCTAGACTATATTGCTAACTCAGATTTTCTTTTCTCCTTTCTTTAAGATGAATTCGTTTCGACAGTTTTGTTGTTCTTAAGAGAACAGGCAAGCGCACTTTTACACTATCAAAGCACAGCATTTTGAGCTCATAAACAAAAAATGTTTGAACATTCATGATTTGAACCCATGACCTCTGCGATACCGGTGCAGCGCTCTACCAATTGAGCGAACAAGCCAACTGGGAGCTGGTCAATGAATCGGGTCCAAATAAACATCCAAGTGAATGAAGATTTTAGATATATGGTAGAGCCCTGCACCGGTATCGCAGAGGTCATGGGTTCAAATCCCGTACGGGCTTGAATTTTTTTTCAGGTCCTATTTACAACTACTCGTTTCAGTAGTGTTCTTAGCTGCGAGTATCTCTTAATTTCATCCCTCCACCGCAGTACAAATATATGAATTTTCATATATCTAAAATCTTCATTCATGATTTATTTAGCAGTTAGCGAATAAACAAACAAAGAAATGATAGCTAACCTTTACAAAGAGTTGTGGTATTCCTTGACCACTCTCCGTTACTAAGGCAAGACACTACCGGCCACCCACTCAGTCTGTACCCTTTCTGGCAAGTGAAATGACACGTCGTGTCATATTTCGGGACAGCCTTACAAGAAGTTGGAGTCACCTCACCATCTTCTGGAACTTGCAAGGGTCTACATTGGACAACTACAACGATAAAAAGTAGCGCATTACCAATTAATCTGACCTATCAATAGGAGACAAAAGGACCTTACGGTAAACATGCCGGCTTGCCGATTAGGAGCTTCAGTTTTGCGCGGTAGCCTAGATCATTGTGTTCGATTCTTGGGCAAGACGCTTCACCCCTATAGTGCCTCTTTTGACCCAAGAATATAAAATATTACCAAAGTACGAATTTTCAGCAAAAATTCCTCTCAAGGGGAGTGAAATAATTCTTGCTTCAAGCCATGTATCCTTGCGGAGTTGGTAGGCCACTCCACTTAAGTACAAGATTACACTTTTCAGATATATATTTGGTTAGATTCAGTTGACCTTTTATGGCTTAAGTCTTATTTGATACTTGATCTTACTTTCTGTATCAAATATCTTTTGGTTCAAACCCATCAGTGATTTCATCACATGGCACGTTTTTTCATTGTTGTTGCAATTTTGTTTGAGTCTTAATCGATAATCCTGATGAGGCTCCTCATCCAAACACATTTTCTCGATTAATTTACGCGCTGAAAGGGGAAGGGGATCTTCCTGGGTCATACATATACTTCCATTAGATTTCAAATGACAGCTCCTCATAGTTCTTTACCTTGACAATGTAGCGCCTCTCCAGACCAGGTGCCATTGGCTTGACATGTTCTCTCGCTCGATCCATTTATCATCTGATTTCCAATGTCACAGTAGAAAAGACATTTATCTCCAAATAAGTTATTAATAGAGCCAGCTCCGCATCCAGACTGTAGACTGTGTGGTGGAGGGACGAGACGTGGACATTGGGCCACTAATACGCAAGTTTATAGAAAAAAGACCGATATAAAAATTAGAAACAGTAATCAAGAGTGAAGGAAAGAAACATCGCACGTTCTAAACAGGAGCAGAATTAATAACTTTGAAATTCCATGAAACCAACGTGTACCAACGAGCAACAAAAATGCAACGCCCCATCCAAGAAAATTATACCTAGCGAAACAAGGGAGCAATGAATGACGAATGACTACAACGGAATATTAAAAACAGGTGTGTTACATGCAGCTTTAGGACAACATTGAAAGAATTGGTTTTGTGCTATGGTACCAAATGGACACCAATAGAGCATTGTAAACAAATAATGACTTGACTCTCCGAGATATTTTAAGTCAAATTACCAGATTTTCATCGCATTATTTTATCTTTGTATCACTCTCTGTATCAGTAACCATCAGACTGTGAAATTGGGACACTCCAAAGTAAAATAAGAAGGATCTTACTCTGCATGATCCAGAAAAATTATCATTTTCACATTCGCAGACATCACTGATGATTGTTTCTGTATATATAGATTATAAAAACGTTATTTTGACAAATACTCACTTTCCCATATTCTTTGCTTAAGTTTCAAAATTAATTTTACGTACATTCACAGCTCGTCTCGTTTCCTTTCCAAAAGCCTATGGAGGATTCTGGATCTTTTTCACAAACTCTGAGAGCAGAACCTGTTAACGTGCGTCCAGTATGACAATTGATGGAACATTCAGATCCATACTGATTGTCTTTGGTGCATTGTAAGGTACCTCCGGCCGGGGCGTATAGTCTAGGCACACAGCGAATGACTACAACGGAATATTAAAAACAGGTGTGTTACATGCTGACTTGATTAATTTTACATATAAAAATAATAAATGCTAAGTCTACTCACCCATCAACCAGTAATGCTAATCCAGATATAGCATAAAAGGGAAAGAACTATGACTTCTTATACTGAATGAGACGCAAGAAACTATCTAGTTTGATTATTCCTATGACAAGCTATCGATAGTCTGGCTGAAGAGACAAAGCCTAGGAGTAAATTGAGAGTTTTTCTCAAGATTTCATCACACAATTACAGTAGCAATGGGCTTAAACCCACCCACATCGCAATAATGGGCTAATATGGCAGCACAGGACGAAATTGCAAGAATCCGTAAACGGAAACGTGGCAGAAACATGTTAAACCGTTCCGGAAACACGACGGATAACCTGTGTTTCCGTTACCGGTTTCGTGACGTTTTCTCGCGTTTCCGTTGCTGCGTATACAACGGAACCGGACCACTTTTACGTAAACATAACGGAAACATGGAGTTGCATGTTTCCGCCACGTTTCCGTTTACGGATTCTTGCAATTTCGTCCTGTGCAGCCAATGGGCCACATTCTCCAACTCATTAACTTTCACATAAACAAACATGGATCAAACATGGATTACAGTTTGAAAAGTATCGCGCACTATGGTAAAAATGAAAGAACAACAACTTTTATATGAAACTTTTTGAGTCCATAAAACAACAATATGTGAGCTCAACTATTCCGTGAATAACAAGCTAATTTACTTTTCCTGGCAAAACCACATGTTTGAGGGGCCTTTGCAAAGTATACTCTAGTCGATTCATTGACAGCTACTATTCACCTCAGTGTCGGTGGCTGTTGGGGGATATTTACCGAGCCGCGCAACGTCGACGTAATTATCCACCGCTAGCCATCGAAACTGAGATGAATAGTTGTTTTAGCTTATTCTTAACCAGTTAGACAATAGACAATATGGCTCAAAAAAAAGTATTTCAACCAATTTATTCCTGCAACGATCACAATATTTCCGCGCACATGTTTCCTGAGCTTAGATCGGAGGTGAATAGCATAGGATATTCGGAGTTTGAGAAGCCCATCAGAGTGGACCTGCAACGTCATCGATTGATTTAGTATATGCTAACTTACAAATGTTCTATACCTGAAACGAAGACCCTGAATCTGCACTCAGCCACGTTCCCTGATTTATCAGAGGCCAAGTACCGGATTATGTGTTCTCCAGAGGAAAATAAATCGCCAGGTTGCTTTCCGAAGTGAGTGATGTTAGGTATGAAGCCTGAATTGTCTGTAGCTGTTGGAGGAGACCATGTGACTTGGGTAGACGTAGCACCTCTGTCAGCATATGTCTCAATATTTGATGGACAGTTGAAAAACTCTGGTCCTCTGATGTCTGCGTAAGAATCACATTATAACTTTCAATTAAAGTAATCGGTATGTCAGGTAATTCCCAACAGTAACTAAAGAACTCTATCAACCCGAGACTTCCTCCTCGCCTGACTTCATTCTTGGAATCAGTAAACATGAGATAAGCATTAACAAAATGCTACCTTAGAAGGCTAAATGCAACTAAAATTAAATTAAATTTCATTTACTTTTGTATATAACATCCTAACATCTCTCAAAAAGCATGGCCGACTTTAGGTACTCAACCTTTCACGGCAAACGTGACATTTAACACCAATTCTAACCTCGGCACGATGGATTCCCTAATGGAAACCAGGTCTTGGACTGGCCGCATGTCTTTATTCCTGGCCCATACTGTTGATATCCATCTTTACAGGCGAACCGACACTCCTGAAGGTACTGTATGGCAGCACTTGAATTGGTGCAGAATACCGGGCTGGTATCTAATCCCTCAGACTTAACAGCAAAATGGGGACAGGCAATAGCTATTATTGAACAGAACGGTAAAAGAAAGTGAGGTTATGACGATACAAAAAGATTATACCCCACAAATAAAGAAGACTTTAAAACGACAGTATTTATATCTCACTGACCAAATTAATTATTTACACACCGTCAGTTGCCCATGCTTATGTATTCGGCAAAATTGTGCATTTTTGGCTATGAATAGTTCAATGGTATAGTTACAGAGGAGAAATTAGATTTTAACTCATTATTGGTACCGATTAAAACAACAACAACAAAACAAACAAACATGCAAACAAACAACCATACACCCCTTGCTTATTGCAATTTCATCTTTCATACTGCTTTAACCGATAAATAAAAGCCCTGAAGTAGTTTTGTGTGTGAAATATTGTCATTTCAAACAAGCGAAAGCGGTTTGGATGTAAATTTAATTTTATGAATTCAGAAAACAATTTCTTGAGTACCCTGACACTCAAGTTGAGTTCCACTCCACTCTGTGTTCTTCAGACAAGTTCGTCTTGATGATCCTCTAACAGCCTCGTATCCCAATTTGCAATGGAAAAAGCATGACGCATCATAGACAGAACTTGGACCAGTACAGCCATACCCTATTTGTATTGCATTCTCAGAAGTATTTAGAGTAGGACAGCGAATGGCTGAAACAAGACAGCCACAAAATAAAATCAAATATTATCACATAAATAACGATAGAAAACGCAACGGGGGCATGGATTAACCTAATAAACAGCAAGTGACTCAAAAATTTCTGGCATAAAGCAGTTTAATGTATATGCTACAAGAGGTATTTGGACTCGTTTCCAATGATTTAATTTCCACACATAAGAACAAGAAAACCTGACTTAAATAGTATATGCATTAAGAGTTTGTTGATGAATGGACCAAAATCATGCTGTACGCACAGTTGCATCCAGACAGTTTTAAGGAAGAGCTGGCATGTGTACCTTCACAGTAAGTTGTGTTTCCAGTCCAGTATACTGCATTTAGATCTGCTTTCTTCTCACATTTCCTTTCAATTGATCCCCTCAGCTCATACCCCTTGTTACAACTGAAGCGGCAAACTCTTCCATGCACATTTCCACAAGCTTCATTCTCAAGCTTTCCATTAGCAGGCGGGAAGAGAACAGCGCATCTAAGCACTGGAGTTTTATCACATCCATGTTAATATTATTTCACGTGGGATAATTTTACCCTTATTTTTAAAGAATACAAGACGAATGAAATGTTTGATCTGGATTTCAAAAAAAGAAATAAGTAAATAAATACAAAAGCTACAGGATAGTTACTAACCGAGCACAGTAACTCTAAAGTGACAAAATCTTGTATTTCCTGATGGATCTGTTGCCGTATAGGTCAAAGTATGACCTCCTTCATAAAACACATATGGAGATGTGACGTTCGGAGTCACAGTGACAAAAGCTCGATCGTTATCAGTGGCTATGACTGGCCCCCAGCTTACTGTGGCTGACGTTTTTCCTTCATCGGCTAAGACACTGAGATCAGATGGACAGGTTTCATTAAAAGAAGGTGCTTGGATATCTAAAATCAGGATAAAACAAGAAATATTCAGTTCTGATTCTTTAACCATGGAGATTTTAGTTTATCTAAAAATCAAAATATAACATGAGTTAAGAGCCTGATGATTAATCAGAGGTTTTAGGTGCTGCAGTAAGAATCTAGGAACGCAAATTTCTTTGTACGTGATTGACTACAGAACACAGGCCTACTGCGTTTATTCCACCTTGACTGTATGATTTAAAGACGCTGTACAACTCAACCTCGATTTCATAATATTTATAAAATTCGTTCCCTGAAGCCTGCACGTTTATATAATGTTGTGATAGTTTCCCATTAGAGTGGAACTGGTAAATGTAGCGTTTCCACATATTTTGTCCAATGTATTGTTTGTTTGTTTGCTTGTTTTTTCTTCGGAAAAAATAGTTAAGTCGGTCATTATGATATGATGCAACCAGTAAACGATGATTACCTCAAACTAACTATTCATATAATGAATTGAGAGGTAAGTTTATCAAGAAACTGCAGTGCTACATCAGTAGAAGTACAACGAAATAATTTGGTATTATCAACTCAGTCAATAATGCAAATTGGCCACCATAAAGAGTTTATAAAACAGACGTTTCGTCATTTGCTCTGACGAAGGGCTAACGCTCGAAACTTTTGCTTTCTTATGGTGACCAATTATCATTACCAACTCAGTTGAGAAAACCAGATTATATAGGTAAAGTGAGACGTCTAAAACCGAAACAGAAATTACCAACAAGAATGCATTTTCTAAGCACCTTTGCAGTGTACGATCGATCCAGTCCAGCGTCCGTCATCGCACGTGACCTCATTTGCTCCAACGGCCTGATAGCCTGGGTAGCATTCGTAAGAACACTTTTGGCCATGTAAGGGCTTTACCTGGCACTCCTGTGGTACTACATCTCCCCTATCTGGCTTATTCAAGGGTGGACATTCTTTTACTAAAAAGGAGAAAATAATTTCATGGCAAACACTTAAACTTTGGATGTAAAAACACATCAAGGGCATCAACAATAATGCAAGAAAATAGCGATACTTGTACTGAGATGAAACACAGATTGAGATCACTTCTGTGCATTTAGACAATTGCCTGCAGAACTTTGCGAACTTTCCTTCAACGTCTTTATGCCACAGTTTATCCTTAGAGTTAGCATCACGTCGATGCAAGTAAGAATAGTCCTTAATTTATCGAATCTGGTCATCCCTTACACTAAGGGACCATTTAGAAACAACCGCATAAATAAAAGCAGGGCAGATAGTATGTAAAAGAGTTCGTAAAGGCAGATACATCACTAAATATTTATTATATACATTTATTTCCCTTGAAATTTCCATTTCAATTATTTATCTATTTTTTTCTGCTTTGTTTTGCTGCTGTTTTTTTTTTAATTTTTATCTTTTTTTTTGCTTTGAGTTGTTTTTGTTTTTTTTTGTTTTTTCTTCTGTTTGTAATCTTCGTTTTTTTTTTTTTTTTTTTTTTTGGTTTGATTTTTTAGTTTCTTTTTTCTTCGTTTTCTTGTTCATAAAGCCACAAAATATCCATCGTTCACGTACCTTAATTTACTCATTCCAAATTTTGCGTTTCTACTGAGCGATTCGAATAAATTTTCGTCATCCATTCTTTCCTTACTACTTTTTCAAATGTTTTTGCCTATTTGTTGTTTGACAGTATCTTATGTATATGGCCAGGATTGTCTTTCTGCAAGCAACAATTCTGTGACATGCAATGATCCTTACTCCTACCTTGACAACGAAAAGAAGCCGAGGAATCCCAATTTCCACGATTGCAGCTTTTCGTGCTAACTCCAAAACCCTCGTAGCCTTGTTTGCATTTGTAGAAACAGCTGTCACCATGGGTAGGTGAAGTTAAGCATCGCGGAGGCCAAATCTCACCGTTTGTTGGAGCCGTCAAACGCTGACAACTGTTTCCTAAAATGGATAAACGTTAACTAAGAAAAGCTTTGAATGCCATGCTCAGGCACGTTCTCTAGATACTGAAATATAAATTATCAAGTGTTGAGGACAAAGAACACACTTCGATTGAATGTCGTAAAATTAAACCAAAGTGCTCTCAACAGCTACTAAGAACAAAGTAGTAGTATATATCTAAAATATGTAGGCAAAATGTCTAAAGTTTGAGAGGATGCGAGTGACAAAATCAATTTTGGTTTCTGTTAAGTATTAGGATAAAGTAAATTTTTATGACTAATGTAATCCAAGATTTCTTTCGAAACGCAGCTAAAATTTTTCCTATTGTTCTAGAACATAACAATATGCAGGATTTTTAAATGATTAAACCTTTTCGAAACATTATTTGAAAGCTTTAATCATGATCAGGGAAAGTGCCATTTCCATCAAAAGTCATAAGAATAAAATCTCTACAACTTGGTAAAGTTAAGAAGGAGGTTTAAGCTACTTAAGAGATTGAAATTTACAGTACTTGTCTTATTAGAATATATATATATATAAATTTTTAAATTTTTTTTTTTATCTCATTGTTTATCTCTCAATTTCATTTTTTGATTGCGGTGATACATTAGACATTCCTTCCGTTCGGCTCGGTTCTTCTCTAAGTATTTGGAAATTTAGCTTGCAGTAGAGTCAGTAAAAATTCTCTCTGGTGCCACCGAAATTTGAGGTTCACTCGGTCGAACAAAAAAGCAAACATGTCCGGAAATAAAACAATAAACGTATGCAAAAGGTTGAGCCAATCCTCCATGAGATACACATCGGCTCCATGCAGGGTCTCGAAATTTCACTTTAAAAAAAATACACGAAGACATTCTACTTACGAACACATTTCCTTGAATCATATGGTGAAGTGATATAGCCAGAGGAACACCTGCAGCTGGTTACACCCCCACTTGAAATACAAATGTGTTGGCATCCTGCCGAACTACATGGATTATAATAGCAAGACGTGCTTTCCTGGCTGCTTCCCGAACATCCTCTGCCACCATTAGCTGGCGATGGATTGTTACAATAGCGATACCTGGTCTTAGATCCACTTCTACACGAACTCCAAGATCCCCACGAGCCCCACTTACCGTTCCTTGGGCCTTAAAAAACAATCAACAACAATCGAAAACAATAGTGGAAAAAATCGATTGATAGATTCATAATCAAACTAAAGGTAAAGGATGGACGTCCTGTGAGTAATGGAGATAAGACCATTTGAAATGGACTATATTATTAAGTGATCGATATGAATGTAAACATAGATACAGCGTCTTGTTGTTGTTACACTGTTTCCCAACCTAAATTACTCGCTCTGTGGACTGTTGCCCTTTCTTTTATTATTAATCCATCTCACTGACAGCCGCAAAAAGGTTGCATTTGTGATGATCAGATATTTGTATTTCAGCTAAATGCTCATCACTCCGCAACCAAATTCACCTTAGCTGGTTATGTGGTGAAGCAATTGCAAAGTATTATCCAACGCTAAATGAGGTTTGAATGCTGAATCTGCGTAGAATTGGAAAATTAGTTGGTCTAGTTGAGCACATTGGATATTGTACTTGCTTATTAGTCAAGGCACTGCCCCTATTCTGGTAATAACATTTTTTCCGCGTCATGAAATATACCATGAAGACCGTAAAAAAACCGCTTCTCCCGTCACAGAGATGAGAACCATCCTCCGATCTGCTAAGTTCAATCAAATAAGTACATGAAATATAAAGACATTGGTTAATAAAACTTACTAGGTCCACACCCTCCACATGCATAGACGCACTTCTGATGGGCAGCAAACGCTAGTAATAGTACGCCCGACACAAATAATTTACAGTCCGTGCAGCACATGATACTTCGGTGACACAACCTGTTAGAGTAAAGATAAAAACAGGGAAACAAGTATCATGGAATACAGTTCTCGTGCAACAAAAATACATTTCATCTGTCCTTCTTTAAGGAGTAATATTAGCAGCAGACATATCTCTTTGAAGTAGATACTTTTGGCCAATTGGGCATAAAGTTCCCGTGCTTTTAAGCCGCGACTTCCTGTTACTTAAGCTTAAAACTGCCTCCCTTGAAATCGGGATGAGGGTTCCTTATCCAATTTACATGCATTTCACAAGGAGCGAAAATATTTTCCCTCTTACCAAGGTGTTACAGGGAACAACTTCGCCACGCATAAAATACAATGACGAATGTTTACAGAAATTTGGACTCTGCGACAATATTTTCTTTCTTAACTTTACCTAGGTTCAAAAACTTGTAACACAAGGTTGAATGTAGATGCCTCGTGTAACATGGATAAAAAAATATCAAAAGATGGGTGCTAAAAATCGTCTCGCCTTACATCACCATTAGTTCGCTGGTTAGGGAATACACGAATACATGTAGTGCCAAAAAAGTTAGACCCACTTATATGCAATCGCAGAAGTCCTAACTGTTAATTAACCTCGGATATCTAAAACTAAATGTCGGCGAGCACTCAATTCTGCGCTGATAATTCAGTCGAGTAGAAGCGAGTTGAGTTTATTCAAACGAGGCATCTGTTGAACCAGAGGCATCGACGGCATTATCTGTTTTGACACTGTCGCAGTTTTAGAGAATGACAACAACGAGATCCAATTCCTTCGGGATCCAAAGGTGTGAGGTTCCATTCCTCATGGGTACTCATCTTTCTTCAACGAGACCCGTGTTTGCCAGCTGTTGTTATGAAAAAGTTCATTTGAGAGGCAAGTTGTATTAGTGACCGATCTCTCAAATTTGGTATTGGCGTTTAAATTAACAGAAGAAAGACGAGCAAAAAGTTTAGTGTTTAAAGTCGGCGATGAAAGTAGACATGTTATATAGAGGTTCGCCAGCGTTTGTCTGGGATTTTATTCCCAATGTCTCGAACCGAATACCAATGCGATAGGAGTGTACGTTGGTACACATTAATTTTCGTTTTCGGCTGTTTTCTTCGAAATGACGGGAAAATTATGTATTTTTTTTTCAAACAGCGCTGTTTTGAACCTTTTTGCTAACTTGCCCAGGTCTCTATAACTAAGTATGTAAACAAAACATGAGAAAAGGTCCCTGCTATAACAAAGACAGTTGATACTATTTAAGCTTCCCAGAGAACAAACTTACAGTTCTCTCCAACTGCATAGCAAGCTCAAGGCAAGCTTTAAAACATTTCAAACATCTTGCAGAAAACCTGACAATTGCGGCTGAACATTTTTTGGTTTGAGTACTTGGATAAAATAACAAAAGGCACTCACTGAATGCATAGAATATCAAGGTTGCTAACTGATTGTGAGATGCATTGTTTCTCTAATGGGCAATTTGTTTAACTAGAACAAAAAAAAATGAAAAAAAAAATGACATGTCTCCAGTCGAAACTGTTCTTTGATTTCGTAAGGAATTTGATCACAATTATATTAAGGAAAAGGAACGAGTGGGTAGATGAATTATATTTTGATCCGTCACCAGTGTCCTTTTTGCTTTACTTTATCCCAAAAGCTGTCAAAAGGAAGTCGAAATCATACTACTGATGCGAACTCTCCAACATGAAATCATAAGCGTTACTTCAGACCTATACATATCTTCACATCGCCTGAGATGCCAATTTATGGACCCTAATACCGATTTTAAACTAATATCTATTCATTGTTGATAATTGAGATCTTTCACCAGGGGATGTACTCACCTTACATGAAGACTGCTTCTCAGCACACAGATGATCGGTTGCTAGTGCTCTTTCTGATCGTGACCTAAAAACAGTGCTCTATTTGTTCAGCCTCTTTTCTTTGTTTTGTTAAATATGCACACAAACCGCTCTGAAACGGGGTCATGCAGCTTGCATATATTTACTCTTTTTTTTTATTTATTTCTTCATTAACAATTAGCTATTCGGCTCGGACGAATGTAGGAGACCGTCATCAGAATTTGCAGACACTGGTTACTTTATAATTCAAGTAAGTAACTTGGCATCTTTGAAAGAAGAATGTGATCCAGCTTCTTAAAGTTTAGGCCTCTATTCCGTTCCCAGGAGCATCACGTATGTTATAAACTGTAAGTGTCTTGACCCAAACTCGAATTTCGCGTGCGAGAAAACATTTGCTGCTTCGTTCGTTCAGTTGGTATCTTAATTTTTGAAAGGGCGATGATTAAAACTTTGCGTTTATTACTATTGACAAATGTACTTGTGAACATCTCCGTTTTATATTACTATTTTTGTTTCAGCTGAACAGGGAATCATAATTATGAGAGTGATCCGGTGGATTCTCACATTTTCGTTGTGGGCTTTGATTCACAAGAAAAGTGTTGAAGTAGCTGGAGGTAAAATTCTGATTTTTAATTATAAATCGATCTTATCGCAGGGTTTTCAAATGAGTTACAGTTTTGGGATCTTAGTTGTCCACGCTGTTGAAACTTTGCAGGCCAATAGTGGTCATTTCAATATAGTGAAAGGAGATTTTGCACACTTCAGCCCCATTGAAAGGCAGATGGGTAATTAATCTTGATAATGACAGTCTTTGACGTGGGTGGTTTGCAAGTGATCAAAGAAACCGAAACCGACAGGAAATTCCTTCGTTTCTCTGAAACACTCGACGAAATTTTCTCAAAAACTAAAGCTAAAATTTAAATTGCGTACTAAGCCTAGTACGTTTCATTGCTTGTTCTATTAATTGTGTACATCGCCAAAACCTTATTTTTTTTATTTAGCAAGTGCTGGGGAGTGGAAGAGAAAGGAACGGTAGAGGTGTCGATTTGAATTGGTTTACTTTATTTTGACGCACTTATTAAGTTTTAAGCTTTGCTTAAGTCATCAAAAAATATTTGTTGAAGGTACTCATCAAACAGAAGGTTAGTGAGCGCTTGTAGCCTTACGGGGAGCTATGTAAGGTGGTGTTTAAGTTCTGAATGCTAATTCGAGCGCGCGCGATTACTTGAATCCTTGGTTTTCCAAATCGTTTTTAATTTGAGGTCCAACGACGTTATAAAGGATCTCTCAAACAGAGTTGAAATATCTCAAATTTAGAAAGATAGGAGTTAGTGATGATTTGTGTATAAACTGAAGAGATTTCTAGAATGAACTGTAGTTATATGCCTCATCAAACGCGACGTAAATGAGTCTTTAGTCTCGCAATACTTTTATTTGTTTGAATGACAAATGATTAAAGGTTGCTTTCATTTAAATTATCTGCAAAGAACAATAACGTCATTAGAAAACAGTGATTTGAAGGTTAAAACATTGCCAAGAACATTGTGGCACAAGTCCAGTGAAGTTCTTAAGATCGATAGAAAGAAAAAAGCAGAGCAACAGAGGTAATCATGATAAGACATACAATTTAAAAAGGCTTTTTGTCTTAGAATCACACATTTAATGCTTCATTGAGCCGGCATCTAAATTGACATTTGCATTTACAGTTGCGTGATATAGCATCCATTTTGCATCTTTGGTATCTAATAACAAATGTTTATTGTTGTGTTTCAAAGGGAGATTCAGTATATTTCTCTCAATTAAGTAGGTGTGTCTTGTTTCTTTCAAGCAGTGCTAGGTTTTTCAATCTCTTTTCTATCGATTTTTCCCTTCTGTTTTCATCATATATATGACCCGGCCTTATTGCGTCGATGATATTAAAACGTACTAAAGCTTTGTTTTATTCCCAATTACGATTATCATTTTCTTGAAAGGTTTTCAATTAAACATTAACCATCGTCGACAACGATTCTCGTTTAATCCAAAATCCAAAAAAAGCTCAATCATTGATTATGTAGCTTACTTAGTATGACAAAACTTGCAGGAACTTTCTTTCAAGTATAACTTAAGCGTTGCCTCCACGAAGATCAATATTCATAAGCAATAAGAAGACTTTAATTTAGCCTTTTGCTTTTTTTGGATTGTAGAACTACCAAAAAACATACCTAATCCAGATAAGCCGAGTACCTTAGAAAAGTGGTAAGAACAGCATAAATTTATTAAAATCGCCGATGAAACAACACGGAAAACTTCAAAGCTGTGAAACAAAAACCAAATAAATAGATCAAAACTGATTGACGGCTGAAGTTCGACAGATTGACGCTCATTTCTTCACATAGGTGGAAAATTCTAGTGGCCAGTATAATGAAATAAGATAATAAAAGCATAAGGAAACGCGCTTGTGCTAATAACAAATATCAAGCAGGCAAAGTTGCCTGCTGTGAAAAATATCAAGTGAAAAAGCAAGTATAATGAAAAGGCGCTGGATTTCTTTCTTACGCCACTTCCTTTGAAAATCAGAAAAGTATTCCGAAATCACTACACGAGAACATACAACTAAGAGAAAAAAAAAAAAAAAAAAAAAAAAAGGGCAAAAACGTTTCTTTTCATTAACTTCAGAGAGAAGATGCAGCCATTAAAAACATTACTCTTTACGCTTTATATTTGGATGGTTTTTGTTAGCTCTGACAAAGTCCATCGTAATAAATTTATGAATATGAAATTTTGTCGCAACGTCCCTAACTTAACATTTATTTACTTATAACCTTGATAGAAAAGAAAATGTTATATGGTAAAATAGTCTTCTTAGCTCACACTTTTCGCCATTTTCAATGAATTTTAGTCAAACACTTCCACTCCTGATTTACCTGTTGATGTTTTAAATCAAATGATTTATGACATTGGTAACAGTATTGCCATCGACTGTTCCTGGAACAATACAAAATTCTGCTGCGATGCTATTTAACAGTCTACCTCAAGACATTAAAAATTGTATAGAACTCAAAGTATTCGACAGTAAATGCAGAAATCATTTTATGACATTGGCAACAAGTAGTTCCTAGTCCTACTTATATATCCTGCACATACTTTATGTCTCATGCCAGTATTACTTTCATACACGCGTATCTATATTATCCATAAATTTTACATCATCAACAATATACAATTTTATATATACCACCCATAGCTTATGTACATTATTTATATACTATTTATGTAATTATACATCTTTTTGCACTTTATTTTATCCATATGTTATTTCAACATTATATTATTTTATTATAGTAAACTAGTACAGAAGAGCCACCATGTGGAGTACTAATAAACCATTATTTATTTATTTATTTTATTTAATCAAATTAGCACCTGAATAATTTATTGATTACGTAATAGTGCGATATGTACGACATATTTTTCTCACAACGTAATGACTTGCGACACAACTCATATACGACAACTATTTTCACCTTTAGAAGCAATGTCTTCCATGCTTCAAGCTGATCGCTCAAAAACCAAAATTTTTTGAAACAAACTTTTGACTCTCTATTTTTAGCTACCCTATGTACTCCTCCATGTCTACTGGTGGCCAACACTTCCGACATAATTGCAGTGGACTACAGAGCTGCAGTCGTCAACTCTGTTGTTTCTGGTCTTTCGAGAGCTGTGGCTATAGATGTCCATTTCAGTCTGGGCTACATATTTTGGAGTGACGTAACAGAACATAACATTAAACGTCTCCACATTCAGTCCAACAGCATCAAAACAACTATTAATGGTATTGGTGTTTGTGATGGATTAGCAGTGGAATGGAGGAGTTCGAAACTGTACTGGTCTGATACAACTTATGATAGGATATCAATATCAGACCTAGATGGTAATAATCAGCATACGATTGTCTCTTCTGAACTTGAAGAGCCTAGAGCAATAGCTTTGGATCTTGACAACGGGTAAGTTTGGCAAGACTCAGGTGAGGATTCAGTTCCTTTATAACCTAAGTTAAATAATTCATCTTAATTCTGTTATCAAATTCATTCAACTGGTGTTCCTTGGACGCGTTAGGACATCTTGAAGTTATATTACTACAATTTTTTTTAAAATATTGATTGTTTTGAGTGACGTGAGCACTTTTACAGTATATGCAGCGTTTAATTGCACGTGAGTTGCGTACTGACCCACAGCCACGCACACATGATATTTGAAATATTCACAACTAAAAGTTAGTCAAAAGTTATTTTAACTTTTGGATTCTCTTTCTAAATATGATTTCCAGACTTTCTCTAAACAACGCACAATCGATTAGTGTCCCACAGCAGACGATTTCCTTTAGGCATACTCTTCAAACACTCATGTAGAGAGGGTGGCCTTAGACCCGAGAGAAAGCCGCTGTCATCTAAAAGTGACTTTTTGCTGACTACTTTCGAGAAAATGTTTTCCTGGATTATCATACTGTGCCAAAAGTTATTATTATCTTACATGTAACAGTCATGTCTCCTCTTTGAGATGGCTACATTATTGCTAACAGAGAAAGATTTTAAATATTTAAGACGGAGTGACAGAAGTCTCCCAATTTTCAAAATCTGACAGATTAATGTTCTGGACTGATTGGGGAAGTTCCCCAAAAATTGAAAGAGCATCATTAAGTGGAAGTCAAAGACTCGCTATTGTAACATCCAACATTCAATGGCCTAATGGTATTGACCTTGACGAAGGAAACAGACGGATCTACTGGGTGGATGCTAAATTAGACAAAGTTGAATCAGTCGATTACAACGGCAACAATAGAACGGTTATTTTGCATTATATTGGCTTACATCCCTTTGGTGTGGCGCTGGTTCCCCCGTTCTTGTTTTTCACCGACTGGACCACGCTTAAAGAGTTCCACCAACTAGATGCCATTACTGGAGAAGTCCTTCGTAGCTACAGCATCAATGGTGGGAGGCCTATGGGTATTGTGCCCTACGACAGCACACGACAACCCTCAGGTATTTCATACCTTGCGTAGCGTAGCCAATTATGCCATACCAACGGAGGTGTTTTATAGGATGCATCAAGGATCATGTTTAGGTACAGTTTTCGATGAGGGCAAAGGAAAATTTCGTTCAGTCGAGTAAGCAACAAATTTTTGTAAGTACAAGCATATCGCGCAGTAGGCCACTGAAGTTTTGTTATGCATGCAAATACCCTAAAGCGAAAACATATTATTGAATTTAGTCAATATTGGCTTTGGGTATTTACCTGATCGTGAAAGAAACTAGTACGAATTTTCAAGGGCAAACAGCACGTTAGGTTAACGTAGGTACTCACAATCTCTCGATCAATGACCTATCGACTATTGGAAACAAAAGAATCACGTTCCTGGGACATTGTTTTCATAATCGAAGCTAACGTGTTACTTAAGTTGCACATACGTTTTAGTTATCATCATCATTATTATTATTGTTATCATTATTATTGATTAAGGTTTAAAAAAATATGTATTGATGCATTTTATTTTTGCTGCTTGTCTAATTTTCAAGGAGTAAGTGCCTGTGCTGCAGCAAATGGAGGATGTAGTCATTTTTGTGTCCCGAAAACGTCTGGATATGAATGTGTTTGTCCTACTGGATTGACAGTGAAGAAAGATGGGAAGACATGTGAAGACAGTAAGGACATTCACTTTTTATCGTTCCATACTATACTGGATCCTGATTCATCGGTGAATGTCTTGGTTAGGAAACGTGTACTCCATCAAGTAAAAGCAGAGCTAAAAGTTTCTTTACTGATTAAAATGCAAATGCATTTTTACATTCTAAGAAGTAACCAGGTCATCCTATCTGTTTTCTGTTATTCCGATAAAGCAATCAAAAACAAAGTTTAATGTTTTCTCACTGTGGTTGAGCAGCGGTTATTGAATATACAAGCTAACTTTAATTTTTTATTTTATTTTATTTTATTATTTTTACACAATTTTACTCACAGCAAATACAATGTTCTCATTCAAATTACTTCCTCTCTCTTGCTCTGTTTGCTGCTATTAACTGTGCGCTGCCAGAAACTTAAACGTGGGCTCCCATGTTAATTTTTTTTCCAGTATTCTGCACGGTAGAGATTGTTTCCCATGCTCTTGATTAAGTGTTTTCCTTTTTAACTATCATTGCAGAAGTGAAAAACTTTCTTCTTTTTGCTGACGCCGATGCCAACACGACGAATATAATTTCACTGGACGTTAGCTATTACGTTGCTCAAATTTTGTTCATACACCTTGGAAAACAGCGTCCTGTTGCATTAGACTTTGATTCACTCGAGGATCGTGTGTACTGGTCTGACACTGCTCAAGGTCTCATCATCAGTGCATTTTTCAATGTAACAGGCGTGAAGATTCTGTTTCGTAGTAATGTCCTGAGCCCTGAAGGGTTAGTCATTAGTCATGTGTCACGAACCATTTATTGGACTGATACAGGAACGGACAGGATCGAAGTAGGTAGCCTTGATGGTGCAAGAAGGAAACTACTTATCAAAAATGGACTTGACGAGCCCAGAGCGATAATACTCAATGAGAGAAATGGGTAAGTCAAGATGCAGAATATTATTATATGTTGTTAAAGCGTTACAAATTGGTTGTGCTCGCAAAGATGAACACAAAGGTGAAATAAAAAATTAAAAGTAAGCAATGAAGCTCAAATTTGTTCAAGCGTTTCAAAGAGTCTAGAGGATAAAATTTGCACACCCCACTAACATTGCACGAATGAATTAAGAACATTCTTACTAAACCAATCGGACAGTTTACCAACAAACCCGCCTGAAAAAAAGACCGTCTGAACTTTCATAATTAATTTGTTTCAGTCGATGCAATCGATTAATGCTCAAACCACTGTTCTAGCTAAATATTGTACATAGGTACCACAAACTACTACCTTTGTGTCGAAATACACAAAGCTATGATTATATGATTATAATTTAATCTAGTCTTTGATCTATTTCCATTTACTATTTACGCATTCATTTACTAACTTTTTTTATTTTACTATTCATTATTTGCCCTTTATCTGATTCTTTAGGACACTGTATTGGACTGACTGGGGTACCAATCCGAAAATAGAGAGAGCTGGAATGGATGGCTCAGGACGACGATCGATTGTGACCGGAAGTTTAGTCTGGCCAAACGGACTTACTGTCGACCATACTACAAACCGTCTGTTTTGGGCTGATGCTAAACTGGACACTATAGAGATGTCCGACCTTCATGGAGGAAACAGACAGGTTATATTATCATCTGCAGCTGATATCCATCCATTTGGCCTAGCCTTGTACCAAAACGTGTTATACTGGACTGACTGGGGCAAACAGAGCATTTTAAGTCTGAACCTGACCAATAGTAGCCAGCAGGTTGTGGTTACAGGCCTTCTAAAACCCATGGATATTCATGTGTTTGATTCGTCTTTTGACTTAGGTACAAAGTGGTTCTATCTCTTCTTTTTTTTGGGGGAGGGGCTGCTAGGAGAAAAAAATCTATATTTGTGAAAGAGTTATGCGAATTGCATAAAAAATCTCTGTTTAATAAATTTTTGTTATATTAAGAATAAACAGGTGGACGAACATGCAGGCAAGCAATGGCAACAGCCTCAAGTATCTCCCACATTGTTTGAAGCTGTAAATGATAGTGTTATGATTTTATGGACCAATACTAACATCACTGAAACGGTGTTTGCTAAGGATACCAAGTAGGAAATGGAATATTCCCGAAGATAGCATTGATTTCCACATAGCTAATACCACATTTTAATTTTATTGGAAAGGTTCACATACTTGTGCTCAAAACAATGGATTCTGCAGTGATTTTTGTCTTCTGAGGCCAGAAGGATATCAATGCGCATGTCCAACTGGAATGGTGCTCAAGCCTGATAGGAAAAGCTGTGACTACGGTGAGAACCCTTATTAGTTTATATATAAACCTCTCTGTTACACAGTCCAACAATACAACTTAGTACATAGTTGATTGGACGTCCTAATTCCAAGAAGCATGACGTAAACTATCAGTTCATCCGTCTTTTCTGTTCAAAATGGATTGTTCTTTCCCTACAGAAAGAGAGAGAAGAAGACGGAGGAATAGGCGAAATTATCAAATTTGAAAATTTTCCTTTTTAATAAAAGGGGAAACCGCACAGGGTTTCATACCCCATAGTCCTTCCATATTAAAAAAAAATGTTTTGAAAACCTGTTCTTTCATATGATGACATTCCATCTCTAGATTTGTTCCGTACGACAAGCTCTGAAAAATTTCTGATTTTTGCCGAAGCCGACTCCGGGGAAATATACAAGATTCCTCTCTCGGTTCCGGAGAAACCTTGTTACCCACTCAAAATCATCGAAAACATCTCCAGACCAATAGCTGTGGACTACGACCTCGTTGAAGATAAAATTTACTGGACCGATGTGACCTTAAAACTTGTGGCAAGAGCATTTCCTAATGGATCTTCCGTAGAAATTATTGCCCATATTAACGTGGATACACCTGATGGACTAGCGGTGGACTTTGTTGGAAGGAATCTTTATTGGACCGATGCTGGAACAAGTAAAATTGAAGTTACCAGTTTGGATGGTTCGGTTAGGATGGGTCTTATTACATCAAGTCTAGATAAGCCAAGAGCAATAGTGCTCGATATTCAAGAAAGATAATAAATGTTGGAAACTAAAAGTGCGATGTTTTATTATTACCAAGCTTTCGATTGTGTCGCTGCGTAATTTTCTTGCCTTTAGAAAGCGCTGAATAATTGCTCTACCAAGTAATCATACGCCATGACTTTTGCTTGACTTTTGCTTGTAAAGTTTTTTGATTGAGTGAAATTTGAAGCACTCAATCTGTGATGCTCATTGTATGCATTACGAAACAAATATTTACTTTTTTTCTTGTTCAAAAGCAGATACAATGCATTTTCGCATAAAACCTTACCGAAAGATATTGCTGTGATTTTTTTAGGAAGATGTATTGGAGTGATTGGGGAACCTTTCCAAAGATTGAACGAGCAAACATGGACGGTTCTGACAGAACAGTTCTTGTTAGTTCTGGACTCGTTTGGGTGAACTCACTCGCACTGGATTTTCAAAACAGACTTCTGTACTGGTGTGACGCGAAACTTGATAAGATCGAAAGGGTGGATCTCCAAGGGAATAACCGCTTAGTTGTATTGGATTTATCACCCAGTAACTTACACCCATTTGGATTGGCTCTAGCTGATCATGTTCTTTACTGGTCTGATTGGAACTACCAGAGCGTTCACACGTACAACATGACGTCCAATGTGAGTGACGTGTTGGTTCATGGTATGGGAAGACCAATGGAGTTGCATATTCACAACCAAATGGATATCTACAACAGTAACTATGATTTTTTAATTATTAATTTATTTTTTGACGAAAGAAGACAAGTTTCTCAGGTCTTTTTCAAGATATGTCGAGAATACACACCTTAAACATGAACCAACACCAACTTGCCATAAATGAGTGTTGTAAAGTTTCACTTGAAGATTTTTTACACAGTTACCTCTATCAGAAACTGTACCAGCACATGCTTAAGCTTATTTTTGCCATTGCACATGAGGAAAATAACTACATAGAGAAATCTCGTATAATCGAGTCCCCTAAAATGAAATTTCATTTATATGAATGTGCCAGTCCTTTTTTCACGCTCTTTTTTTAATGCATACATGTGTCGGCTGCTTTTCAAAATGTAGTATTATACGACTGTCTTCCCTTCATATCGAGCAAGAATCTCTTTTATTTCATAAGGATCAACCAGCTGCTCTCAACTGAATGGAGGATGCAGTCACATCTGTCTCCCAAATCCAAACGGGCATCGATGTTTTTGTCCTGAAGGAGTGCAGCTTAAGAGTCACGATGCCTTTACTTGCCAAGGAGGTACATGTACATATATTTTTTTCTAATTGAGAGTCATTTATCAAATATATAAATGTATATTCGCCTTACACGACTTTGATTCACTTTGCGCTCAACCCCAATGACACCTCTCTCTCACATTATTCTCACCCTAAACGCCATTTCCTAACTTTATCATATACTTCTGACTATACATATACCGTGAAACTAAGGTGTGTTCATTCAGTTTTTTGTTATTTTTTTCCATCAAATAGTAAATCGTTGTCAGCAGCTATTTGCACCAAACCACGGAAATATGGAGCCATGTTCCAATCTGCCGAGGAAAACGTGTCAATTCTCCTGCGACAGAGGATATAACTTGGTTGGATCATCTACACGAACATGTAATGATGACGGAACATGGACTGGGACCCAGACTCAATGTAATCGTGAGTATAACACTTTAATCGTTCCCGATATACTAACAAGGAAGTTATCAAATGGAAAATTGGCCAACATTTTTTATAACTGCTGAAGCTGCAAATTTGTAGGCGATATGGCTCTTACTAAATTAGAGGAGGAAGGCAAAAAATTTCCCTACCAGTGGGCTTTGCAAAACTCGCTTACCTGAGTTTCAGAAGCACACAGTTCATCCGCGCATGGACGATCAACAGGTTTAGGTAAAGTAAATTGCTGTTTTTGTCAAGCCTTTGCTTTTCTTTCTCTTGGGTCTCTTTTTGCCCTGAAACTACCTGAGACGTTATCAACAGAAGAACTCATTGACTTTTGGTACCGATAAAAGATGCATAAAACAAAAAAACAGACGGAGGGAAAAAGAAACTAATGGACCGATCGAACGATCGACTGACTGATCCAACGACTGTCTCACTGACCACTCGACTAAATTACATGTAGACTGGCCGGAATTAAACTGAATTAAAGGGATAAACAGACTGGGAGACTGATAACAGGACCTGCAAACAGAAGGGAAGAAATCTGTCCATACGAAGACCACAAGGATGCTATCCATGTTAGCACAGTACTATACGCACGCGCATTTTACTAATGGTTAGAGTGCTATTAACAGATAACTTGACATCTCTCTCCTAGCTGTCCCTTGTACAGCTTTGCTAGCCCCTTTGAATGGAATTCGGCAAGGTTGCACAGGCACGGATAAGGAATATTACAACACCGTCTGTCTGTTCTCCTGTAATATTGGGTTCAAACCAATCGGTTCTTCGTCGAGAAAATGTACAGAAAATGGAACTTGGAGTGGTCAATCTTTTGTCTGTCAAGGTAAAAATAAAATGTATTCTGCAGCTGTTGCTTTCCTTACAATTTAAGCTCTTTATCAACGTAAATTACTCCACAGTTAAAGCCTAATAACCTAATTTTTGGTTTCTTTTGAAAGTCGTAACGTGCCCGCCTCTAACAACTCCGCCAAAAGCCGTACACCTCAATGCTTCCTGCGGCAATACATATGGATCAGACTGCAAGTTTGGTTGTGAAAGTGGCTATGGAGATCCCAGTGGAAATGTAACTCGAAGATGCTTGCATACCGGGAATTGGACCACAAATACTATCAACTGCACAGGTAGAGAAGCATTAACACGTCTTGTGAATTAGGTCAACTCGTGAAGTACTGATTCCAGCCCGTGCTTTTATGAGCCTAGGCCCAGTTGAGGCTTTGTAGAGGAGACATTGATAATTCGCTGTAGGTTTCTATCAGCTGGAGCAAAGGAATGTTGTTAAGAAATACCTTATTTCCAAATATTTTACCCAAAAACAAAAACTTTAAATCATAAATATCCGGGGTGATGAATTTTGTGCATGTTTATAGTATTAGCTTTAAACTAAATTGTTACACCAGCTGCATTTTGACCCCAATAATTAATAATTCTACATGCTCTTTCTCTTTCCTAATCTCATATTCAAATATATTTCAGATATTCTTCCCCCGTCATTCGGAGCTACTTGTCCACAAGGTCCGTTGTTGGTATATGCAGAACAAGGAAGGTTTTCGGCCGATGTGAATTGGACCGAGCCGGTCGCTATCGACAACTCAGGAGTTGTAGCAGTGACATCAAATTACCAACCTCCTCGAAGATTCAATCAAGGCACGCACCTGATCACATACTCTGCGAAGGACCAATCAGGAAAAAGGACTATATGCAGTTTTACGATTAAAGTGATAGGTATGAAATGTTTTACGCTCTTTTCTTGTAGATCCATTAGATACTTTTCGTGTCGTTATCATCGTGAGATGATTGGCATGTTATAATACAATGTATTACCATAGAAAAACATTTTTCTTCGTACGTCACTCATCAAATAACTACTTGGCAATTCTCCTCGTTTTAACTTTTCTGTGATTGGCTTTATCAGTCCCTTTCCCATTTATCTAACTATGATATGTAAATACCATTTTTGTTTGTTAATTATTTATCTCAAAACTGGCTCGTTTTTTCTCCTAGTAATACTGCTCCGCAACCAATATGCTCTCTTTTACATATTCTGTCATCAGTTATCAACTGCACGGCGCTGTGGCAGTCATTATGGAGCAAAATGTAACTTTTCTTGCTCTAGTGGATATCGTTTGAATGGTTCGTCAACAGTCCAGTGTGTTTCTCTCGGTAACGGACCTCCAGGGTTCTGGGACAGCCCTATACCGACATGTGAAGGTAAAAAGATGGGAAGAAAGTTAGAAATTAATGTTTTAAGCCCTTAAGTAAACAAAAGCTTGACTGATTCCAAAGATATGTGATTTCTAGTAGCAGGTAACTGAGGGTGCCTGTGACTTTCATGATTGAGTCTTATGGTGTTTATCTTGCCACTGTATTACAACATTGTGGAATTATGGATATCTTTCCTTTTTCTCTCTTCTTTTCTTTGTTTGAATGTTTTTTGTTGTTGTTGTTGCTTTGTTTTCTCCTGTTTTATTTTGTTTCGTTTTGTTTTTTTGTTTTGTCTTGTCTTAACTTTTCTTATTTTTTATTCCTACTTATTCCTAATTCATCCTCCCATATACCTCATCTTACTCGTTTTTTTCCAGTTATTAAATGTTCATCTCTTCCCATCCCACTAAATGGATTTAAAGTTGGCTGTCTTGGCAACATTTCTGAGCCGTATGATTCACGATGTAGCTTCTCTTGTAACGTTGGGTATAATCTCTATGGTTCATCTAACCGACGTTGTCTGCATAACGGCACTTGGAGTGGAGAAACAACTTCCTGTCAAGGTCAGAGGAAGCTACTTGAGAGTACATGCAGGGCTAACTGTGGGTTGGATCTCTAGAGATATTCGTCGTCATTGCTCAATGCTCATGCGACAGTTTGGGAATTTCACTTGTTCAACTAAAGGATTCATTGTTATGCTAGAATTTTGGGACTGTACATCACTCAAACCAGAATTTACCTGAAAAAAAAAAAACACTTGTGAATAAATATCTAAATAAAAAATACATGTATTATTACTAGAAAACTCTAGACCTTGAGGTGAACAAAGCTCTGTTTAGGTATAAATAGATATATCATGCCAAAAATTGTTCTTTAATGTATTAACCAGTGATCGTTTCGTAACGGACCGGAGAGAATCCACCATTTCCATAATCTATAAAGGCCCTATTGGTAGACAGGTCTCCGCAGTCCATTCTGAGGAGGGGTATTAGGTGCTCATGCTAAGGAGGTTAACTTAGAGTTTCACTTAAGGAAGTTCCTCGTTGACGAAAGTTTGGGGAAAGGAGTTAAATAGAACAGTTATTATTAATAGTTTACATAAAAGCCTTCCAGCGATGACGACGGCAATAACAATACTTATGGACTCAAATTGAATAACTTCACTTTTCTTACACAGAGATTGAATGTGGACCCCTCGTTCCTCCAACGAACGGAATCGTTTCGCCACTGTCATGCCTTTTGAGCAGCAATTTCAGCCAGACTTGCAAATTTGCTTGTCAAACACCCGGATACGTTCTTGATGGGACTGCGTCACGAGTATGCAGTATCAGTGGAAAATGGAGTGGGTCAAACGATACCTGGTGCAGAGGTAAGCCTATAAATGAAATTAAAGGCCACCATTGAATCCAAGTCTTCCATAACAAAAAACACACAAACAAACATTCTGAGCACTTGGCACCCTTCTTTCCCCTCTCAGTCTTGGTCTCGAAAATACCTCGTCTAGATTGCCAACTGACGATATTGGAAAGGTTGAGAGGGAAAAGGAAATATTCTTCCAAAGAGGATGCCGAGCTAATCACGTCTAACAGTGTAGCTGATAGTTTCTTTTCATGGTGTTAGGTATTGCTAAAATGTTTCGGTGGAGAGCAAAGAGAAATTGAATGGGAAAGAGAAATTGAATGGGAAATTCCAGCACAAGATTGAATATTTCTTAATCCTCTTGCAGCAGTTAACGAAGAGAGAGAAAAGAATATAAATTTACAGATAGAATAAAAAATTCTCCCCATAATATTGCTTACAATTTCAATACGCTTGCTCTCGCTGTCTGAATGGAATTCAGTTTCAACCAGACAAATGATCGTCGGGGAATGTGATGTCCCATGAAAAGGATATCGTAAAATATTCTTTGACGACATGGGATGATGTGTAAAATGATGAGTTTGATGGGATTCATTTCCTTTCACCGGTAGTAGTCTGCATTCCTCGAATATCAACTTTTTTAAAGAATGAATTAAGGATGTTTCCAGCAAATTGGCTATTCCAGTAATTATCTTTTTATTTCCTCTTAGCTGTTTCTCCTTACTTTGCAGACAAAACTCCTCCCTCTTTTAATAACACATGTCCCGGTAACATAGTGGTCTATACCCCCGAGTGTTCATCCACTGCTCTTGTCAACTGGAGTGAGCCAACTGCTTCCGATAATTCTGGTCATTCAACGATCGAATACCCTCTAATTCGACCTCCGATTGACCTGATTATTGGCCTGCACAATATACTGTACTCAGCGTTCGACAGCAGTGGAAACAGAGTCAACTGCACTTTCATTGTCCAAATTGCAAGTATGTTCCTTGTTTTATAGCAGTGATCTTTTAAAAAAATGAGCAGTAATTGCTTTCAACCATCTGGGGGCGACAGATGCGATGGATGTTCTTTGAACAGGAATTGAAAAAATTAATATTATTGTATTCGAAGCCCCACCTCTGCTTAGTTTCGCTTTAATTACCCCGCCATAAAGAAATCAATTCCGAAGAGTAAGAAAAGTTGCTTCTAATGTAAAACTAAGCGGGCGAAATACTTCTCGTCCATAAAAAAAAATTTTAAAAAGCTTAATGCACTAAATGCAGCGGTGTGTGAATCTATTGATGGATTCTAAGTGGTGGTAACTGATAGCATATCTCACTCACAGGAAAAACGTGCGTGACACTCCAACCCCCAATCAATGGAAAAGTAGCTTTCTCGTGTGGTTATTCATTTGGTTCCGTGGCTACTCTTACTTGTAACAAAGGATTTCGAATTGTCGGGTCTCGTCAGCGCTCTTGCAAAGAAGATGGACTGTGGTCTGGCGACATGACAATATGCAAAAGTAAGCTACTCCGAATCGCATTTAGTTTTCGTTTTCTTATTTCTAAAAGAGAAATTGAAACCCCGGCTGTATGAATAAAGCTGGTAAAACTTCTTTTAAAAGTCTCGGGAATTACACACTGAGGATTGTGAGGTAGAAGCATTCTCCGTGGAGGTAATTTAAATTAAAACTGGAGGTTAGAATAAAAACATTTACCTGTTACATATTCTAATCCAATGTCTGGCATTCAAAAATAGTTAATAAGTAACACAGCCTACAACGCCTTCTAACAAAGGTTACATGGTTGTTTCCCGTAGTGGTCAAGTGCCCAGCGATTGCCCCTCCGCCTCAGGGAAATGTTGTTCCAAGTTCATGTACGTCAGTTTCTGGCGTATACTATGAAACACATTGCTTGTTTATGTGTAATGATACGGCTGGTTATCGCCTGGAGGGAGCAAGAAATGTGTCCTGCCTTGAAAGTGGATTGTGGAGTGCAAATATTAACAAGACGATCTGCAAAGGTACAGTATACTGATTATGATACATTTATCGAAGAATTTTAATCTGCAAGCATTTCACGGTGTTCCTGAAAGAAAAGAGATGGCTTAGAAGCCCTAAGCATATGCTCGTAATAAAACAGAAAGGTGGTTCGGTCATATAGGATCTACTTTAGCAAAAGCCATTTTTTGAACCTCACTCGAATAAAAAAAAATATACATAGATCAGAACAATGATAAACATGCAATTTTTTTTTTACAGATATACAGCCACCTAGCATTCAATGCCCAAGCGACATGGAGATGCCCACTGAAACTGGTCAGTCATATCGTAAAGTGACTTGGAAAGTACCGGTTCCTTTTGACAACTCCAAAGAGCAGCCAATCCTAAGCGGTTTGTTGCCCCCACAAAAGCTGAATGTTGGCAGGAATTACATTAACTACTCAGCAACTGATTCTTCTGGACTTAAATCGTTCTGTAGATTTTTAATCAATGTTAAAGGTAAGCACTGTTCATGCTATCGTATATGAGTCTAGAAGTATTTTCAAGCTTTGAAAGCTCGTAGTTGTAAATTGAACAGTTTTCGTATTGATTGAGAGCCTCTGCGCTAATGTGACACATTTTCCAATCTAGATAACCAAGTTTTAGGGTTTTCGGCAGGTGATCAAAAACCCGACCTTTCAGACGCAAATAATCAAAACAGGAATTTTACGAACGGGAGAAATAAAATCCAGCAGCATATTAGACACAGCTCATCATGCTGCCTTGGAACATTTTTGCTTTCAGGATTATTACCCTCTCAACGACACGAATGGGCGTTTACAACAATTAACTTGAGTGCGGTCTTACTTTCTTCTCTCGTTTAATAAACAGACCAAGAGTCGCCTAGGATTTCATCCTGCCCCAAAGGCATCCATATTACCTCTGCAAAGAAATGGACTCAGGTGTTTCTCCCTGCTGTGGTTATCACAGATAATGTTGGTGTCTACAGGTTCATGACAAGTAGACCAAATGGAAGTGACTTCACCTGGGGAAAGCACAACATAACATACACTGCATTAGATGCTGCAGGAAATTCGGCCACCTGTAAGTTCCGTGTTGTAATTACAGGTATGTAAGAGTTACACGGCAGATACAGCCTTCCCTTTCTTCTAGTATAGGCGGTCATTGGCGTAATAAGTGACTACCTAATTAAGGTCCTCTAAATGCTGTCATGAAACTTATAATAATACCTTACAGACTCGAAGTTATATTTGAGATCATATTCACGAGCGACTGTCTTCAGGAGGCAGTATACGCCACATATCATAAGTGTTACTCCCGGTGAAACTGTCCTGGAGGGATATTGACAAACCTAAAGGGGATACCTTTTCATGATGCCAATCATATATAGATATTTCACTTTTATGAAACACTCATATCAGTAAAAACTTTATGCATGGCACAAAACTCTTGGTATCTTTGACATATATGCGATTGATAAAGCGAAGTTTTGGTAGTGAGACCTGTTAGATTTAAAATGGCCGGGTTCAGACTTTGCCTTCCTACCTTGCCGGCTTTTTTCGCTGGGAGAGTGTTAGTTTTAAGCCACCCTAATAACAGTGAAAGTAAATAAAAACTTGCTTTGAAAGTGCAAACCATAAAATCAGCGAGAGAAATCTGTTTACGTTCACTCTTACGTCTTTTGCCGTTACCTTTAACTTCTTCCCTTCTCTTGTGGAAAGATCAAGGATGTCCTGAGCTACTTTCGCCATTAAATGGAGCTAAAGCATGCGACCTGTGGCTGGAAGCCGGAAAGATGTGCACACTACATTGTAATAATGGATATGACTTTGCTCGAAAGCCACCATCGTTCTATATGTGCGGTATTGCAACCAGGAAATGGTTACCTAACGACGAAGTGCCAGACTGTTCAAGTATGGTTATCTCTTTGTTTTGACATTAGTGTAAAATTGCTAAATTTGATTGGTAATCTAGGTTCAGTAAGGGACCGGTCGTGATCTATCACCTCAGGAGGGAAGAGAGTCTTGATAAAATGTGACTTCCCCCCCCCCCCCTCTTCCCTACCATAAGACTAAGTAAGACTATGTGATATAACCCTTAATTGGCAGTTAATTTGTCGTCAGTTCTCGATAGTCCCCCTTTTATACTCTGTTGGCGACGACTGACTCCCCCTTCGTTTCCCCGTGATCCCCTCGAAATCTTAATAATCTCAACTAATTTTTTTTTTCAGAAACGCGCCAGGCAAAAACTTTGCTCAACATCCAGCTTTACTATTTATCCGATCATTGTAGCGAGGAAATTTATTCCCAAGTCGAAAGCAACTTCATTGCTCTTTACTTAAACGTTTTGGGTCCTCTGATTGGCTGTGGTTCGGCGGAAGAATGCGAAATCGGGCGTGTGCACGTGGAATGTGGAGACCAAACTGGAATACTTCGAAAAAGAGACGTAGAAGAAAATAGAAAAGAATCACAAGTTTCTCTCAAGGTGCGATTTTCTTTGAAGGTTCCACTGCCTAGCAATACCTCAGTGGAAGCAGTCAACGAGACTGCCGAGGAAATTTCAAAAGGAATTCTTAGAGTCTTCAACGATACAAATCTCAATTTGAACGTCAGTGGAATTGTTTTAGAGTATGACACTTCAAAACTACCACAACTTCGATTCGAGCGTCTTCTTTGCGATGAAGGGCAGGTTCTGAAGGGGACCAGATGTGGTAAGAAACTTTCACAATTTCCATGTCAGTTTGATAACTTGTACACGAAACATCTAACATCAAAATGTACCATGTTAAGCATCAGTGACTACGGGTAAGGTTCATATTGAAAAACTTATTTGAATCAGAAAAAAATGAAGAAAATTAGAACAATAACAGCAACAATTTAATGATTACAACGCAACAGCAGAGAGGAAGTTTTAAGATTGAAATAATGTCATTGCTGAGAGTGTCGCTTATGGCGAGCGCCACATGATAAAACAAAATGCTAATTGTTTGATGCTAACTAAAGCCATCCCTACCAACTCTCCTTTCTAAGCTTTTGTAAATTTGTTTTGTTTTAGTAAACTGTCCTGTTGGCTACTTCTTTAACATCACTGACTGTGAGGCATGCCCAGTTGACCAGTACCAAGATGAAGAGGCTCAGTCATTCTGCTTTGATTGCCCAACTGGGACATCGACGGTCGGAGGAAGGGGAGCCAAACGAAGCGAAAACTGTGAAGGTCACAAAAATTATTTATGTTTCTATTTTTTTGTTTGGGTCGACGGACTTCACCGCAGTATCTGGAAAAGGGGGCTCAGTTTTGCTGTATTTACTGTCTGGCTGGGTGCTCTAGGTATTCCAGCTTGCTTAGGCGAACGGTTCAATGACTTATACAGTTTTTGTAGCTAAATTAGCTGCTTTCAAAAGTGTTAACATTGATATATACAAGATTATCTTTTGATTCTTTTATTCTTTATGTTTATTTCCTTGCAGCAAACACAACAAAAATTTCCAACACAAAAAAAAGCTTTCCAGCAATCTTCGTTTCCCTCGTTGTGGTTGGATTCCTGATATTCATCTCGCTAATTTTGATCTGCATCTTCTATAAAAAGAAATACTGCGTGTAAGTTTGCAGCATTTATTGCATAGTATTAAATCATTAACAAATTGATAGTTGAAGAGTGTAATATGTTATCTTCATGTTCATATCATGTGCATGTAAATCGGCAAAATTAGGATAATTTTCACTCGTGTTACACGACAATGCACTCATTTTCAGCCAATCAGAGGCGTGTAATTTTTTCATTGCTTAGAAAAACCAAAGCGACATTCCTACACTGTCGGAAAGAAAATGAAACCTTCCTTCCGTTGTATTTCTTCCGTCCTACCTTTGTATTTCTTCTTAACTTTTTGGATTTTGATGACGAGCTGTTTTATCTTCGATAACGTTTCTTGTTCAACTGTTTTTTTCTTTTAGTTTCTTGAACTTACCTCTCACCAAACAACAACAGCAACAACGACGACACAAAGCCTTTAACATTAGCAATGCACAATTTCGAAAGCACCTCTATAACGAACTTGAGGACTAATACATATTATCGTCATCATTATTACTATTATTATCATTTTTATCATTTTCATGTATCTTACAGGATAGTGATATGCTCAAATAGGGGTTAAAAGTTTTTTAACTTAAGTAAGGAGCCGTGTGGGAGGGTTCAGAGCTAACTAAGCTTTTATCAGAATTCATTTTCCGTCCATAGACAATTTATATTCACGAATTTTGCTTCATCTTTGTTGTCACTTGAGAACTTCCCTTAACCTAGAGAATACGGAAGCGATCATCGCATCCCAGTTATAAACACTACTTAAGCAGTGATGAAAATAAGGACTGAAAAAAACCAAGTTTCGTTCGAGGTTTGAACACATGACCTCTGCTATACCGGTGCAGTGCTCTATCGTAGAGGTCATGGGTATATATATTACAGTCATTTATTTTACTTTACCTTTCAGGGATAGGAAACGATATTTGGGGAGGGACTCGCGGGTTACGCCTTTGCCTGAGATTACGGGGCGTTCAAATTCAACATACAATGGTAACGATGGCATTCAAGGCGACGATCCCTATCATATGGAGATGCAAGACATTAAGGACAGCATTCGTGGGTTTTCTAACATGAATTATGAGCCCTATAATGATGCTATTGGGATATGTGAACATAATTACGAAAGACTTGATTATGAAAGGCCAGACAGTCAGACTGCATAGAATTTGCGCTCTGATACTGCTTTATTTTAATGATTCCTACAGATGTCACTGTTCCCCTTCATCCAGGTCGTTTAACTTAACGTTGGGTAAAATTCAATGGCGTCACTAATGCTTTACACCCTGACATCAATGCGCATGCCCTCCATACAGTATTCTCTACATCTCCAGAGGTGTTTAAAAAGTGAATTTGTTTAAGTTTAGTTGGTTTTTATTTCCTTTTTTTCTTGTGACATTAAAGTTTGATTCAGGGTGATGCTGTGAGGAGAAATTAGACGCCAGTTTCTCTTAGAAGTCGAAGGATTAAAAGCAACTTAAACTCAAACAACGCTAAATTTGTCAGTTTTATTTCGAACTTAGTCCTTTATCAAATGTTGATTGCTTTCCATTAGAATACGAGATGCGAAATTTATATCTTCCCACACAAATTATCGGTCACAGTTATTGATTATCGGTAATTAATCGATCAATCGATTGGTCCAAGTGAATTGATGACTAGGGCTTTGAATACATAGTATGGGTATAGTTGCAGTTTTATGCTACAGCTGGAGTAAAGTTTTTCTCAATGTATATCAGTGCCGTGAATTTAATGCATAACGTGGTTAACGTACACGAGACGAGTATGCCTCAATGCAGCATATCTGCTTCCATGCGTTATCGGTCCGGACCGGAAAAAGCAAACCTAAAAAGTAACACACACGAAAGAGAAAGATACAAAAAAGAAAAAACGATCTTTATGGAGGACATTATATTTTAACTTGCGTTTTCTTTGCATGCAATGACCAATTATTTGTGCATAGTGCGGTAGATATAGTATGGAGTGTTCATTTCATTAAAGTTCACTTATCCTTCAGTGAAGCTCTCGCGTCACGTCATTGCTTGTCGGTTATCGTGGTGACGAGTCACGTCATAGTTACAATAGGCGAGTAATTTCTTTTATTTTGCATTTTAACCATTATTTTCATCCTTAATAATGACAGTTTTATAAACGACTCTAATGATAATGGTAAGTAATTTCATTTATCAATTTTGGTTAGAGTATTACTTTATTCTGTACAACCGTTTTTGGACCAGTTTGGCGTCATTCCAATAACGCATTAAATTTTAAAAAATAGGGAATATTTTGTTCAGAAAGGAAACTACAACAATCGCAACAACTATTTTACTTCCCACCAGAAAAGAGTGACTTGCAGTTTTCAAAAATCTAAGTGATGGTGACTTATTCACTTCTCAAAGACGGAAAAATTAGTATATTCATTGAGTTTTTCTACTCACTTCTTTCTAAAGATTTCCTAGAGTTTCTAAATTTCATTAACATTTAATTAAACACCGTTAAAAATTCGAAATGAACTAATCGCAAGAGTACCTTTTTTTTCCCATGATAAGATCAAATACGATTACATAAAAGCTTCTTTTTTGGTCCTTTTTTTTATTTGTCTCTAAAAATAAATGAATCAAACTGATTATTTGGTGTGTTACACCTCGCAAAATTTCCCTATAAGGGAGTTAGTTCTAAATAGTGTCTCGCTTGAGTCGCAAGTATCGTTGGCCATTACAAACAAAACAGACATTTTCGAGACCCTGTTGGGTTTCCTTCCTTACAAACAGCAGCAGTCTCACATATTTTGCTGTCTGCTGTTTGTTCTGTCAACAAAATTGAGTAATTTGTTGCCAACTCTCTTTTTTAAATTGACCAATTCAGAGCGATTAAAAGCATACCACTGCAACTTAAAAACTTCCCAAAATGAGAGGCAGAAGAAGTTGACACGCCTTTCTTTAGCAGGCGGTCGATAAGCTTCCATTCAACTTAATAAACACAAGACTAGTAATTCATGTCTAATAAATTTCTTTAAAGTCCCCCTTCCCCCCCCCCCCCCCAAAAAAAAAACAATGTTTCAATAAAAGTAAAGACCGTTTGGTTGTCACAAACACCAAGAAACATTAACATTGATAATAGGGAACGAAAGTGAAAAAAAAAATTCAAAAAGGAAGCTGGGCGAGCCATGACCTCCCACTCATTGCAGATGAGTAGTTCTCATGATAGTTTGCAGTGAAACATGTGTCCAGTTATGTGAGCATTTACCCCTACCGGTGTCTTAAAACAGAAAAAAAAAATGCAACCCTCTACCCTATTCCAGATTTCGAAATTGGAAAGAAATATGTTTTTCCTGACATTTACCCAAAAGTGAGCCACATTTAGGTTGAAAAATGAATTCTGCTGACTTTAAGGATATCTTTGATCTCGCAGGAACTCGTTCTACTGAGACATAATTTCAATTTTATCTGCCGAAAGATATACATTTACCTGAATTGTCTAATTATTTTTGTACATCCAATCATAAAAGAGGTTCATAAAGGAAAAACGAAAAAAAAAAAAACAAAAAGACGAAGATTGTTGTTTGACCCAAAACGTGATGCTCTCTCTTTTCTTGTGTCAAAAGATAAAGGAAGTTCTAAATTATAACCCATGATAGCCGAATGTTGGCCACTGCGCTGGGCATACTCTGGGACCTTTGGGCTTTTTCACTCTCTTCTTGTACCCTAAATGAAAAATAAATAAAGCAAAATAGGTTATTTCATAACTTCATCATTTCATAACTTCATATATCAATCAAATTATCTTTAGAAAAATTTCCACATAAAAATACTATAAAAATTAAAAAAAAATAAAAGGAGAATGAAAATAACACAAAGTAAAATGAAAACAAAATATGGAAAAAAATAGAATAAAAAACAAACAAACAATCAATCAAAAATGAATTAGTCAAAGGAAATATATAATCCTACATAACAAAACAAAAAGACTTCAAATACACTCGATGAATAAGCAGAGCGAAAGAACTTCAAATTGTGTGAAGGTTTGATAAACGTACCTATATCATCCCATGGCACGACCACTGCAAAAAGTGTAAAACTTGATAAATAGAAGATCAACAGGGCAGAGAGTAATGTTAACAATTTAGATGGCCACGATTTACAAACACACACGTACAAAACAAGAGATGATGGCAATACATTGGAGCTTAGAAGACCTGAAGCATGCCGTGAAAAGTTCACAATCAACATTACAAGTAACAACATCCTGAGACAAACGATAAAAACTATTACGCTATTAAACTACTAACCAACGATTTAGTATGAAGTATTGTGCCAAACTATAGGTGACCGCTGAACAGGCCTACTTACTAGTGGAACTCCCCAAACTGTTGGTTTTTGACGTCCCGCTACCACTGTGACTTGCATGCATTGTTGGATCAGAGAGACGCTTGGGTAGACTGCCCTGTCGCAAAGAGTAATCAACTAGTGAGATACATTTATCTAAAAGTTTAATTTTAATTTAGTACCTCATCAATTTTAATCATTATTCCTTGGTACTGAGCTACTCCATGCTTTTTAACAGCATTTGAGTTTCTCGCTCAAAACAATACATCAGCAACAGCAACAGCCGAATATAATTAAAAGGCAAAATCTGTTTATATGGAGTCATTGTCTATCTAGCAGGTTACCAGAGGACTAGAGACTCTTCGAATACGTCTAAATAAAATACGTGAGTCTTTTTCCGAAAATACTTCGCGATAAAGGCGATGAGAACTGTGAACGTAAGCAATACAGGGTATCATGCATGCATGGTATTCTCGTCATATTGGTGTACGTAAGCAAGACAGGGTATCATGCATGCATGATATTCTCGTCATATTGGTGCACGCCCTTAAAAATTACATCTCACTAGACTAACCTTTGAATTACTTTTAACCATTTTCTTGAATCGGCCCCCTAAAGATCCTCTATTACTCTGCTGCACAGCTTCGTAAGGTTCCTCACCTGTTCATGAAAATGAGATATATTGACGCTTTGTGGGGGCGATGGTGGTCTTGAGGTTAGTGCGCTGAACGCCGTTGGTCGGGAGGTAGGGGTTCGTTTGTGTTATTGGTCAAAAGCATCATTACTAAAGAAACTGTCTCCTCACACTCAGGAGTGTACGTGGGTACCACGAAAAGACCTAAAAAAACATGATGAGGGCAACCTACGTTGCATTAGCATCCCCCCCATTCCGCCCCGAATGAGTAGCAAAACTCTTATTCGCTTCAGCAAAGGCGACCCCGAAAAGCTTTTGTAGGTCTCATGGCTAAAGTGGTGATGTTATCTTTTATCTTTGTATGCACACTGAGTGACTAAATGGTAGGGAAAAGAACGCAAAAAATAAAAACGACCTAAGAACCACGGGTCTGAACGACATCAAAAAAAAAAAAAACTACAACACAAACCCACGAAGTGAACGAGGAAGCGAGTGCGTGGAAAAATGGACAGGCGGACAACTGGTCAGACATAATGTGACCTCTATGCTTCAAATTACTTATGCAGCATGTTGAATGAAGTGAGTGAATTTGCTTTACGTACCTGGAACAAGGAACGCCTCATTGGTCTTCTCAGGGACGGCCGGAGGGGAATCGTCTCCATCGTTTGATGTAGACGTAGACCTCTGGGAAGAAATATAAGGGTTTGAAATATAAGTCACTCCTTTCTTAGAGTGACTATTATATTGCATCTAAGACAAATGAAAACAAAGATAAACTGGTGGTGAAAACATTGTAACCAACAAAATATAAACGACATCACATAAGTAATCCTTTTGAAAAATTCAATTGTGACTTCGCCAAGCGGAAATTTTCATGATCGACACCAGTTTTAATTTACCTCTTTAAGAATTAAGCTCCGTTTAAACGGCCACGATGGTTGATGATAGTCTTAACTATCACGCGTGTTTGAACGTAAATTATCATGCACTATCATGGAAAAACACCATCTATATGTTTTTGCCGTTTGAACGAGCGGAAGATGCTGAATGAGTTTTTCTGTCAGCAGTTTTGCCCAAAACGGGCTCAAACCGAAATGGCAATTGCTAACATGACTCAAGAAGCGGTCAATATTTCGAAGAATGTCTCGTAACCCGTTCTAATCATCTCCTGGTAGGCTTCAGTATCTTTAACTCCCAACTTCTTGACTAAAAATTTTGAAATGCCACAGAAATCGCTGACCTAAGCATGCGCCATACTTGTTTTCAATTACGCGATCTCCTAGCGTGATTTTGTCAACTATCATCATCAACTGTTCGAACGCAGACACGATAGTCAATGATAGTGAATGAAATTTGAAACTATCATCAACTATCATGACCGTTTGAACAATGCTTTACAGCTGTCCAAAATTTGACCATGAATACAACTGATCACGGTAATAAAATAATAAGATAAAAACCATACTTGTAAACTTCCTGAAGAAGTCTGAGTTCGGAGGCTAGGTGGTCCACTATCCTTTTTGTCTGGCCTGTCTCTCTTTTTCGAAGTAACTGTGGCGTAAAGATCTGTAAAACATAAGTTCTTCTGATTTAACTTAAGATGTCCTTTCCATCCAAATTATCTGCGAATAATAACCACATTCCCAAGACAGTAAGTGGCAGGAACAACATTGCAAGATGTTAAATTGCTTTGGATATCTAGGGACAGTTTAGTCAGAACCAATGGCTGACCGACAGGGTTTTCTCTTTTCTTAAGTTTTAATTTTATTTCACTGTATCTTTCCAGAGATCACCTAACCCTGAATATCAAGACACTATGACTTAAATTAAAGCCTAGCACACTACTAGACGATTTGTTTATCTTCTTCTTTGGGAGTTATTTTCTCTAAGAAGGAAACGGACCTATAAGGCTCCCACCGGAAGACAATTACAGCTCTTTGTTTATCGGGGTTTTGTTTGTTAACTCATAATCTTGTGTACATACCTGGCCCAATCGTCGCGTCATCTGAAGCCTGTGCTTCTCCATCAGGCGGACGTCTGATGGAAACGTCTGGTACGCTGTTACTCTTAGCAAAGAGTTGTTGGTCGTCTCTCCTGTTTAAAAGGGGCGACCCTTGCAGCTTCATTTTGGCATCTTTCTTCACGTCCAACGTATTTTCAAGTTTAGGTTGCTGCATTGGATGAGCAGGAACCATCTTTCCTGGCGGCTGCAAATGTCCAACCAGCTCATACGAAGGCTCAGCGATTGGCTTCTCTTTGACCTCCACAGGGGAACCACCACCTTTGTTTTGCACAGGAATAGCAGTATTTCCTTTGGGATGATTACTGCTGAACGGGGCAGGTATAAATACTGGAGTTGGTTTTACGGTCTTGCTCTTAGTCTCTGGTATCCCTACCAAGGCATAAGCCCCCATTTTTGGTCGTGTCTTAGGTGGTTCACTCTGTCTCTTTGGCTGTGTCTGCGACTGCGCATGTGGAGTTTTGCGCGGATCCTCATCAGCTGGTTTTTGCTTCTGATACTGTAGCTCAAGGTTAGGCTGTGGTGTCGTTGCTTTGGATGATGTAGAACCAAGCAAGCAATATGGCCCAGACTGTGAATTCTTCACCTCAAATCCACCAATGCTTGCATCGCCAATGGTACTTGAACTTGGGTCCTGGAACAAATCAGCACTCAGGGGACATCGCTTTGGTCCAGAATCAGCGTGAACCCTGTTAGGGACCGTACTGAAACCCTTTCGGTCGACGCCTTCTTTTACATTTTCTGGACACAAGCCTTGTGGTGGATTCTTGGAAGTTGTTTTTGAGTAACTGCTACCATGAATCCATGAATCGTCCAGTACATTTGGGGAGCTTGATGATCTTACCTCAATGGGCATTAAAGGTTTGACTGAGTAAAAAAGAAAAGAGAAAACAGGAAAAATTATTTCAGATGAGATTTGATGGGATAAGAACAGATGCAATGGAAAGGGATGAGATAATATGAAATCAGAAGAGATGAGGCGAGATGAAAAAGAAATGCAAAAGGGGATGAGATAAGATATAATAGGAGGCAATGAGATGAGGTGAGATGAATATAAGAAATGGAACGAAATGGGACGTGCTAAAATGAAACGATATAACAGGAGATTTTCCCTCAAATGGTGAAAGAGCTTGAGAAGAAATGAGATTAGAGTTTTTTTTCTTTTTTACAACTATGAAAGAGCTTGCCAATAAAGCAAATGATGTCTCTTCAAACGATTACAGAGCTTAGAGACAGTGATGTGTTTCATCAGTGATTTTACCACACCACAGGCGTTTTTGTTTCAGTAAACTGCATTTGTACCAGGTAGGACACGATAAATATGCAGACCATGGATTAATCTAAACATATTTCTTACGACATTTTTAAATTACCTTCAACATTTTCATATCTGACACCTGCACCATTCTTGGTTACAGAGCCTACGGAATGCCTTTTGGATGGCACCGGAGGAACATCATCTCCGAGATCAATTAACAGACCTGTTTTAACATTTAACATTATTACAAAACAACTTACGTTACTTTAATTTACAAACTAAATTATATGCAATCGGCGAATAAGGTTTACTACAGATTGTCTACAGGCATGCTAAGGGGAATCCGGAGAGATGTCTTTAGCGCAAGGATAACTATCAACAATATACTTCAGCAAATTATATGTGTGCGCACGTACGTATGCATTGCCTTTTTCCTGTGCCATTTCGGTATGGCATGACTCAATCAAACTGACCTTTCAAGTGGCATTAAAGATCTTTAATGGCGCTTTCGTTACTTGCTTGATTACTTTTCAGGGATACATTAGTTCTAGAATCATTCACATCTTTATAGATTTAATATTACATACTTTTTTTAGTTAAAAGTTAATTATCAGCAAGATCAATCACATAGAAAGAAATAGTTAATAATCATAGCGAGCACGAATAATCAATTTTAGTGTTGTTACACCGCTTAGTGCTAACAGTGTGATTGGATAAGTAAGAAAAAAAAACAACAAACAAACCAACAAAAAAAAAAAAGAAAAAAACAGAGTGCACAACATCAAACGGTTGCAAAGTGATTGTCTCAAGTGTATACATGACTCTCACAAGTGACCTGAAAATAAAGCAACTGCATAATAGAAGCCTGAACAAATTAACCCTTTAACTCCCATTAGTGACCAAGAGAGAATTTCTCCTTACAATATCAACATGGTATCAAGCAGGCAAGTGATAAGAATACAGAAATATATCACCTGGGGTATTATTAGAATTACTAATGAGATCTTGGGAGTTAAAGGGTTAACTGCTGCGACGGGAGTTGAACCTGTGCCTTCAGAGATGCTTGTTGGGGAAAACGCGAAAAGGTCCCGAAAGCACGAAATAAAACTTCCAAAAATTTTTCAGGAAACAAGTTGTGAATTGATTTACCATGTTACATATGTTTGTTCAATCGATTTTTGCAAAATACTCAGGGTTTTGCCCGGGGTTAAAGCTGGAATTCACAGTACGATGTAACGTAACATACCTTCAGGTACATGTGCTGTTGGTTTTTTGTCTTCGCGCTTTGCAGAAACCACAGGAAACTCATAATCAGACGAAATGACTTTCTTCATAGGTGGAGGCATTTCATATCCTGGACTAGATACTGGTGAAGGAGTCATTCCCTTGGGCACAACCTCATAGTCAGAATTCGTTGGACTCTTCTGTTTCATCTCAAGTGGGCTTCCATTGCCTGTTCGAGCTCTGCTTGAATTTGAACCAGGTATGTTTGCTCTATGTGCTGGACTAAGTGGAGCTGCAAATGGCGCTGACGTTTCGCGTGCTGGTGATACCGGCGTCGTTTTAATAACTTTGGAAGGAAATTCAATATTTACGTAGTCACCGTTAGCATGCGCTGATGATTTTGCCGCGGCAGCTCTGTCAAGTTTTGGTAGATTGGGTTTACTTGCCAGCTGTGGCTTAGAATTGCTTTTCGTCTCTTTAGGCGAAGGCAATGGTGCCAAGGGTTTTGGAGACGATCCACTCTCGACGTCATTCTGCCTCCACCGACTAACACTGTTTAAGAATTCACAGTTTTCATAATCTTCATTCCCAGGAGGTGATTGAGGCGAAGTAGGTAATTCCACATTGACATACGTGTGAGACTTCATCCTCTCTCTATCGAATTCTTCTTGAACGAGTTGAACAACAGCTTTGTAAACCAGTGCGTACTGCTCCTGTTTGAAAGATCAAAGTGATCTTGTCACAAATACCCTTTAACAGGCACTTTGCAAAATAACTTTTACTAATAGAACAAGAAATATGGGAAGTTTTGAGCTCGGTAAAGAAATAGAGAAAGATATTTTTCATCTTGTCACGAGCGTGGGACAAAGAAAAAATTCTGACTTTCCATGAGGAATCGAACCTCAGACCGTCGGATCCCGCGCTCTGATGCTCTACCACTAAGCCACAGAGACTTTACAGCGAGCGAAGTCTATTACGAAGTTCATATGACACGTGTGCTGTATACTGCTAGGATCAGCGATGTCGATAGCGTTATGTTTGGTAATAGAATAAGAAAGACGGCAAGTTTTCAGCTCGGTAAAGAAATAGAGAAAGATGTTTTTCATCTTGTCACGAGTGTGGGACAAAGAAAAAAATTCTGAGTCCCTATGAGGAATCGACCCTCTGACCTTCGGATTCCGCGCTCCGATGCTCTACTACTGAGCCACCAGCGTCATGTTTGTTGATATAATAAGAAAGATGTTAAGTTCTGAGCTCGGTAAAGAAATAGTGAAATATATTTCTCATCTTGTCACGATGGTGGTGAGTTTTGGGACTAGGAATTTTTTCTTTGTCTCACGCTCGTGACAAGACGAAAAATGTCTTTCACTACAACTTTTTACTTCTTTGTCTCGAGCAAGTTTTAATTTAAATGCATATTATTTTTATAGATTTTTAGTTTACACTTTCTTCAGAGGACCCCCTGAAAACCACTTGGATGAGACTCATGGGATAAATCGCTATTCGGTGGATAAATCGCTATTCGGTGGATAAATCTCTACCCGGTGGATAAATCTCTACCCCTGGATAAATCTCTAACCAGTGGATAAATCTCTACCCCATGGATAAATTCCCATCCGGTGGAAAAATCTGTAACCCACGGATAAATCTCTACCCGGTCGTTAAATCTCTGCCCGGTCGATAAATGTCTATCCGACGGATCTACACAGTATATCATGACTGGGAAAAACAAACTTTGATAACATAGTACCTTTGTCTGAACCATGGCCATCCTTTGCCTTCTAAGATCCGCTACTATGTTATACACACTAAAATTAGCCGTCTTCTGCAAGGTAACGTTATGAATGTGTTTCATTTGAGAATCACTCCAATTATTTAATACACCTTTTCTTTTAAACTGATTGGCACGCAATGGTCTACCAACACTTATACGAACAGCGAGGCAGACAGACAGACAGACAGACCTGCTGACAGTTTTGTAAAATTTATTGACTAAGGAAAATGTGTTTCCGCGAGCAAAGAGCCTTCCATTGCGCATTATTCATACACATATCCTTAAATGGTTTTTAAGTATTCACCTTAAATTAAACTTTTATTGGAAGTTTTAACGTTTTGATGACAGGCTCCTTTAGAACAGCCCACCCATATCCCCATAACTGCGCGTGCAAATACTCAACAAGAAAATTCCATGCTGCTGAGCCTCTGTTAACCCTTAACACCCCAACATCAGTATCTACATTCTCCCTACTCTTCCCTATAAGTTTCTTTTAGTCTAAACAAGGAGATTTTGTTTTACAATCAAAGCATCTTAGGTTGGTGATAATTTCCTTTTTTCTCATGATATTAATGAATGATTTGGCAGTTTTACTGCAAGGAGAATTTGGATGTTGGTCACTATTCAAGGGTTTAAAGGGTTAAGTAACAGATCACAGATGACATCAAAATGTGAACCAAAAAAGGCACAGATGAGGTGCAGCTGAGTGTGAATTCTTTGTCCTTAACCCTGTAACTCCCACGATGTCATTAGTAATTCTCCTTACTGTCTGCTATACAATTCATCTTGTGTTATTTCTGAGAATTTGGTATTGGATCAACAAATGATTCCCTAATTGATACTTTTCTTAGTTCTCGTCGCATATCTTCTTGATTTTGTATTGATATTGTAAGGAGAAATTCGATCTAGATCCCTCATGGAAGTTAAAGGGTTCAGAAAAGTTGACATCTTCTGTAGTTTAATACAAGGACTGCACAGGTCCACAGAAACATGGAATGGAATCCATTAAGTTTACATGATAAAAAAGCAAGATGTTGTTTGTGGTGACATCATCCTTATATCTGTCCTTCACTAGCAAATAAACAGCGAATCAATTAAAATGTCTGTATAATTCAGCTTGCCATGCATCTAAAATACTCTGGATAGACCTGGGAAGAGTTTCCTTGAGGGTGATCAGAGCTGCATATACAACATTATCGCTGAGTAATTTTGTACTTACATGCATTTTAAGAAGAGACCATGCGTAATCCACAGCACAAATTGTTCCTGTTCTACCACAACCAGCACTGGAAAAGAAAAGAAATCATGTGATTAAAAAAAAAAGGTTAATAATGTCTCTCAAACTATGCCAAATTACCATCTTAACCCTTTACATCCTAACATCAGCAGCAATAATCTCTCCACTCTTCTCTATACATTTCTTTGGATACTGACAAAGGGAATTTACTCAACAATCAAAGCATCTCAGGTTGGTGATCATTACCTTCATTCTCATGGTCTTAATGAATTATTCAGCAATATTAAATCATTGTAAGGAGAAATAGGTCCCTGATAACTTTGACTGGAGGTTTAAAGTATTTAAGGACTGTTGTGGACTGAAACTTTCTCATTACATGTATTTGATAATAAACACACAAATAAATCCAGGGAGGAAGTGCCCAGCATGATGTGTGTCCCTGCAATGGCCGAACCATTTCCTTATTTTACATCTTTGATCCCTTGCATCTAATTTCCCCTAGCTTACAATATCAACCCTGAATCACACATCACACATCAAGGTCATGATCACAACTAAAGAACTTCCTGATTGCTAAACAAATTCTCCTTGTCAGCACCTTAGGAAATGCATTGAGAACAGTATTGAGATTTATGCATACTGATGTTTGATCATCAGTTGAGGGTTAACATTAGATTTAATTAACAATTAAGTTAAATTCTTAATAACCAATAATATATATTTTTTGCATTACCTGCAGTGGACTAATAACTGTTGTTTTCTATTTCCTTGTACAGCCCTGAGGGTTTTGTTCAATTCTATGAGGGGTGTTGCAGATCGTGGGACATCATGATCAGGCCAAGCTGTATACTGCAACTGTGTCACCATCATTTCTTCCTGAAAAGTGAAGCAAAATAAATTGACAACTATTCTCAATAGTGGAGGTGGCTAGAGGTGGATATTTACCAAGCTATGCAGCAGCAAGGTAAATATCCAGCACTAGCCATAGAAACTGAGATGAATAGTTATTTTAGTATATTCTATAACAGTGAGATAATATTAGTAGCGCAAAAAGATGGTTTTTACTGATTTATTCCTGCAATGATTACAATATTTTTGTGTGCAAATCCTGTGCAAGTTGTTCAGAGGTGAATAGCAAAGGATGTTGGGAATTTGAGAGCCAATCAGAGGGCAACGTCAATGCTATCCATTGTTTTAGTATATATTAGTAGGAAATTAAAATGACTTGTAATATAAATTTCCTGGCTATTAGAGAGCCCAGGCCTCAGCAATTTTGGGGTAGTTCTAGTTTTAAATTCAATGAAATTTTTATGTAAATGTCAATAATTGTTTACATTATTTTTTCATATGATTGTTTGCAATAATACCTTGCCAGATTTCATATTCATTGTTCTCATGATAAACCCTTCTGCAATATCCTCTGTAGAAATCTGTTACAAGATGTGAAAAGACAAATATATGAAAGTCACAATTGAGCTCACAATGCTTTTATAATCAAGGCATGTACAGCTATACTGCATGATTGTAGCTAGTATACACATGACATATTAATTTGTCAATCTCATTTTCTATACTAAATGTTAAATGTTATGTCAATTACCAAGAGGGCATTAAGACCAGTGCATAAAGAAAATATCTAAGAATCTAGTTGCATATCAAAATAATTCAGAATTAAAATATTTGTATCAAGAGCAATTGATCACTTATAAAATAAGGCTCCTGACACAAAGATGAATCATTATTAATACTAGCATTTGTTAATTTCACAGATATGATTTGGACATCAAAACAAGATCAAAAACAAAAACTCAATCAGTAACTTACCAATGATATTTCCAAGCCAGCGAAATTGAGTACCTCATCTGTGCTTTCTGGCCAATATCTTTTACATTTTAGCTGAGATCAGTAAAGAGTAAATAATTTAAAAACTGAAAATACCTCCCTTCCAGTATTATTTTCCCTTTTTCAAACTTTTGTTATCTACTAGACACAACTAATCATAATGACAAAAAGAGGCTAAATGAAAGTAAGACACTACATAAGTGTCCAAAAATTTAGTGTAGACAAGGGTATCTTTTGATCTTTGCTTTCAACTTTTTTTTTTCTTTTTTTTTTCTTTTTTTTTTTTTTTTTTGGGGGTAAGGGGAAGGTTGAGGGCTCAACTTGCTTACTCATGCTAATTTGGTCTGGCGGCATATTGACTAATGTCACGGTAAAGTCATTTGAGTTCTTCTCACCCAGTTTATTATACCTGTAGAAGAATCAACACTCACCTTCCCCATCTCAATTTCTCTGCATACCATTATCACAATCTATAGATTCAAACATTAGTTGACATAAAGTGTCAGTCGTTACTCCAAGAGTTAAAATCATCTTTTACTTCTTTTACTTCAGATTGACGATGGGAAAAAAAAAGCATTGAGTGGGTAAGACTCTCCTCCAAGGTTCCTTCTCAAAGAACCCACCAAGGCACAGATGTAAACAATTAACAATACTCCATTTCACAGTTGGGTGCTTGGTTGTTAAGCTTTTGAACAGGGGTTAGGCTAAGGGTGACCTTGTTATGATACATACCTTGCCGATTTTCAAATGTGAATTACTTTGTGATCATGCTAACTAGATACTGGTCTCTATACCCACAAGGTCACCTTCAGCCTCACTCCAAATCAAAGGCTTGGCAACTAGATACACAACTTTAAAATGGCATATTTTGAGTATAATTTGCCAGTGTTCTATCATATGAATGCCCCAACTGACTGGACACACTGAGTTTTCACTATTCAATACACTTAGTTTTAACTATTCTGTGACAGACAATTTTGTGAGTAGCCAAGCATTTGTAAACAAAATAAAGTAAAAAACCTTGAACCTTTCTTGTGATAAGATTTTGAACATCAACCAGTTCTCTTTGCTCTTGGTTTCTAGATGCTAGATATCTCAAGCTCCTGATCTAACTGTTAGTTATCTGAAGAGCCTTAAGAGAAAGGAGTTTACTTAAGAAACAGCCAAGTTAAAAAAATGTATTACCTGGCATTTGTGAGATGCTATCACTCTCCAGAAATCATCAACTGTTCTTGGCAAAGGACCTTGCAGAGCCAGGTAATGAGTCTTCCCATCTGGTCCCTGGTGATACATAGTTTTATATTGAATCATCCAGGTTATAGTTTGATACAGGATTTTTTTTCTCTTTCTTGATTAGTTTATTTCTTTATTTTGGTATTTCTTTTTATTATTTTCTATCTTTTCTCTTATTTCCCTTTTTTTCCCTTGGTTATATGGCTTAGTAAAACTAGTAAACAAGGTGAAATTGTGTTGAAATGCTCAGTAACTGCACAAACATTCTTCAGTTACTTGAGACAAAAACACAACTTGCAAATAATCTTCAGCTGAAACATATTTTCACTTTCAAGTTTAAATATTTTCTCAGAAATTTTCTTAGTTCTTAAATTATTGTGACACTGAGTGAAACCCTTTTGAAGCATTACACATGTAGCTTAAAGAAAGTGTCACTCAAAAATGTTTCCTGCATAATGTGGTGACAGCCTGCAGTTGTATTGCATTGTTTCCTGTTTTCTCGGTTGAATTGTTTAACCTTTTAACTCCCAGATCAAATTTGTAATTCTCCTTACTTCCAACCATATCAGTCTTATAATGTTAGTTCAGAGAATTTAGTATTGGATCAACTAATTATCCCCAAATTGATATTTTTCTTTATTCTCATCACTCACCTGGTTGATATTGTATTGTTATTGTAAGGAGAAATTCTATCTTGGTCACTCATGGGAGTTAAAGGGTTCATTTTTCATTTACTTTAATTACACTACTGACCAAGGGACATAACAATAACAATAACAATAACAATAACAATTACAATTACAAGAGCAAATCAAACAACAGTGAAGTTATTATCCTCATCATGGTCATGAAGTCTCTAACTCTTTCCTACACTGTATATTATACCTTAATGTAGTTTCCATTGATGTAGTCTGAGCCAGGTTTACCAGCCAATGATGGAAGAGTGATACGATTATAGTCAACTAAAAGTATAATAACAACAATTATCAGCCATGATAGATAAGTATCAACTGCCCACAAAGATGTCGACTGCATACAAACATCATTATCCATGCAGTGTATATTTACATGTTTTGGTTCAAGTTTGATCATTCTCAACAAAGTTTATGAAGGTTTTTTGTTTCTTGCATTTTTTTTCAAATCTACTCCCAAAATATTGCACTGGTTGGGAAATTTTTACATAAAGGAGAACTAATGCTACTGAATAATCAAAACATAAATGCTTAGACTTTGTAAACTTGCCCAGGCAAACATAGTTTTGCATAACTTGACATGTGCAATAACCCTTGAAATTATGATTTGCAGTTATATTTTCAAAGCATGCAATTAAATGAGCAGTTTCTCGTCTTCTAGAACCCACCACCATGTTGTGCATTGTGAATCCTTTACACCCTTGCATCAGTATGCATATTCTCTATACTTTTCTCTAAATATTTACTAAGGTGCTGACAGAGAGAATTTGTTTAATGATCAAGACCATATTTAGTTGGTGATCATTTTCTTCATTCTTGTGACCTTCATGTTTGATCCAGGGGTGATATTGAAAGGAGAAATTAGATGCTAATCATTCTTTGGGTTTTTGAAGGTAAACTAAGAACAGAGCAATATTTCATACAAAATTTTTAAAACTAGAAGACATTTGAAAACTAATGAAAACAACTGAATCAATACTTACATGGCACAATATCTTTGTATCGGTTTTTAGGACGATTATACTCAAGCTCTCCTTGATGAGTACTGTATTCTGGATCTTTCTTCAATTTAGAGGACATATCCTTCAATTGCTACAAAATATTAAATGATAAATTGAAACATAAAATCGACAAATTCAAAATTATGATGGTGGGAGGGGCAGGGGTTGGTATAGCCAACATGGAGTTGTATTTTACCAAAGAAGGAGGTTTTAAAAAATTTTTCTTTGGCCAAAGGAAAAAAAAAAAGAAAATAATAATAATAATAAAATTATGCATTCCGAGTGATCACCGCCCTATGACACCACGATCACACCACGATCACACCTTAGAACTTTCGATATGCTTTTAAGCACAGTTGCATAATTAATAGGATTTTACTTTCTATACCTCTGCTAAGAATCAAGATCTTTTCTATGAGAGCATTCACTAATCTGTAACTCAACGACAAGGTTGCTCATTTAAAATTTTACGCCAGTATTGCTGATCGATCGCTAGGAAAAGCAGATAATGAAATTTGTTTACCGACAACGCGCTCTACAACATACTTTCCAGTGACTTCCGGTAATCGTTTTGAATGTTTGATTTAAAGATAAACCTTCGTCATCTTTATCGATAACATGCCGGTCGTCGAATAAATCGTGAACTTCGGTGAAACTTTAAAGCAAATTTATTTGATCTCCAGGTAGTAATGTACAGAATATTGAAATAACACGGAAATTAGCAAGTAGTCAAATATTTCGGTCTCACCAAGTTTAAGCAGTCGCTTAATTCGACATGAGAAGTAAAATTGAGCTCCGAATTAAATACAGGATTAATCGTACTGTTTAATTTCCGTTGGTCTAAAGAAAAAAAGGGATATATATACCTGGAATTCCCTCGCCAAACCATTCTCTCGCCGTGCATTGTTCGTGGGAAGTAAACTCTCCGCGTGACGAAGGAAAAAATGCAGTCCCTCTGGAATCTTTGGCGAAGGCGTGATCAAGAGTATATCGACAAAAGCGGCTGATCAAGATGTCAGATACCACTCCATTTTACTGCCAAGGAAACTTGCAAAATGTTTGCTGAAATAAGTAGTTGCTGAACTTTCCGCACCAAAACAAAGTTTCACCTATACGGGTCTGCCTCCTCTTGTGTTAGAGAGCGCCTGCGTTGTTACCCAGAGTTTGTCGCTACACCGGATGTTGTTACAAGATGAAACTTCCGGCTTCTTTTCTTCCTTGTCTTTGTTTGAATAACGCCTGTATTTCTTTATCACTTGAGTTGATATTTATCTAAAATCCCTCTTGTATCATGAAATTTATTACAAATAATTCAACACATTAATTTTTATCACGGCCGGAAGAAATAGCCTCCTCGTAGCGTTGACGTGGGTGAGAAAGGGATGACGGGAAAGAGAAAGAGTAGAAACGACTTCTTTCTCTCACACGTTCACCCTACCCACGCTCTCCTCACCCTGCCCGGGTTGGTTTCCCCGCTGGAGGACGTCTGAGGACGGGTTGGTACAAGTCTATCTCTGCCGATGTGACGTTTATTTTTTACTTAGCACTACCTCTAATCTGGTATTTCCTTGAGACAATAAACAAAACTAAGTTAAGCAAAAATATAAGAAAGAAAGTAAAAAAAAAAGAAAATTAAATAAGCAAACAACGACTGAGCAAAAAATTAACTATCGTTAGATCAAAGTGTCGAGTCTCAAACATAATCTACTTTCGCTAAGATAATTTAGCTTGGTTTTATCAGCTAAGTCGATAATGTAAATTTGCCACCTTAAAGAGTTCCTTAAAGCTAATGTTTCGAGCGTTCGCCCCTCTTCATTTCGCTCTGACGAAGGACAAACGTTCAAAAACGTCAGATTTAGAAATACTTCACGGAGGCGAATCTACATTATCAACTCAGTTGATTAAGCCAAAGTATCTTGTAAAACTCCTCCACCGAGGCAGCACCATACGTTCTTTAGAAACTTATCCTAGTTGTCTTTCGCTACTGAGATTGTTTATTTGAACGACACATTTATAAGTTTGCCCGCCAAAAAGAGCTAAAGAGCACAACCCATTCTTTTTATTCCATATAACATGGAACCTGAAATGTTTTGCTATGTGCGTTTACTTTCGATCTCTATTTCCTTTGAGAGGAAGGCCCCACGACGTCCGAGCTTGACCGCTCATTGTTGAGGTTCACAGTCAAAAATCGAGTGGTTACCAAAGCATGACAAAATAACAAAATTATATTATTTCTCAAAGAAAGCAGACGAACAGTATTTGTGTTGAATTTCTTATAAAAATAAACTCTTCTAAAGGATTGTATGACTAATTTTTAACGGTAAGAAGTTCGTAAAATTTCAGTATGGTTTGGAAAGTTATCTTGATATACGAAGATAATATAATTCGGATTCGAATGATGGCTTCATTGCGTAATCAAGCCTTTTTCATTTTTAAGGAGAGCAATTTTTTTACTTCCTGACAATTGCAAACTCACAGCAGTATTATCAGGGTAATAAAACAAAAAAATAAAAAACAAATATAAACAGTCAGAAAGGCCCATTAAAGAGTTAATGATTTTATACAAGACAAAACAAATCCGATCGTTACTTCGTAAAATACTTCATTCTCAAGTCAACTTTCCCTTATTTTGTTGTAGCTGGGTGCCATGTGGCTAGGGAGATTCCAGCCGTGTTTCCCAAGTCTAGCAATAAAGCCCAGTCACGAGGAGCTATGGAGGCATCAATTTCGGAGCTGGACGACAATTCATTTCATAAATTTTTTTATGCAGAGCATTAGATACCTATGAGCTGCATAGTAAATGCTAGCTATTATCGGCCATAGAATAGAAAGTATCTGTAACACGGAGGGAAAATAAATGTGATAGAACTGCAGAATAACTTATTACAACATTTTGTTTGCGTTGATGTTGACGACTCTGCATCGGGAAGGGAAACTCTCCAACCTGACATACCATGATAATGGAAGTTTTTCAGTAGTCGATTAGAGATAAATGACCTTTCAGGTTTGTGGCCTAAAGTTTAAATGCACAAACCTTTATAAACAATCAGCCAATTCTGTCCTTCGTTAAGAAAGGGGGAGGGGTAAGGTGGAAAAATTGAAGAGTTGTGACATGAAAGAATGAGGAAAATTATCCCTTTGGCAGTGGGGATGATGGCATGGAAAGGAAGGGAAAAAATCCCTGTGGTTGTCAAACATATTCTAAACTCTGACTAAGGTTGAACGCTTGAAACATCAGCTTTGAAACTCTTAACGGTGCCCAAACTATGTTATCAACTCATTTGATAATACTTAATTACCCAGTTATACTCTCCCACCATTGCATATGTGCTCAACATTATAAAAAGTCAAATTTATCTTAATCACAAACCAAAGAAACATTTCATACCGAGTTGAAAGGAGCTAATAGTTAAGAATATCAGTTTGAATTAATCCTTCGACTCCCAATAGTGATTAACATGGAGCTTCTCCCTATAATATCTATACATTATCCTACAAACAGGTATCGAGAAAACTTTAACCTATCAAGCTGTTATCTTGATCTAACGCCAAATTCCCATAACTATTTACAAGGAAATGTGTAGCAGTTCGAGGGGAAAATGAATAATCAGATATTGAGAGTTTAAAGGTTGAATATCTAGGAATGACCGACTGCATGGTATACTTGGTGCTGAATACACCATCTCAATCTCTGACTGATGTAGGTGATGAAAATAACCTAATTTTAGTATGATGACATCAAAACCTCTCTAATTAAACATCTATCTACGTTACATGCAGATAACTTCTGTTTACAAAATAGGATGCTCTCTTTACCTCTTGAGGCGCTTATTCAATCAAACGAATCAAAAGAAAGTTGTTGTAAATACTACATCATTTTTTAGAACTCTTGCAAATTCAAACTTCATTACCCCAAAATATTCTTGTTTATGCTAAGCAAAGTTGCGATCAATCCTATATACCTAATTTGTATCTATAAATCTATATCGAAACATTTTTTTTGGCAACAGCATACATTACTTACAATGAGCTGCTCGCAAGAAATTTTGTACGATTATTATACTACTTACAATGCCGACATAAATCGAATACGTTACTTGCATTATAAACATCAAGTCATTATTTAAAATGTATTTAACAAGCTGCTTGGCTTACTTGGCAAATGCAGATGAATGCTCAGTAGGTACTAAATATATTGCTGTTTTTTTGGGGGAGGATATCTAATTCTTCTCTTTTACTGGCTATTTGATAGTTAAGGAAGGTCAAAAAATACAAGGGTTTAATAGGATAGGTGTTAGTTTTGAAACTAAGTAACTTTGATCTAGGTTATTCAAAGCATATTTACTTAAAATTGTCATATGTCCTTTCGCTCTCGCTGCAATTTATACCAGGCCAAAAAGAAGATACAGTGGTCTAACAGCACTAGTGGTAAACATTGTACTGAACGATACTTGTTGGTTGATAATGGTGATCATTCTCATATTTTCTTGAATTTAGGTATGTCCTTAACCTTTGTAAAATTAATTTCATTACAAGCTGAATATCGTAAGTCATGCCGAAAACTACAGTTCGTTTTGTTTTTTAGTGTTTCTTTCTAAATACTTTTGATTGTTTATCTTTCCTAAATTTATTATGCTGTGGAATTGTTTTTTGTGACAAACGTGCAATTATTCAGCGTTTCTTTTCGAGAATTTTACCCACTTCAAATTCTGTAAAAACTACTTCGAACTAATGCTGACCTCTTTAAATTTTTTTCTACTGATTATCATATTCTTCCAAAATCTTGGCAACGTCACCTCTCTTAGCAATTTCTCTTACCAAACTTGAAAACTCGGCAACTGTTAGCTGTTCGTGTGAAGCTGCCAAGTGTTCTATTAGGGCTTTTGACGGTCCGCCATCGTACTTTTCGAAAACTGCGTTCACTTGATAAACGTCAATACCATAATATGAACAAACACTGCGATAGTCACCAACACCCGCCATACTTGTGTCCAGACGGTTACATACTCGCTCTAGATATGATTCATTATCCCGCAAACTGCTAAGGAGCTTCGAGTCTGAATCAAAGAAGAAATTTGGAGATACTTTGTGTTTTATGTGCTTACACTGCACCGCCATAATGGAAGTACGCCACCACTGACAACATTATGCTTTTTATCATATAAAACAAATAAATTCCATGTTGCTGTGAGTCTGCACAGTAATAGATCATCATAGGATGACGTCAATTTGTGGAAAATTAAATGTTTATGTGGTGGGTGGAAAGCTTATTCGAAACAGATATTATATTTATTTAAAGATTTAAGAGACAGTTTTTCATGATAGTAGGCATAGCTACGACGATGGAGATGAAGATTACTAAGGTACCTTGACGAGTTTTTGATTGTTCGTCTAAGTTGCTCCTTTCGCCTTCGCCCTCTTCCGATGTTGAGGACTTCGAACATCCAGATGCGGTTCTTTGAGGTGTAAAATTCACCGACCGTGATTCATTCAAACCTAAAACGTTCGAAAATGGAATCAGCACGGTTTTTCAATTTAACTATTTTATACATGCGAAAATTTCAGCATGCTGACTAGCCAAGAACACGTGAATTATCACCAAACAGTGCAGAAAATTGAAATTGAGCGCAAAATGTTGAAATGAAAAGGATCGACAGGTAAGTCGCGAAAGCACGATAAAATAAAACGGCGGACGAGTGAGGAGAAAGTAACGACGTTTTCATTTGGAGTTGAGGGAGAATGTAAAAAACGAAAACACCCAACAAAGTAGAAAGAGCACAAACACTTGATTATTTGTATCAGAGAGTTTAAAAGCTTGAAGGAAGTTCGTGAGAGAAAAGCCAGACTACTCCGGTGACAAGAGAAAGACAAGCTTATTCGTAGAAGGTGTTGATTTGTAGAGTTAACTACTGGACACCTTCTCGTGATAGTAGCTATAGTTGCGATAACGATGACGAAGGTACCTTGAGGAGTGTTTGGTTGTTCGTCTAAGTTGCCGCTGTGACTTTCTTCCGGTGCTGAGGAAGTCGAGCATCCAGCTGCACTGTTGAAGTGCATACGAGCATTTGCCTAAAATGAAGAGGGCAAGTGAAAGTTGCAAAATTGTTCAAATAGCGGAAATTCATAAATATTGAGTTCAACAATTTTAATATTGAAAAGAGTTATCGGTAGAACAAAGAAAACCGCTTTAGACTAAAGTTACAGTTTTATATCCCTTATTCGTACTTAATTTGCAGGTACATGATTTCGTGATTTCGGCGAGACAGTATTTCGCGGGGATTTATTTTCCCGATTTCAACAGGATAATATGAAAATAGGACATTGAATTTCGCGATTCAAGCATTGTCAACTTCATTTTTATTTTCAAAATGTCTGAACTTTTTAAATTCCAAGATAAACCGGAATAACTGTTGGAACGTTACATGAAACTTGTGAAAGAGATCTACGAGAAACGAGTTAATGGCAATTTTGAGGACTGCATGATAGATATTATCAGGAATTTGTATGAAATTTACGATTCATGTGTGAAGATCACTAACATTAACATTACACAAGATGCATTACACAACATGCATTACACGAGATACACAATGGAACATACCAGTAAAACTAGTTGAACATTTGAGTATTTGTCGATACATAACGTGTGTGTGTTGCTCTTATTACATGTTGATCTTTTTTTTAAATTTGAATTTTATGGGTATTAAGTTCCGCGATAATTATTTCTAAAATAAAAGTTTTGGGCTTCGAACTCGGCAGCTTGACTTTGCAAGGTTAATCGAGGCTTTCCAACTTTATGATATTTATTATCTTCACTAGATTTTGTGGTTATTCTGTCAATGACAATTAAACCGAGGAAGCTTATTAAAGTGCACAATGTTAAGTTGGTAATAATATTAATAATTAGAGTTTACATAGTACAAATTACATAATGCGTTTCACAGAAAATGAAAATTATCGTTAATAATGACAGCTGATTAAAACTGCATTAAAGTTAAAGATGGATAAATATTTTATTCATTACTCCTTTATAAAGATAAAAAAGAAAACTACATTGATGGGGCAACAAACTAAAAGCTCGGCTGAAAAGGAAGTTAACATTTAGACAACGCTGCAAACTAGGTATAGAGTCCAGGCCAGTGATGTCACGAGGCAGACTAGTGGTTTTGACCAAATACATATAGGGTTATAACTGGAAGGGCAAATACGAGGTAGGAAGCTTATAATTAGCAAAAATATGTATTTTACATGTAGATCGACCTTCACTGGCCTGGCTAAGCTGATAATGTTGAAGAAAGTGAGTGGTGATTGTAACTTTGCAAGAAAAAATTGAGCTGAAAGTTACATTAGATTTGGTTCGATTTTGTGTTTTTTCCTTTCTTGTTATTTTTTTCTTTCTTTTTATTTTCAAAGAAAACTGTAACCTATATCACTGGCTTTATGCGAAATCAGATCGTGTCAGCTACATGCAGAATTACCTCCTTAATTGAAAAGCCAGGGTATACGTAGATTGGATGTTCTACATCATGACCCTCTTGCTGGAACGTTATATTACAAGAGAACTCTTCTACTTCTCGACCTTTCACTGGTTTTACTGCAAAAGCACATGGATTTATATGGCGAAATCCACCGCCGTGGGAATCATCGCAGATGTACACCTGCAAAAAATCACAGATTGAGTTATACACTGCATCAATCGGGTGTGAAACACTTGCAATAGATGTGCAAGAGGTTTTTCAAAGTGCATTGTTTAGACACCTACTTTCAGAGGTAATCGGAAGGCTACATAATTGACAACTCAGAAGTTTCTTATTATTATGCAAAGTAACTATAGTGAGGGGCAAAAGTTTTGGCACACTCTACTTCTTTTTTTAATGTTTTCAACTGTCTGTATAAATTTCTCCCCCTCCTCCCCCCTCCCCCCCCCCCCCCCCCCCTTCCATCTCAATGTTGCCTGGTGCTGGTGTTGTTTGGGGAGAGAGGGAGGGACTTGCTAGTAACTTATCAAACATAAATGATAATATTTTTGTTTATTGCAATGTGTACTGAGGGGAAGATCGTCGACCAACCACCAAGGGCCTATTAGCCTCAGTTCAGGTTATCAGAGGTAAACATGTTTCATCACAACTCATTACTGAGCCCAGCCCCATGTTGTTTTCCTCACCTGCTCACCAGGTGTGTCGTCTAATTCCCAGCCCTTCCCAGGATCCATCACAAGTTTCACGGTTATGTTATTGCTGTTGTTGTACATTGTGAAGGTTTTCTCCATTCCTTTCCATGAACCAGGAGACCGCTTTCTATCTTGCGTCTCCACTCGCTTGTAAAAGCAAGATATATGGATCAGAAAGGTGGTACATCGTGCGATAAAAAGAGTGACTAGATGAAAGGGTGTTATTCTTTAAGTTTCAGACGAAACCTTATTTTTAATGTTTTGTTGGACAAATGCAACTCACTTGCCACATAAAGGGATAGGACTGGGTAGATGCCTATAGTTAGGTTACATCCGCACAAGAGGAATAATAACAGTCCTTGTCGGTTCATCATCATAAGAGTAGGTTAAGCTCTTGCAATAAGAGGCTAATTGACTACTATGTACATACTTGTGCTTTCGTCTCACGGTAAGCGTGATTTGGTGGATGCCTCGGCTTGAAACCAAAATACACTCCTACTTAAACGATTACTTACCCTCGAAGAATCCCTGTTGTCACTGTAAATGTAGAATCTGAATTAAATGAGATCTGGGATTCGTCTGGGATTCGGTTTACTAGCGAACACTGTGGCTCTTTTCTTCCTCGGTGTCCTACGACGACAAAATACGCACCAGAAACAGAATTTCATGGTTTTGATATGAATGGAGTCCTCCTTTGCTGTGAACCATGCCCTCGACATATGTGTTTTTTTTGATTTGCTAGGGATTTTCTCCCACTTGGTGAGATCTTTAAAAAAAATTGATGAAAGAATCATCAGTAAAGTAACAGCATAACGAACATCAGTCCTATCTACCCGAAAGAGATGGGGGTGAAAATATATAAGTAAAATGAATAAGTTGGGTTACTCTGCAGTGGAAATCCACGAGGTTCCTCTCAGGATTAGGGCTACGTTAAGTCGATTGAACTTTGTGTCTTGGTTTTTGCCAAAGAAGGAAAATAACTTTCACAAAGAAAACATCTGGGAGCGTGGAGGAGAAGCAACGAAAAACTCAACCACATGTGACGCCAGATTCATGAATAGAAACCGGACCACAGCGATGGGAACCGAGAGCTCTCATCTTCTTTGTAACTCCATACCCTAAACAAACTCCGAAAATGTAAGGCTCACAAAAGTGTAAGTCCTCAAGATCTTAAGTCTTAAATGTATTTTCTTTGAATTCAGCTGAAAATACTAAGCCCAGGGATTTTTCGATTACCTGGGTCGGTTCTGTAGACAGTTATCCATTCCTTTTTTGCTTTACCCATATAGAGGCAATGTGGAATTATAATCTCCAAAGGCTTTAAAAATCTGATATCATGTGGTCCACATTCAATCACAGGGGAAATGAGTGTTTCATCAGGTCCAACGGGGATATTCCGCAACAGCTCTGATGTGTCGTAGACCACGCGGTAGAAGATTTCATAGGAGACTCTAGTCGGTATTGCACCTTTTGTAATACATATTTTCACATCAGAGTCAAGAGCGGAACTCAGCTCACCGCCGGAATCGTTGAATTTGTTTTTCACTTCAAAGCTGTTGAGTGAAAAGGCACTTTCTTTCCTGGCTAGTAGACCTACTTTAGTTTTCCGAAGATTTTCCTCACCCGTGTCCTTTAATAGGAAACAAACCAAGTCAACCACAGTTTTGAGTGAATAAAATATGTTACCCAAAAATTATTTGAGGTAACTCAAAAAAACCCAGCATCAGCATTAGATTTTATTGCTCTTCCAATAGTTTCAAACAAATGCCCGATTATTTTGGAATAATTTATAATCGCTTTTTGACTTCTAAGGTGGCTGAACCAACATTTCAGCCTCTTTGAAACATCCTCAATTTAAGTTGAAGTAAAAGTTTAAAGACACACTAGTTGATTTGTTTTCATCTTATACTTTTAGATAGCTCTCACAAGCACTTCAGACATAGATGATGAGGCTTGAAACGATGACTGCCATTCACTAGTATAACATGAGGGTATGCAAGATCAATTAGGAGTTACGGCAGAATACAGACAAAAATTCTTTTAGGATAAGTCCATACCTCTAGAATATCATTCGCGCCAACTAAAAATCGTTGTGCGTAAAAGACTTCCATAGCGGGATTGGTACACAAGCACTGTGAAGAAATTTAATTGAAATTTAGAAAAGAAAGAAGTTTTCGGGTTACAGAGGAGCACCCAGGGTATTTATCCTCTCTTAATAATCCACTAATAAAAGGATGCTGTTATTTCCAAGATACAAACTTGCATTTTTGTTAAAAAAAAAGAATCGAGGTTGAACACGCTAGCTTCAGGAAAAGAACAGAACTTGTAGAAATGCTAAGAATTTGATCACGCTTACATAGCGTGGATACATCGAGTAATGGTGCATACCGTAGTTTTTGAAAGTATGATGCACACAGAAGAGTTGCTCGAGCTTCTCATTTTAGCATCAGAAGTTAATATAGACTAATTTGGGCTTGATGTTACGTAGGCATACCTATACGTATAAAGAGATTTATGTCATTATGGTAAAAAAGCACATGATGGGACCAGCATATACAACCAATGTTATAAACCTACTCAACATAACCTACATATTAATCTCTAGTGCACGCTTATAGCAGTCTTTTGCTTCAACTGTTTCGCCCAGCACACTATGCAAAGAACCCAGATTGTTGTAAGAGCTTGCAACATCATCATTCTTATAAGTCTCAGCTTTTTCATTCCAATCTCCAGTGCACGCTTATAAAATTCTTTTGCTTCATCTGTTTCGCCTAGTATACTATGTAAAGAACCTAGATTGTTGTTTGGGCTTGCAACATCAACATGTTCAGGTCCCAGCTTTTCCAGACGAATCTCCAGTCCACGCTTAAGGTGGTCTTTTACTTCAGCTGTTTCGCCCCAGCGACTAGTGTAAAGTACTCAGATTGTTGTAAGAGCTTGCAACATAAACATGCTCAGGTCCCAGCCTTTTCAAACTAGTCTCCAGGCCACACCTAATTGAGGTAGTCTTTTGCTTCATCTGTTTCGCTCAGCGCACTGTGTAAAGTACCCACATTACTGTAAGAGCTTGCAACATGAACATGCTCAGGTCCCAGGTTTTTCAGTTGAATCTCCAGTGCACGCTTATAGCAGTCTTTTGCTTCATCTGCTTCGCCCAGCGCACTGTGTAAAGTACCCAGAGTGTTGTAAGAGCTTGCAACATCGACATGCTCAGATTCCAGCTTTTTCAGACGAATCTCCAGTCCACACTGAGGGTAGTTTTTTGTTTCATCTGTTTCGTCCAACGCGCTGTGTAAAGTACCCAGACTGTTACTTCCAGCTGACTAGTGTCTCGCCTTTTTGCCATCTTTTTCACTCGGTTTCCTACGAAAAATTTCCAAGGTGTTCCCGGTTTGGTGATCCAATGCAGGTGGACCATACTGTCCATACATACGGTTGTGGAACCCATAGGCCATCGCTCCAGGTCGTTTCGTAGATTTGGGACCATGTTTGCCGCCATCTGACCGCTCATTAGTTCTAGTCTCGCAATAGATGGCTTGTTTGGAGGTTCTAAATTTTGAGGTGAGTAAACCACGGACCACTCCTGTTGTGTTCCTGGCGTTAGCGAATACATGAAGATGAATGGCTTGCACCTGACCAACGCCTCTTGCTGTGCTTTTTGGAACTCTCACAAGCTTCAATTGGGTAGACCATTTGGTCCACTCCCTCTTTGACTTCTCTGAAACTTCCCTGCTCCAACCCTTCATCCCGTTGCATGCATATCGGTAGACCTGCTTTCCTTTCACGGTTGTCGGTGACATTATCCCTCGTGGGTCGTAAATACTTGCTACTCTCTTTGTAAATGGCTGGTTGACACTGGGTTCTGACACTTGTCCCAGACTGTCCCAAGGATCTTACTAGTGTTTGTCAAGTCTTCGCTCTCAAGGCAATCAACGTTTGATTCCCACTTGTATCCGGGAAACTTCCTACTCTCCAGAATACTAGTTGCTCGCCTCTTGAATTCTTCCAATTCATCCTCTTTTTTCCCTGTTTTTATCATATTGTTTACGTACGTATTTTATCTTGGAGCTTGGATTTTTTCTTGAAATTCTTCACCTCGTTGATCATAGCGATAGTTGAGGATTGCGCCCAACAAGAATGGGCTTGGCTCTCCTCCAAAGGGGACTCTGGTGAATCTCAAGTGTTTTTCTCTACCGTGGGTGTTGAACAAGAACAGAAAGGCATCTCCATCTTTCTCTCTGACACCAATCTATAGGAACGCCTTCTGAATGTCTAATAGTATAATGGGTGTGGACATGCATACTCTGATCAAAATGCCACACAGTATGGGCTGACGTTGTGGATCCGTGTACATACACTCGTTGACGCTGTTTCCCAGAGAAGGTGACTTTGCACTAGCAGCGAAAACTATTCTCACTTCATTCCCACCGGTTTATGTGGCAGGAAAAACGTGCTGCAGTAGGTGTTTCGGGCGCAGCTTCCACTATGTCTTCCTGTGGCTGATCGTTTACTAGGTTTTCGTCTTCTTTCTTCCAACTGTGGTCTTGACTCGGCTTCCTTTTCCACTCTACAAAAACGTCTTCTGCACTGTTCTTCGTTTATACTTGGCTAGAAACTTCCTGGGATCCATGCCACGCTCACTTCGTACTTGCCGTCCACTCCCCTTGTGACGCTCTCGTTGAAACTGCTGAGCACTTCTGACTGGTCATGTGCTGTCCTGTCTTCCACTCCCAATATGCCTAGACAATATGCCTTCTCGTATTCGTTTGCCTCCTTGATATACATACACTTGTTATCAGTGTACTCTTCCCTCCATGTGTCACCCATCCGAAAAGCGTACCTTGCTTGGTGGGATATTCAGGGCCTCCCATGAATGTTTGCTCGGTTCGTATCTTGAAGGTGTGATCATCCAGTATCACGTGCACTGGGTACTCTTTATTCCTCTTCAAGTAGAACAGCCAGTCTCAGGCGCGTTCGTATCTTGATTTTAACTTCCCGATAGTCGGCCTCCTTGCGGCTGCGAAATTCGCCTACTCAACCTTTGTGATTTCTATCTGTTCGCCAGTTGGGTCCTCCAGGGAATGAATTCTCACATTGAATATGGGCATTGAGTGTCTTCCCACGCCGTTTATGATCACGCTTTGGCGCGTTTCATGGCGAGAGGGCTTCTGATTCAACTTCTTAGTTACTTCTATGGACATTAAATTCCTACCAGAGCCCGTGTCTGCCGTTTCACTGAGAAGCACTTCTCGTCGGGAATGACCAGCTGTTGAGTCAGTGTCGGATGATGATCATCAGTTGCCGGTTGATTTTGACTTTTCTAGTTTGTTCTTTGGAAATTTTGACGATGTCAATATTCGGAACAACTGCTGTGGTGTTAAAGGCCGTTTGAATACTACCGTGGCCTTTTAGAAAACTACTTTAAATGCTCTAGTGTTCCTTTTAGACCTTATTCGGCGTGGGTTCAGGCTTCCTTTTGCGGAGAATCCGCACCGCGTTTTTGTCGCCTAATAACAGATCAGTCTTTCGGCATTCAGAGCTCGTTACCAAAGCAATAGGTGAGCTCTTAGCTTATGGATGCATCGTTGAACACAGTGTTCCTCCATTCTGTGTTAATCTATTAACAGTAGCAGAAGGGGAAAAGCTGCGCTCAGTAACTGATTTAAGACCCGTTAGCAATTATCTGGTCAAATTTAGGTTAAAGTTTGAAGATCTACGCTTTCTGTTCCAAGTCCTTGAGGAAGTCCACTGGTTTTTACACGGGACCTTAAATCGGGGTATCACCAAGTGGACATCTGTTCAGAGCATCAAGCGTTTCTCGGCTTTGCTTGGTCGATCGGTGGCGTGCTCAAATATTTCACCTTTTCAGTTTTGCCTTTCGGCCTTAGTAGCGCTTGCTATTGTTTCACCAAATTGTTGTGCCCTCTTATGAAGCACTGGCGTTCCAAGGGGCATACTCTTTTGTGCATCTTGACCACGGTTTTGCAAGTCAACAAGATAAGCGTTCTGCTGTCGCGGCCGTAAGGTTTCAAAAGAAAGAGCTAGATTTCGCAGGTCTTTTTGTTAACGAAGAAAAGTCCCATTGACAACCTATGCAGATAGGCGAATGTTTGGGTTTTGTGATCGACACCATTAGAAGGTGCTCAAGCTTAAAAATCTTTTAAGCACTGCAAGGACGGACGAGTCGTCTTCGTATTGCGAATTGGCTAGAATAGTGGGCGCCATAATTTCGGTTTTCCTTAACAGCGGGTCCTACCGCACGTCTTTCCACCAGACAAATGTGCTCGGCGATTTAGTCTCGATGAGGATGGGATCACATCTTTCGTTTCCATGAAGTGCTTTTGGAAGAGTTGAAATTCTGGTACTCAAACATCGGTTCATCTAGTGGTTACTCTCTTCGACCTCAACTTGATACGTCTACCATCATGTTCTCTGATGCAAGCGATGT